CGCAGCGCGCAAAATGAGTAAATCGTGCCAAAGCCTGTCAAGGCGGCAACGCAAACCTAAACCGTCACACAATCGCAAGTTGGACCACGAGTCGCCACCAATGTCAGTAACCCAGCCTGTCAACCCACTGTCCGGGGATATTGAAAAATTCGGAGAATTTTCGGGATTTCCCGGACGACGCAGCACTCACAGCCAGCCGGCGGAGAAATGACGGAGAATTGACGCCGAAGCGACGGAGAATTGACGGAGGATTGATCCAACACTTGTCACTTGGGGGGCCTTAAGTCTTAAGCTTCTTTCCCAACTGCGCGCTCACACAACGCTAACGCAGCTCACATGAGGCTCACATGGTTTGTCTGTCTTATTCAATTCCCTTGACTAGCAAGATGCAAATTGGCAAGAGGCCATGAAATTCTTGAACGGCCCTTGAAAAAAGTCTAGAGTCTACAGGCCAAAAGCAGGCGGCCGTCATGGTCGGCAAGTCGAGACATGAGCTGCAATCCCTCGATTCGAAACGGCTCAATTGTTGCCATGTGGCTGATAAATGAAGAACTGGTGACCGGGCAGTGCGCATGGCTTCTGCTGTAACCCACCACAAGCTGTCCGAAGCGCAAGCCAAAGTCTTGGACCGCCATTGGCCCATCTGTTGCTTGAACCTCTTCATCTCCTCAAAGCCTATTTCGTCAACCCGTCCAGCAGATTGGTCGGTCTGGGGGCGATCCTTGGCAGCCTTGCTTGCGAGCACCTTCCGCAAGACAGGCTCAAGCATGCAACGCCCACCAACTTCTCGCATGCGCGTCTCGACGTCGCTGCACGAGTTCCACCTGCCGCCGATGCATTTCGGCCAAAGTTTCTTAGCACACTTGATGCCAGAGACATCCCCATGAGTTTCGCACCACTGTTGAAAGATCAATTTGCTGGCATCACGCAATGTGTGGGAGCTGGTTGCTAAGCTGGAAAAATACTTCCAGCTCCGCCCATGCCGCTCCAAAAGCGCATCAGCCAGCTTCAGTGACTGCAACGAAATCAAATGCCCAGCGTGCTCATAGCAGTCTGTGGATAGGCACACTACTTCAGGGGAGCTGCGGGAGAGGACTAACCACATCTTGCGCGCCAGAACCTCATTGGCCCCGCGGTCGGTGGTCATCACAAAGAAGTGGACGTTCTCCTTGCAATTCCTTACGTCAGTTTGACCAGTTGACACCACCAAAGGCGCCAAAGAACATGTTGAAAAAGACAAGCGAAAGGGCGAAAAGGGTCGCAATATCAAGGGTGGTCAAGGTACGTAGGGCTTCAAGTTCAACTGTCAATCGTCAAACGTGCTTCGGGCTTTCAGAGCCAGGAGCAAAAAGCCGCTGAACCCTTGGACATTCTTGCCTGTTTGCCTGCTTGCTGGCACGCACGCACGCCTGCTTGCTTGCGCCTTTTGCTTCTTTGCTTGTCGTTTGCTTGTTTGCTTGTGTTTGCTTGGCTCATTTGCTTGCTTGCTTGCTGCTTTGCTGCTTGCTTGCTTGCTTTGCTTTGCTTTGCTTTGCTTTGCGTGCTTCTTGCCTGCTTGCTTGCTTGCTTGCTTGCTTGCTTGCTTGCTTGCTTGCTTGCCTACCTGCCTGCCTGCCTGCCTGCCTGCTTGCGCTTGCTCGCTCGCTTGCCTGGTTGCTTGCTTGCTTGCTTGTTTGCTCGCTTCGTTGGCTGCTAGCTTGCTAGCTTGCTAGTTTGCTAGTTTGCTAAGCTGCTAGTTTGCTTGTTTGTGTTTTTGCGCGTGTGTTTTTTGTTCATGTGTTTGCGTAGTGTGCAGTTGTGTGTGTGTGCTTTTGCGCGCGTGTGTTTGCATGTGTGAGAGTTTGTGTGCGTTTGTGGGGCGCCTGCGCCAGCTACAGCAAGGTTCAATAAGCGGGGTCAGCCCTGATATCTTGTCATAACTAGCTGATGAGTGACTTGGGATGCGTAAACTACGATGGATTTGGGGCCTAGGGCCTGAGTCAACTCGAACCCTAACCCGTCAAATTGCAGCTATCACAACTCAAAATTGCAAGTCTGCAGGCTTTGCCGCAGGACAGTGATGAGCAAGCTTCTAAGATACGCCAACAAACTTCCTTTGCAGCGGGGTTTGACCTTGTTACTTGTTCGATTCATGGACGGGCAAACAAATTCAAATGTGAATCTTGGCTTGCCGAGAGAGATGTTTCGAATCAAGTTTAATTTCGGCCACTAATGGGCAAAGCCCAAGTTTATAAAGATGCACAGTGCAGCGCCTGAAAGAAAATATTCCTGGGACCGGTCGCCCTTGCAACTAATCCACTGACAAGGAAACTCTTGCGACAAACACGACGGCCTAACAGGCCTTCCAACTGTCAGCTGGCAATAGAATCACAGCATTGGCCACAACTCACAATGTGGAACAAGCATGAAAAAAGCCGTCCAAGTTGCTGAGCAGTGGAGTGTGGAGCAGGGCCTGATTCTGCTGGCAGTCGGTAGCGAGCAGACAGCGTCTTTGCTGTTGGGCAGCCAAGGCTTTCCAACATCTTGGTGGTCAGACCTACGCTTCCAGCGCCCGTGCCATCTGAGACTTGCTGCACATCCGCAACACACTGCAGGGAGCTGAACATTCCGCGCCAGTTCCAAACAAAGTGAGCAGCAGGGTCTGGCGGAGAAACCAAATACGCGGAGTGCAAAATCAAAGCGCACAACTTGCGCTTCTGCCAAATGGCAGAATTGGTTGCATCTTGAGTGATCATATGAATAGACAAGGCATCCGCGGAAGAAAACTCCTCCTGCATGTCTCTGTGAAAACTGCGCGCAGAAGCTATAAGCGCCGCCCCACTCTGAACCTCACTTCTCGCAATGGTCCATCTGCTTGCTTCGTCAAGCAAGATTAGCGACACATCCCCGCAGGCAGCGTTGCTCAAATTCCTGCGAATTGCCAAGGACACGCGGCTGGGGACAGTCAAGTACCGACCTGTTCCGCAATGCCCAGTTCTCTCTATAGCCATTCTCCTCTCAAGGTGGCCAGGTTGCGCTGAGGCGGACGATGACAACAGTTTCGCTTGTTTGGCTTTGGCTTTGGCTGCAAGCTTGTGTTTTGCCCCCGTCACGCGTCTCAGCTGTTGCTGCTGCAGTTTGAGCCGCTTTTTGCTTGCCTCGGCTTCGGCTTCTTTTCGCTTTCGGCTTGACCGCTCCGATTGCAACTGCTCGTCTCGAAGCATGATCTCCTGGAGCAAATCATCGCGCGAAGAACCGTCAAACATGCGTTGATACTCATCCAGACTCCTGGCTGGCGGGCACTTTCGCCGTTTGCCCCGAGAGCTGGCAGCCTCTGTGTGCGCTCCATCAGTGGAAGTAGCAGCCTCTCCCACGCTGCCAGCAGAGGCGGCTTCAAACTCCAAACCAGAAGCAGGAGAAGCTGCAGGATCTGAAGGACTAGGCAAAGAAACCATCTGCAAAGCACCTCCGGCGCCCGAGCCCGTCTCCCCCAACGCTCCTGACAAATCAGAAAGGGTAGACTGGGAACCTCCCATGCTCACGCTGCGTTGGGCGTTGCTTGGCCTCGCACGCTGCTTCATTTGGTCCTGAATCCACCCCCATTTCCTGCCACCTCCAATCAGGTTCATGGAAAAGTTGCTGAAAATCACAGGGAGCACTGTCAGCATGTACTGGCAATTGTCAGCAGCAAGAGTTTGCTGCGCTGCTGGCTGCTGCAAAACGCGCCCGAGTTTCCTGGACAGCGTAGCTCGAGAGCACGTCGGCCCAAACCTCTCCAAGCAATCCAAAATGCCACATCTGCTGACCCACGCATTGCCCTGGTTGTTTGCCCGGGAGCAAGACAACTGTAGGAAGGACAGCAGCGCTCCCGGGCTCACTTCAATCGCAGCCATCGCCGCTCTGACCACGCTGAAGCACTCACAGCAGGGCCTGCAAACAAAGGTCCGGGGCCCACTTCAATCGCAGCCATCGTTGCTCCGGCCATACCCAAGCACTCATGGCGCGGCCATCAAGAACTTGCGCGCAGACAAAGCTGCTTTGCCTTAACGTCAAACAAACTGAAGCGTGTCCTGCTTCGCCAAGCTCAGGCGAGAGTGGCTGAGTTAGTCACACACAATTCTCAAAAACAACACGACACATCCACGCAAACGTCTAAGCAACACTGGCATTCGAAGAGGCTTGCTTCAAGGCTGACATCCGCAAAAACAGCATCCAGGCCGGCGTTCCATGCAAAATTCCTGGCACAAGCAACGTATGGCCCTCTGTGCGCCCCTGAGTCAACTAACGCCTTTGCAAGGACTTAACAAACGCCCTTGGCCCCACCTCAATCTTTCCAAACAGTCTGTTCTCAACGTTGCTGCGCATGGGCGCTCGCAAAATCACACTGCTTGCGAGAAAACACACGTGCCCTGTGGCCAAACAACAAATTCTCAAGCTGGCAAATGCAATCTGAATGATGACCCTGGAAAAAAAACACATGTCTTTGATCCGCAACTGACAAAGGCGCCGCCATCCTAGAGATCTTGACCGGGGCCCCACGAACCTGCTGTCGGGGCCAGGGACCTTCCATCGCGTCACGTGCCCCGAATCCTGTGGGACAATTCCCGGCTTCACGCCGCAACCCCTGGACGCACGTTACGAAAGAAGGGCACAACTTCATTTTCTCGATTTGCTTCCTTTGAGGGAAGTGCAAGTCACGGGATATGTGGGAGTTTCTCAAACATGCGATCCGTTTTGTGGATGGTTGAAGTTGGAAAAAGCAGTCGGAGGGTGGTCCGGGCTGGTCCACAAGACGAAGTCGAGCGATTCCGCGGGGGGAAGGAGCATGACGGTTCCTTCCCTGACGGGAATTGTATCAATCCCTGGGTCAAGAACGGGCCATTGGAAGGACGATACGACCAAAAAAATGTGATATCTGAGGATGCTTTCGGTTCCCAAAAGCAAGTCTTTGGAAAGGCGAATCAGAAAGTGACTTCTATTCGTCTGGAAAATTGGAATCTTAGAAAGGTTTCTGCAGATTCATGATCGCGGTGCTAAACCAGGAGTACCACTGTGTCGTAGCCCCTCACCCTGGTGAAGTTTAGACTAGATAACAAAAAGGGCCGTCGTGTGCAAACACTCGACCACATTTGTTTGACAGTGGCGACCTTTTCGCTTTTTTAGCTCCTTTGCTGCAGTTCGTGGCAGTTAGTTCAATGGTCTGAATCTGAGACGTTCAATGCATCACGCCGAAATCCAACTGCTGGACCGCCAGCTCCGAAGCACTCGCTGGCGGTGAGGTTGAGGTCTTCATTTCGGAGCTTCGGCCGTTGCGGGGCTTTCACGTGCTCAACTTTGACCCGGAGGGCCCGGTGAGGAGCACGGGTGAGGGGGTGTGCGTGTGCAGGTGCCGGGTGGGCCGATCATGGTTGTGGTTGGGAGACATTCTTTACATTTTTTGGCTTCTTGTGGTTTAGTGGTTGAAATCCAACCACTTCACTGCCAACATTTTCAGTTTCTTTTGCTCCCCTCCCCACGTCAACCAAGCGATTACCACGGATGGCCATGTAGTTCTCTCCGGGGTTTACTTCCCCTACCCAAGGCTCTCGGTCCAAATCCAGAAGCGCCCCCGTGGTTGCACCTAGGGTTGTTCAAGATCCATCTTTGGCCGGGCGGCTTTTGGTTTCTTGGCTTGGCGGCTTTAAGAGGGAGACATCTACGCAGTGGTTTTGGCAAAGCGCGTGAAGTTCATGCAGCGTTTCTCGTCGCCGGGAAAGTCTAGGTCGGGAGCCTTGCTTTTGTAAGAGGGACATACATGCGGTGGTTTTTGCAAAGTGCCAAAAGGAGAGCCGCGTTTCTCGTCGCATAGGAAAGGTTTGAGGGCTTCAAGGTGTGGTCATCACAACTTCTGACCCTAATGCCGAACCCGGAAGCCAACTGGTGGCCGGGGGACGGAGGTCAGCTGAGCTGTCCCTTGCGCAGGGGCACGAAAAGAGATACCTGAGACTCTGAGAGATGATTTTGAGGGAAGCAGTGGTGTTTGTCCAAAGCTGATGCATCACCGCATGGCAGCCAGGGATTCCGCTTGCTTCTGGAACCGAGGGGGACTCAACCAACACGAAGGGGTGCCTACTTGCCTTTCAAACCTCAGGACCGGGCGGTTCTCAAAACGCGCCCGGGAGTAAAAGCCGAGGCACGCTTTGGTTGGTCCGTTTTGCCTTTTCACCTTTCAACCTCTTGGAAAACCTTTGTTTCCCAGAGGCAGTTCTATATCCACTAGGTCCCCCAGTAGTGTCCTCTTACCCTTTCTTTGGGGAGGGTTCCCCGACTAAAATAGACTACAGAAAAAAAGGGTACCCTTATTCTAACCTCTCTACTGGAGGACCTAGTCCAGCTTTGTGTGTGTGTGTGTGTTTGCAAAAGACCAGTCTTTGGCCATCCGACGTCTTTTTTTCTCCCCTGAACGGAAAGTGTGTCTAAACTTTCTGGGGTTCTTGCGGTAAGAGTACCCTATGTCAACAAGGAACCGTTCGACGTTCGGGAAATGGTCCTTTTGACAGGAACGTGGTCCAAGCTTAAAGGGTCCCCGAACGTCGAACGGTTCCATGTTACTTGGTGGCGGGCCGTTTTTTTTTTTTTTGGGTGCGTATTTTCTCCGCCTCCTTTTTTTGAAGACCCCCGCTTGGCATGCGGGGCATGCGGGGCATGCGGGGCATGCGGGGCATGCAACGTGCCCCTGCGCCAGGATCAGCGCGGTGAACTTCCTGGACGGTGTGGGGCGGCAGGAGCCGCATGGATTCCGCGGGGGTTTCAACCTTCAAACGGCCCTGGCGGCGGGCGAACTTTGTGACGCGTGGTGACATGGGATGAGCTTCTGTTGTTGGCATGGCTTGAGGGCTGCAACAACTCATTTTTTACCTACCATACTAAGGGTCGGGGAAGCAAGAAGGGTAGCCAAAGTTGGTATACTACGGGTATGAAGAAGGAAGGGCTATCTACTTCCACCATGAGACGCCAGGAGATTCAGCTCTTCGAGGGCGATGCTTCGACGGGCGTCTTGGACTTTGCCCTAAGGCCCTCGGATGTGCGCGGGCAGAAACTGGGGTGTGACACGGGGAACTGGAAGCCGGTGTCAAGCGACCTCGCACAAGGCCCAAATCTTTTCAGCTTCCCTGAGTTCAGTGAATGGGTATATAACCCACCCGGATCAAGGGCCAAAAAAGGGCTCCAAGCGCGTGCTTATTTTTGCAAGTTGCCTAGCAATGGCTGAATTCTAGCAATGTGATGGCTGAATTCTAGGATTCTATCTGAGATGCGTAGCTTCGCAGTGGCGCGGATTTGGTGGTGACCTCGTCTGGTACAAGCGCGTCAGTTAGCCCATACGATGCGATCTGACATGGACCCCCCAAACTGGATCAAGGAGTTTGTGGGGGAGGGCCTTTTACCTACCACAGGGCATGCCTGAGTTCAGATACAATCCCACCAACCAACCAACTTTTCTAATATTTGAACTCAGGCATGCTACCCTCAACCATTGTTACCACCTAAAACCCCAAATCCCAATATCCCAAAATAAACATCCCAAATTTCCTAAAATCCCAAAAATAGAAACCCACATATTTCACAACATGAGTCTTACAATGTTTTTATTGCATAACATTCCTTCCATATTCACTTTCACGAGCAATACAATGCGCACAACATGACATAACATGGCACAACATTCTGTAACGGAATCACTTCCGTTATTTTCCCCAAAAACAGCTCATACATCTCAACAGGCTTGGCCATCCCTACATTGGTTTAGGTGTTCAAAACGGCGTCAGTGAAACCAACCGGTTTTGGGTCAAGTTTCTGAAGCCGTGACCCGCGCTTCCTGGAATTCTCCAGTTGCAAGTTGCAGGCAAGTGCAAGGGAGGTTATGTATCTCAGGGTTTATTCCTCGTTCTCTTCACCCATTGGACCCTTCAAAGCGACAAGGTTGTGGGGATGATGGGAATCAGCCATTCATGATATACTATCTGCAGAAAGGGGACTCTTTTTTGGCAAGCCGGTGAGTGACGTTTTATATATGAGCTTGAGCAAGGGCCCGGCTTCGCTCATACCCACAAAACGTCCGTGGCTTTAATTTCTTCGGCAGCCAGTGTGTGCGGGCGGTTTATGATGCCTTCAACGCCTCCGCAGAAGCATGGAGTGCCGTCTGCAATGTGCTTTACGGGACTGGCCTGGTATGTCTTGGTCAGCCAGGTCTTGTTCCATGATGGCCTGATCCGACTCTTTTGGATGCACTCGTTGGCGCTCCATACCGGGTAGAGTGTAAAAAGCTCACCCGATGCTGAAAGTCATTTAATTACAAGGATTCTGCGTTTCCAGTTTGGGAATAGAAGTTTGCGCAGCCGTGTGGTCTTTTCTGAGGCTGCCGTTTTGTTTTGTTTTTTGTCCAGAGCTCTTTTGCTTTTTCTAAATGGGGAACCAGAGCTTGCCCCTTATTTTGGGCAACCCATGGTCCGCCTCTAAGTGAACGTTTGTGCAGATCATCAAAATGAGTATGTCAAAATAGGGGATCCCCAACCATGACAACTAGTTTCTCCTTTGCTTTCCATTTTTGGAACAGGCGCAAAGGGAAGAAACTCGAAAACCGCGCCACGCCGTGTTGCCAGGAACTTGTTGCCGCGGCAGCCCTTGGCGGTGCCGCTGCTGCTGGCGGTGAAGCGGCTCGGACAGAGATGAGGTCCGCGGGAAGGAGCGCCAGGAAAGGAATTTCTAGGTCCCGCGAGGTGCTCACCGGTGAAAGTACGAGCCGAAACACGGGGGCTGGGAGATTTGAACCTCAGCCCCTTTCGGAAAAGAGCTACAGGAATGGTTTTACAGACTAGGTCCCCCAGCTAGGTGCCCTTTCTCACCCTTTTTTTGGGGGAGGGTTCCCCTACTAACATGGACTACAGAAAAACGGGTACCCTTATTCTAACCGCGGAATGAGAAAAGCCAAGCAAGACTTAGTTCTGGAAATGCTTTCCCCAACTAATGTAACCGCGGGCCTTAGACGCACTCCGGATGTTTTTCCCGCGGTTTTCTTTTCGGAGTCTTTTGAGGGTGCGCGTTTTGGGGTAATGTTCACAGGAAGCCAAACAAGCACTTGCCACTTGTTTCGGGGGTCCTCCATTTCAAGAAGGCAAGGAGGTCTTGAAATGCAAAACACCAGGCGAAGCTGTGGATTTTAGTTTTAGATGTTGGTTTCGGGTGTGGTTTGTGGTTTTAGAAGTTCAGATTGGATGTTGGGTTTGGGCTTTGGTGTTTGCTTTGTGTTGTATCTATGTATATGTATATATACGTACATATTGATTTGTGCATACTTATGATCCTTCAGAAGTGCCTCTGTCTCCTCGCAATGACCCTCCCAACAAGCTACGTTGGCCATTGTGGAAAGACCGTTCTGCTCGTCTTCGCCACCCCGGGCCGCGGGTGACTTTTATGTTTCTTTTGCCATCGTTTTTTGAGTTGTTGCACCACCTGCACCTCATGGACGGATTTCTCGCCCGGTTCTGTTTCAGGGGTTGTCATGTGTTTTTTCCTTTTTAGTGGCAGACAACCTGCTTGGTGAGGTTACTGTAATTGGCTCAGGAAGTGAGTGACAGCTTCGCAAGTGATTGGCAGACCGTGGAGTATGCTTTGCAGAGGGTTTGGGACGAGAAAAGCAAGCGGGTTTTTGTCTTCTCTGTCTTTTTTGGGTTGACCAAACGCAATAGGGAGCATAGTCACAACCATGAATAGGTGCGGCCGCCCTCGCAATTCGTCACATGGTTTTGGGAATGCAGACCCTTTTGTATCAGGTTTTGATTATGACTCGCAGCCCGCACGCCAAGAACAAGGGACCACGTGGCGAACAAACTGAGCAAACAGGAAACCCAGGTTCGACTTTCTCCCGGAAGGGGTCCCTCCCGCATTCCACGATGCCGATTCGTTTGTCAAGCACCCCATGTTCCCGTGGTTTCCCTTTGCCAGGGGCCATAGCAAGCGTGCAACGTCATTGAGTTGCCGGGTTGGCTGAAGCAAAAGGCTCAGCAGGCTTTGCGCACATTGACGCCAGGTGCACCGTTCCAAATGGGTGTGTCCCTTTTTTGGTAGCTTTAAAGGAAAACCAACAGGAACACCATTCTTTTCAATCATCGTTCTTTTCAATCACCTGCCGTTTTCCCTGGGTTTCTGGAGGTGTTCTGGAAAGAAGGATCCCCGGAAAGAACGGAAATGGAAGGTAGCCCCAGAACCTTTGGGTTTCCTCAGACATGGTCACCAATTTTTTACCCAGGTCGGGTGTGGCTACTAAATGAAAGAGCTAGGTACCCTTTCAGTTTATTTTTCCCCCTTTTTTTTTCCGGGCGGGGGGGGTCCGCTGAACAAAGCCGCAACTGTTCTTCGAACGCGTGCGAGGCGTTGGGCATGGAGACGCCAGCTCTTCCCCTCTGGCTGGGTCTGGTTGCCGGGCTGAGAACCAATGGAAGGTTAGGTAGGGGTTGGCCCGCTTTTGGTGAGCCGTCTTTTTGGTTCGGGGAAGCCAAGGGGAAACGGGGAATTTTGGTGGTAAGGGCAAGCCAGAAAGGAGAACAAGTCATTTTGGGGGCGCCCCTATTTTGACATATGCATGGGTTTGCACCTTTCAGGGGGAACTCTCCATGTTTCTTTCAGTTGCTTTTTGCAAAGGAACGCTTCAGGAGCGGCCTTGGGACCTTTGTGGAGACACCCCCCAAAGCAAGTCGCCGCTTGGAGAGATGAATCTGCGAGCCGAGCGTCGAAGGGCGCCTTGGGGTGCCCAAGGGGGTCTTTGCTTCTGTGGGAGCCATGGTTCAACCACATCTTTGGAGCGAAAGGCAGCTGCTGGTTAAAGTACAGCAAGTTGTTGCCCCTGTGAGGACGGGGAACCCCCCTGTATCTCTGCGAATATAGGAACATATGGCTGCCATTCTTTAAGCCGACAGCGCGTACTTTGTGACCCCCGAGCAGACCAGTGCTCCGAGCCGTTCAAAAAAGTGATCCTGGGTGCAACTTGCGCCAGGGGAGAAGCCCTGAAGCTTTGGAAAGTCAATCTGAACACCTGGGGCACGACCCTCGTACAGGTTGTCAGACCACTCAACAAAGCGGTGCGAGGGTTCTGCAATGCAAAGCTTGAGGTCTTGGAAGCTAGGGGCAGGACATCGAGTTGAGCTTTTTCCCACATGGCAAGGGGTTTTGGGCGCCTTGCTCAGGTCTTCAGAGGCTTTTCTTTTCTCTTTTTTTGCAGGCCTCTTCCACTGGACCATCATGACTTTGTTCTTCCTGCAGCAGGAGGGGCTGCTGTCGGGAGCCCAAGCCGGGAGAGAATCAGGTCGAGGAAGTTTTGTCCAGCCTTCACGCTGGAAGGCCCAGACGGGGGCCCCCCAAATGGGCCATGGGTTGCATAACCTATGGCGATCCCATTTTGGGGGGGATGAACATCCATTTGCCACCTGTTTTGATGTTCACCAGGGGTACAAAAGTTTTGACACACAGCCAAATGGATTCCTGATTCCCCTAAGAAGGAGTCCCGTCGGATTCATTTTTTGAGTTCGCCGGTTGGATTTCGCTTGAAGCCAACGCCTAAGACACGACAGACCACAAGCAGCTGGGTATTTTTTATTGTTTGTGGTGAGAGCCAGAGCTCTTGGCAAGCCAGCATAAGATTGGACCCCGCTGTTGCCATTGTCGATGTTCATATAGTTTCCTTGTTTTCCCTGCCTTGCCTTTCCTTCTTTCCTTCTTTGTTTGTTTCTTTCTTTCTTTGTTTCTTTCTTTCTTTCTTTCTTTCTTTCTCTCTTTCTCTCTTTCGTTCTTGTTTTCGCTCTCGCTCTCTCTCTCTCTCTCTCTCTGCAGTGCGCATGTTTCGCTTGGCAACCTTGCAGTCACTTGCATGGCGTCTTCCTTGAAGCATTTGAGGAGCACACGAAGCTGCACATGTGTCAAGCACGAAAGCGGGGGGATACGCATCTCTTGCACTTTGGCAACCTTCGTTCTTTCCTTCAGCTCTCTTTCTGCTCTCTTTCAGCTCTTCCTGCTCTCTTTCAGCTCTGCCTGCCTGCCTGGCTGTCTGGCTAGCTGGCTGTCTGTCTGTCTGTCTGTCTGTCTGCCTGCCTATCAATCTAAGCTAACCTATCTAATCTACTATCCACAATTAGCTGGCTGTCTGGCGAATTGGCTAGCTAGCTTGCTAGCTAGGTTACGTAGCTAGTTAGCTGGCTGCCCCGTTGGCTAGATACCTAGTTAGCGTTCAAAAACGTTAAGCAAACGCTGAGTGTTTGATTGCCGACGCACCGAAACAAAGTGCGCAGGGGGTCACGCGAGTGAAGTGAACATCAAACAGCGCGCACGATATTGTTGAGGTTGCAAAGCAGTGCGCGCGGCCGCTCCAATGGGCCCGTCTTCGCGCCCGCCCCGAACCCGCAAGCGCAGGCCACAGTTTCTGCTCATTTCTATCCCCAAGTTCTTCAGTGCAAACATGTCCATCAGAGAAACACTGCTTCTAGGTCCCCCAGTAGTGCCCTTTGACCAATTTTTTTGGGGAGGGTTTCCCTACTAAACTAGACTACTGAACAAAAATCGGGTACCAACTTATTCTAACCTCTCTACTGGGGGTCATGTCCACTGGTTGCTCACACTGGCTTGTCCAAAAAGGCACTGGGTGGGATGCTTGGCCGCTTCATGCGCCCAGAAGCTGCTGGCTCGAGAGAAGACACGCGATGAAATGGATGAAGACAACATCTGCTCAAGTTAGATCAGCGAATCCCTCCGCAACATTGGAAGAGCCTGTCACGCAGCAGCTGGGCTCTGGCTGTTACCGACTTTCGCGTGACACACCGCTCCAGATCCCACCGAGTGCTTGGCCATGGCTTCTCTGGACTGCTGGGGTGCCAAAGCCTGGCTGCGGCCCGAACCGCCCATTTGGCTGCGAGGCGTGAATTTGTTTGGCTCGTCTTTTTTAGTAGCCGGTTGTTAAGGGAAACCAAACAAAAACCGAAGCAAGCCAGTTTGCGGGGGTCCAGAGGAGACACACACCCACGTCTTTCAATGGACCGAACTCCTGCACCACATTCAATCCATGAGAAACCATAGTTTGTTGGTGGTTACGGGGGAGTCGAATCATTCCATGGCTTCTTCGGTGCAGGATTTCGTCCCACAGTATCTTGGGAACCCCATTCACCAAATTGCGATCTTTGGGCTTTGATAATGCAGACACAAGGCTGTGGGTCAAAAACAGGCACCTGACATGGAACCCTGCTCAATGGAGACTCGGACTAAAACCTGCGGTCCATATCCTAGCGGTTTCATTTTGACCCATACCCAAATGGAAGCCCAACCACTAAGCCAACTGAAAACCTTATGGCTTGGAGCCACCCACAACACAGAGCCCGCCCCAAAAGGGCCGTGCGAAAAGGCCAGCCCGCCCAGAGAAAAAGGGGGCATCCGAAGACAGGTCGGCTCCGCGCGCTTCCGGGCGTCCACCGGCGGCATCCGCGGGTGGGAAGAAGAAGCTCCAGCTCTGGAGGCGACGATTTAGTTGCCATTGCAAAGCATAGGTGTCCTGTTGATGGGTTACTTTGGATAGAAATAGATGGGTTCGTTTAGATGGTATAGAAAGGCATGGTTTAGATGGGTTCGTTTTGACGGGTTCAGTCAACTTGATGGGGTAGTTAGTTTAGATGGGATTTGTTTGATTGCTCAGTTTGGTTCGATGGTTTTCCTCTCATCGGTGGCTTGGAGTGGGGGATTCTGGTTTAGATTGGTTGCATGCCATCCATTTGCAGGATCCCAAAAGAGGGAGTCACAACCATAGTCGACACGTTTGAACATCAAATAATGATACTGCTTTGACAATCGTTTGCATTTGCATACTTCAACTTTTGAACAACGCGAAAGGGGCGGTTTGTTTCAAGAGCAATCCATATGTTTAAACTACATCAACAAACCAAAAATAAGTTGCTTCCAACTACAGTTAACAGTGTGCTTCAACGTTAAGGCACACTAAAGGGACACCTCTATATACTTGACGAATTATCTAAACGCGGCATTGTGGATTCCACGTTACGCAGCAGAGTAATCCTTGCTTTGTTTCAGGTTGGTTTACAGTGGGTGCATGGTTGGTTTACAGTGGGTGTATGGTTGGTTTACTATAGGTTTATGCACGGGGTAGTATAGGCTTATGGTTGGCTTACCATGGGTTTACGGTTGGTGTACTATAGGTTTACTATGGCTATAGGTTTATGGTTGATGGGCATATGGATAGATTACCATGGGTTTATGGATGGTTTACTAAAGGTTTATGGTTGGTTTACTATGGGTTTATGGTTGGTTTGCTATAAGTTTATGAATGGGTTACCATAGGTTTATGGTTGGTTTACTATGGGTTGATGGTCGAATTACAGTGGGTTGATGGTTTGTTTACTATGGTTTATGGTTGGTTTACTATGTGTGTGTGTGTGGTTGGTTTACAATGTGTGTGTTTCCGGATGGTTGACTATGACTGTGAGGCTGGATTACCATGAGATTGTGGTGGGCTTATCAGTTTACTATTGGTTTATGGATGGTTTACATTGGGTTTATGGTTGGTTTGGATGCTTTACTGGGGGTTTATTGTTGATTTACTATGGGTTTATATGGTTGGTTCACCATGGGTTTACGGCTGGTTTACTATGGGTTTCTGGATGGCTTTCTGTGGGTTTATGGCTGGTTTACTATGGAATTACGGATAGATTACCATGGGTGTATGGATGGTTTACTATGGCTATAGGTTTATGGTTGGCTGGTATGGGTTCATGGATGGTTTAGTCTGGGTTTATGGATAGACTACCATGGGTTTTTTGGATTGTCTAGTATATGTTTTTGGTTGGTTTACTATGGCTATGGGTTTATGGTTGGCTTACTATGGGTTTATTGGTAGTTTACTATGACTTTAGGTGTATAGGTGGTTTACTATGGGTTTATGAACGGTTTACCATGGCTATAGGTTTATGGTTGGTTGACTATGGTTTTATGGATGATTTAGCATGGGTCTACGGCTGGTTTACTATGGGTTTATGGATGATTTACACTGGGTTTGTAGTTGGTTTACAATGGCTATAGGTTTGTAGCTGGTGTACTATGGGTTTATGGATGGCTTACTGTGGCTATAGGTTTTTGGTTGGTTTACTATGGGTTTATGGATGGTTTAGAATGGGTTTACGTCTGGTTTACTATGGGTCTATGGATGGTTTACTATGGGTTTATGGTTGGTTTACTATGGCTATAGGTTTATGGTTGGTTTACTACGGGTTTATGGATGGTTTAGCATGGGTATACTGCTGGGTTTTACTATGGGTTTCTGGTTGGTTTCCTATGGGTTGTTGGATGGTTTACCATGGCTATGGGTTTGTGGATGGCTTACCATGGGTTTATGCATGGTTTACTATGGGTTTATGGATAGTTTACAGTGAGTTTATGGACAGATTACCATGGGTTTATGGATGGTTCGCTGTGGGGTTATGGATGGTGTACTTTGGCTGTAGGTTTATAGATGGTTTACTACGGGATTATGGATAGAATACGATGGTTTTATGGATGGTTTACTATGGGTTTTTGGTTGGCTTACTATGGCTTTATGAATGGTCTTGCATGGGTTCATGGATGGTTTAGCATGGGTTTACAGGGATGGTTTACTATGGTTTATGGATGTTTTACTATGGCTAAAGGTTTATGGTTGGTTTACTATGGCTTTATGGATGGTTTAGCATGGGTTCATGGATGGTTTACTATGGGTTTATGGTTGGTTTACTATGGGTTTATGGCCGGTTTACTATGGGTGTATGGATGGTTTGCTATAGGTTCATGGTTGGTTTACTAGGGGCTCATGGATGCTTTACTGTAGATCTATGGATAGTTTACTATGGTATTATGGATGGTTTACTATGGCTCTAGTTGTATGGATGGTTCACTTTGGGTTATGGATGGTTTACTATGGCTATAGGTTTATGGTTGATTTACTATGGGTTTATGGATAAGTTAACATGGGTTTATGGATGGTTTACTATAGGTTTATGGTTGGTTTACTATAGTTTTATGGTTGGTTTACTATAGGTTTATGGTTGGTCTACTATGGCTTTATGGATGGCTTACCACGGTTTACGGTTGGTTTACTTCAGGTGTTTGGTTGGTTCACTGAATGTTTGTGGATGGTTCACATCGCTATGGGTTTGTGGATGGGGTTTACTGTGGGTTTGTGGATGGTTTGCTATGGGATTGCGGATGGTTTACTATGGGTTCATGGTTGGTTTACTACGGGATTATGGATGGATTTCCATGGGATTGCGTTTGGTTTACTATGGCTATAGGTTTATGGATGGTTTACTATGGGTTTATGGTTGCTTTCTTAAGGGCTTATGGATGGTTTGCAATGGGTTATGGACAGATTGCCATTGGTTTTTGGATGGTTTACTATAGGTTTAGTGTTTACAATGGGTTTCTGGAGGGCTTACTATGGCTTTAGGTTCATGGTTGGTTTACTATGGATGTTTTACTATGGATGGTTTACTATGGGTTTATGGATGGTTTACCATGGGTTCACGGCTGGTATACCATAGGTTTATGGTTGGTTTACTATGGGTTTCTGGCTGGTTTTCTATGTTTTCGGATGGTTCACTATGGCGTTCGGTGTATGGATGACTTACAATGAGTTCTTGGATGGTTTACTGAAGGTTTTTGGTTGGTTCACTATAGGTTTATGGATGGTTTACTATGGGTTTATGGTTGCTTTCTCATAGGTTTATGCATGGTTTACAATGGGTTTATGGCTGGTTTGCTATGGGTTTATGGATGGTTTACTCTAGGTTTATGGATGGTTTACTATGGCTATAGATTTATTGTTGGTTCAGTATGGCTTTATGGTTGGTTTACTATGATATATGGTTGGTTTACAATGGCTATAGGTTTAGTGATGGTTTACCATGGGTTTGTTGATGCCTTACTATGGGTTTATGGATGGTTTACTATTGGTTTTTGGGATGGTTTACTTCTTGTTTTTTTGGATGGTTTGCTGTGGGTTTGACATGGTTTACTATGGCTATCGGTTCATGGTTGGTTTACCACAGGGTTGGCTTACTATGGGTATGGTTGGTTTGCTATGGGTTTATGGATGGTTTACCGTAGGATTATGGATGGTTTACTATGGCTATAGGTTTATGGATGGTTTACTATGGGTTTATAGTTGGTTTACTATGGCTGTAGGTTTATGGATGGTTTACCATGGGTTTGTGGATGGTTTACTATGGGTTTATGAATGGTTTACTATAGGTTTATGGATGGTTTACTATGAGATTATGGATGGTTTACTGTGGGGTTATTGATGGTTTACTATGGCTATAGGTTTATGGATGGTTTGCTATGGGTTTATGGATGGTTTACTATAGGTTTATGGATGGTTTACTATGAGATTATGGATGGTTTACTGTGGGGTTATAGACGGTTTGCTATGGCTATAGGTTTATGGATGGTTTACTATAGGTTTACGGCTGGTTTGATATGGGTTCAATGTTTCGTTACTATTGGTTTACGGCTGGTTTGATATGGGTTTATGGATGGTTTACTCTGGGTTTACACTGGGTTTATGGATGGTTTACTATGGCTATAGGTTTATGGTTGGTTTACTACAGGTTTATTGTTGGTTTATTCTGGGTGCATGGATAGATTACTATAAGTCTATGGATGGTTTATGGGTTTATGAATGGTTTACTATGGTTGAACCAGGTTTGTGGTGACCTTCGGCTGCCGGTTTCGCGGCCTCCGGTTTTTGAGGCCGGCGGGACGTCATGGGCTTCGGCGCGCTGGCGGGGGGTCTGATGGGCTGGGCTGGGTGGCTGGGCTCCTCGATGGAGGCGGGGCGCGGTGGCACAGGGCACGGGGAGGGGCGGGGCTGGGTTGCGTCAAAGAAGCCGGGAAGGTGCTGTCTGATTACGCCTGGTTACTACCATTCGAAGAATGCATGCCTAACCTTCCATTTGCTGAAATGAATATTCTGTATTTTCCTTTGGTGTTGAAGGGAATCCATCACTACTGGACATATTTTCAGTTTTCTCAGGCAAATGGAAGTAACTCGAAAGTGGGTTCGTTCTTGGAGGTATGCCAAAGGGGTCCCAAAGCAGTCCCTTCCCACCAGTTTGGCGCCACATGTGAACCTGAAAGAGGTGTCCCTGTTTCTCTTACCCCGCGGTCCACTAACATGGTACCCACCAGGGAAATGGTTCCTTTAAAGGAACATCGTCGAAAAACCAGGATGCATTTCTCAGTCAGGTTCGATGTAAGTGGAGGGTAGGTAGTCCAAACTTAGATGGTCTGGTTAGCTCAATGGCTCATAACCCTTGTTGTAACCCACCAAAGCGATGGTTTTTGAGTCCCTAACCAGGGTTACTAGCCATTTGGCTAATTTAGCTACCCTCCCACCAAACATGGAAGTGCACAGACCCCTGTAGATAGACGAGTCTTTCCTCTTGGAAAGGGCCTTTGTGCACTTCCATGGTAGTTAGTGGGAGGGCAGCTCGTCTGGCCAAGGAAAGCTACGCCCATAGGGCTCCCCATAGTTCTCATGTTGGTCGTTTGCTACATCCCCTAGTTGTGCCAAAGGGAGATGCTCTCGGTGGAGTTTGTTTTTGCTTTTTTTCCTCACTCCCTGAGTTAAGTTGCTGGGCTTTAGTCACTTTTTGGGAAAATTGAAGTTTCCCTTAGATACTCACTTCGTTTGGGTTTGGACCATTTTAGTGGCAAACAACAAGTTCGGTTACTTTCTTTGGCCAGTGGATGAATAATCAGTTTTCATGGTAGTGTGGAACTCCTTTTCAAGGAAGGCTGTTCATTTCAGTGGAAAAGGCACGCACTGAGGCAACGTTTGTTCTCTGCACTCAATGCCGTTGCCCTTCTCTCCAAAATAGTTCCCCGAACTGCCATTGGTTTCTTCCTTGTAAATTTGTGGTTTCCCTTAGATACTCACTTCCTGAGTTCCTGGACTTTGTTCACTTTCTGTGTTTGGGCCATTGGTGGTAAATAACCAGCTTGGTTACTTTTAGGGGCAATCCACTCAGGAAGCGAGTCTTTCTTTTCACCGGAAAGACGAGAGACGCGCATCGGAGTATAATTTTTTGGGGTGCCCTTGAGAAGACACCAAAGTGGTGTGAGCCAAAGTGGGGTGATTTGGGGAATCGCGGATTTGATGGTAAGGGTTGTACCAGCCCACAAGCCACCCCTCCAGATCAGCCGAAGAGCCTTTCCAGACCAGTGTTTCTAGGCGTCAACATGAGATACTCGGCTGAACAAGGCGACAGCCTACCACTTGGGGGGGGGGGTGGCTTTGACAATGCTTGCGCCTTTGGAATAATTATTCTCTAGATGTATATATATATACACATGTGTATGATACTTATGTGGGATGACCATTAGGGAAAACCACTGAACATATGATAGTTCCCTCTAAACGGGAAAAGGTGCCTTTGGTCATTTGGGCGCCAGGAATAAACCCCAGGCAGATCTGTGTACTGAAGAGATGGTGCTACAGCAAGCTCTGGGGACAAAAGCAAGAGCTCTCCCAGGATGCAAGGCCCTAAATATTGGAGATTCCTGAATTTCAGGTTGCTGCACCATAGGCCCGAAGCCCAACGAGTATTGAGGGTGCCCGCGGGGCAAAGGCCATTTGTTTCCCTCTCTAACAGTCAAAATCGTTGCACCTGACAGCGTGGAAGGGATCTCTTCAAGAGGAAACTGATCCCCGTTGCCCTCCTACAGGTGCTGTGGTGAGAGGATAGTGGTAGGACTGACTCTCGATTTTTCCTCCGAGAATCTCCCTCTCTCTCTCTCACTCTCTCTTTTTGTCTCTCCCTCTCTCTGTCTGTTTATCTCTCACTCTCTCTCTCTCTCTCTCTGTCTGTTTGTCTCTCTCGCTCTCTCTTCGAGACAGGTCCGTGCACTACACTTCCAAGTGTTTGTCTTGGGGCGGTACTGTATGACGTTTTCTCTTGTTTTTGTTGTTGTTTTGGCGGTTCATGTTTTTATTGTTCTGTGGTGGTGGTGTTACCAGGCTTAGCTTTCCTTTGCAACTGTTTGGATTTGCTGTTTCCTTCGTTTGTTTTTTCTTCCTTAGTGTTTTTTCATGGGGTCTACCCAGTGCCTTGTGTGTGTGTGTGAGTGCGTGTGTGTGTGTGTGTGTGTGTGTGTGTGGGCATTTTGGTATCCCCCGCCCCTTAAAACATGGAATGGGGTGGCCTAAGTTCCGCGCCAATCGCCCATCTCAGCCCCTTTGGTTAGAGACCAGACCCAGCTTTCCTCTTCCTGGGTCACTGTACCCCAAGCGCTGAACCTGTATGTAGTCAACTTGAAGTAGTTTCCTTCTATGACAGGATGTGGGTTGCAAAGCGCACTTTTTCCTCTGTGTCCATTTGTTGAGAACCTCCCAAAACGTGGGGCGAAATCAAATGGGTGATCTCGGCTGGCAATGGCTCAACCGGGGATTTGTGTTTGTTGGGAGCCTCCAAATGTGGGCGAATTCAAATGGGACCCCAGCTGCCCATGGACCAACTTGGGGAACCCAGCTAGCCACAATCAAAACCGATTCGGGTAGATGAAGCTTAAGGGGTCCCCAGAAATAGTTGCGGATATCCGCCTTGATTCTTGAAGCATGGTTCTGGGATTACCATCTTAATACCGGGTTTTGATTGTGCCTCCCAGTCGCGAGGCCTCCCAGTCGCGGTCCCGGAGCTCGGGCTTCCGGGAGTTGGAGGACGCCACCAGGTGGGAGCTGAGCTTCTTCAAGGAGACGCTGAGGACTGGGTTTTTGCTTTTGTTTTTTTCCAGGGGGGGAGGGGTGGGGGAAATGTGGGTTTTATTTTTCTTAGCAGCGGCTTCTCGCGTAGTACCGGCTCAGGTGGTTGGTTGGTTGGTTGGTTGGTTGGTTGGTTGGTTGGTTGGTTGGTTGGTTGGTTGGTTGGTTGGTTGGTTGGCTGGTTGGCTGGTTGGCTGGTTGGCTGGTTGGCTGGTTGGCTGGTTGGCTGGTTGGCTGGTTCGCTGGTTGGCTGGTTGGCTGGTTCGTTGGTTGGCTGGCTGGTTGGTTGGTTGCTTGGTTGCTCGGTTGCTTGGTTGCTTGGTTGCTTGGTTGCTTGGTGCTTGGTTGCTTGGTTGCTTGGTTGCTCTGGTCGGCGGTGTTGGTTGGCCGGCTACCTGCTTGTTTGGTTGGCGGGACGGCATAGCATATGTTCGTTCGTTCGTTCATGAAGCGAGTCAGTCAGTCAGCCAGCCAGTTAGTCACTCATACACCCACCCACCCAGTGGGTCGCTCAGCTTCTTAGAGCACCTGGTTTGCAATCGCACATTTTCGTCAGTAATATCCTTAGTTGGTTTGTATCGGGGGGGGCTGCAACTTTGTTCGGCTTTGTGATCCTTGTTTATAACCGCACACTTTCTGCCTTGGTTTCTGGATTTGTTTCGCTTTTCGGGGCGGCTTCCCCCCCCCCCCCAAACCCCCCGCTTCTTTACAGGGCCTTTGTTCGGACTGTTGTCCTTGCTTGTAAGCGCGCACTTTCTCCATTAGTGTGTGGATCTGTTTTGCTAATGGGGGGGGGGGGGCTGCGCCCCCTGCTTCTTTGTTCGGCTTGCCAACCCCCCGCTTCTTTCTAGGACCGTTTGTCGGCTTGGTGATCCTGGTTTGCAAGTGCGCACTTTCTCCACTAGTGTTCTATTGGCCCCACTTCTTTACAGGGCCGAAACCAACTCTAAACCCATCCTACACCAGCCCTAAACCACTCTAAACCAACCCCAGCACTGAAGCATCCCAGTACCTAAAGCGCCGCCACCCCCAACTTGCCTCACGTTCCATCTTGCCTCGCCTGCTAACTTGCGGCCCCAGCTCCCGGAGCCGGTGCTAAGCACAGAGCCGGTGCTAAGCAAAAGAAAAACCCTCCGCCCGAGGGGTGCCCCCCCCCCCCCCCCATTTTTTTAAGGTGTGGGCGTTTGGCTTTTGCAACCAACACTTTTCTGTTTCTTTTTGGGGGGAGAAGAGACCCCCCCCAATTTGTTGTGGGTGTGTGTTTTCCTTCGGTTGCCAAAAGGAAGCCACAAAAAAATAGATGGACCTTCTCCCACAATACCCCCGGACTCCGAGACACTGAGACCGGGATGGACTGAAAGGATATGCCTTGGGTTCGAATGGGTGGCAGTGGGTGCTCCTTGAGTGTCCCTTTTCAACAACCCCAAAACGAGGCTGTCCCCAACAAGAGACATATCCAAGTGAGATTCAGAACTGAGGGTGCATGCCCCCTCCGTCAGTTTTCAGCTGCTTGAGTCATTTTACTCCAATCTAGCTTTCCCACTGCCGCCCGGGATCTTTTTTTTGAAATAGTCTACGCCTTTTTCGTTGCAGTGGGTGCCCTAAACAAGACACTACCAGATGGTGGCCAGCGGCCAGACTCAAACATGTCAAATATGGTTGTGAGAGTCGCGGGGTGTCAGGGGCAACAAAACTAAACCTAGGCAAACAAACCTCGACCCAGACGTGCGGCTCTGCAGGTTCACTTTGTTTTGTTCTTTTTCGTGAAAGGCTTCCTTGAAAATCCTTTTCCACCATCTAGGGATCTAAGCCCAGACCCTGTCCACCTGGCCGTGTTCGTCGAGGTATGAGGGGGTCCATCAGACCAACTGGGTCGCACGTGCTAAGCAGCACCAAAGGTTGATTTCTCCGAAGGAAGTTCCAAAATGGCTGTGGTTGTTAACACCAATGGGATCCCATTTTGGTTGGTAGGTGAATTCACCCCCCATTTTAGAACCTATTTTAGTGGTTGGATTGGGATGTTCACTGGGAACGGGGTTTTGACCCATGTCCACAATGAGTCGCGGATGGGCTTTGCCAGACCCGCCGTACCTCAGGAGTGTGGAGGCAATGTGTCCGAGGCCGGGCTTTTGGCTCCAAGTTCTCGGTGAAAGCTTTTGGTTTGAGGATCCTTGGTTGAATGCCACCTCCTCTTCCAAGCAGTTCCTGATGAATGGTATTGGGCTGTGGGCCAAGTTTAGGCAGTGTTTAAACGGGACAGGCTGAGATGGAGCCAATCTCCCGCAAAATGGACCATGGCTATTTGGTAACGGACCTTTGGACTTTAGCTTTTTGGTTGAGACAGGTCGGGTTTTCCGAATTGGACCCACAAAAAGTGAAAAACCAACTGATTGCAGCGGTGTCGTTGCAGCAACCAAGTTTGGAACCCCTCTTGGTTGTTGGTATTACAGGGAAGCCCAAAGCAAACCAATTTTGTGGCCTACGCCCATAGGTAAATCCTGGCAAAGCTGTGGGTCAATTTAGCTGAAATGAATATATTCTAGGGGACACTTCCCCATTCTTTCCAGGGATCCTTCTTTCCAGAAAACCATCAGCGATCGGTTTTTGAAAATAATGAGGGTTGAAGAGAATGGGATCGATTTCACTGGGCATATTTTCTCATTGCAGGCGTTTGACTCGCCAGGAACTCCAGGGTGTTGTACCACTACACCGACCTGGAGAGTGCCAAGGTTGGGATTCGGGATGCAGAGACATTTTGGAAGGAGCTACTCAAAGATGGAACCCCAAAAGCCGAAGATCTAAACATCTGCTTTTGCCCCCCCTTTGTTTGGGTGGTGAACCCCACTCGTCTCTCACAATCTGATTTGGGCCCCCTTTTTTGACTTTGATAACCCCAGAAACAGTCAACATAATTACCCCAGTCCTTGTACTTTAACTTTTTGGTTGAAACCCCTTGTTTACCAGAATGGTTCTGCCTTCTGTTTGCTTTTGCAATTCAGGCCCGCTGGAGAAAAAATAGAGAAATGTGTCCAGTAAATAGTGAAATCCAAACATATTCAGTCCAGCAAATGGACCCACAGCTTTGCTGGGGAAGAATCACCTGTGGGCGTAGACCCCAAACATGGCTTGCTTTGGGCTTCCGTTTAATACCAACAATGCTGCAACGATCCCTCTGAAGCGTTTCACTTTTGGTGGGTCCAATTCGGAAATTCCAGATGAGTTGATTGCTGGGAGCCGACCATTTTCCGTGAGAAACTTTTGACAAGCTTCTCATGGAACCAGCCATCCCACCATCTTGATTTTGAGAGAACTCAAGGGGGTTCTCTCAGCTTTCTGGCTTTGGTAACGGATCTTTGTACTTTAACTCTACCTCAAAACTTCCTAATATCGTATTTATTATTTGAAAGCTTTCGGTTGAAACAGGAGATATATTATTTTTGAAGCCTTCGGTTTTTCTACTCCGCCAGCGTCTAGGAGTAGCTTCCATTTCCATTTCCCGGAATCCGGATCTTTCTAGGAACCCCCCAGAAGCCCCAGGGGAAACGGCGATCGGTTTTTGGAAAGAAGGATGGTTGAAAAGAATGGAAAAGGAATCAACCCCTAGATACTTGATTGAAATTCATGGCCACGTGTGCCCTTCAAACTTCGCCCCACTGAAAGACTAAACAAAGCTTCACACTAATGCAATCCAAACCAATCCAAACCACCAAGGGGGAATCAACCCCTAGAAAACCAAACTCAGTTGAGGATTTTTTTCAATGCCCCCCTTTCCAGGAACCCATGGAATTACCGGAACGACCAACAAAAATAGGTAGGGTCGCTATTTGGAGACAAACCCAGTTGACGCCCAAAGGAGGAAACCCGTTTTTACCAACACTCACGTTCGATCGAGAAGGAGAAACCACTGGACTCAACCCCTAGCTCCGCCTAGCTCGCCATGACCGGCCGGCGCAGGCCATCCTGAAGGGGCACCAAGGCATTCGCCTCTCGCGGGGCGGCTACCGCGGGGGCGGGGTCTTCTTCTCGCGGCGCCGGCCCACGGATGCCGAGGAGGACCCCGAGAAGGCCGGGGCTTCGGGGCTCCGGAACGGATTTGCGAGGGGGCGAGTTCTCTAGGGTACCAACTTATTCTAACCTCTCTGGAGGATCTAGTTGTGTTGGGACAAATGGTAATTTTTCAGGGTATGGACTAAGGTGGTTTGGATCGGTTGCCTATAATTCCGAACCCGTTCCGAAGCCATGTCCACCTGGTCACTTGTGAGGTGGTTTCCTCTAAAAATGTCTGGCCCTTTTCCCGTTTAAAGATTACCAAACGTACATGCAAGCTTGCCTCAAGTGTTGCCCAAGGTCATGCTTAAAACACCACCAGGGAAATAAAGCGAACCATGACTAGGTTTTCCAGGATCGTGCCCTTTCTCACCCCTTTTTGGGGGGAGGGTTCTCCTACAAGTAAGGTCCGGCAGAGCCGGGGGGCGGAAGTTTCAAAGCAGTGAACAACTATAGTTTGGAGAACTGTCCTTGGCCCCTTGCTTCTCTCTCTCTCTCTTTTTCTCTCTTTCTCTCTTTCTCTCTTCTCTTTCTCTTTCTCTTTCTCTTTCTGTTTCTCTGTCTCTTTCTCTCTCTTTCTATCTATCTCTCTAGCTATCTCTATATCTGTTTATTGATCTATCTATCTACCCATCTTTCTCTGCACTTAAAAGTTGCGATGTTCAATCCCCGAAAGTTGACTTCGCGTACTACTTTCGTACTTAAAAGTTGCGATTTTCGAGCCCCAGCTGCGAAACTGGACTTCACGTACTACTTTCGTATTAAAAGTTGCGATTTTCGAGCCCCAGCTACGAAAGTGGACTTCGCGTACTACTTTCGTACTAAAAAGTCGCGATTTTCGAGCCCCAGCTGCGAAAGTGGACTTTGCGTACTACTTTCGTACTTAAAAGTTGCGATTTTCAAGCCCCGGCTGCGAAAGTGGACTTTGCGCACTACTTTCGTACTTAAAAGTTGCGATTTTCAAGCCCCAGCTGCGAAAGTTGACTTCGCGTACTACTTTCGTACTTAAAAGTTGCGATTTATCTATAGATCTACCTATCTATCTACCTCTCTATCTCCTATCTATCTATCTACCTCTCTAGCTATCTCTATATCTGTTTATTGATCTATCTATCTACCCATCTTTCTCTGCACTTAAAAGTTGCGATGTTCAATCCCCGAAAGTTGACTTCGCGTACTACTTTCGTACTTAAAAGTTGCGATTTTCGAGCCCCAGCTGCGAAACTGGACTTCACGTACTACTTTCGTAGTTAAAAGTTGCGATTTTCGAGCCCCAGCTACGAAAGTGGACTTCGCGTACTACTTTCGTACTAAAAAGTCGCGATTTTCGAGCCCCAGCTGCGAAAGTGGACTTTGCGTACTACTTTCGTACTTAAAAGTTGCGATTTTCAAGCCCCGGCTGCGAAAGTGGACTTTGCGCACTACTTTCGTACTTAAAAGTTGCGATTTTCAAGCCCCAGCTGCGAAAGTTGACTTCGCGTACTACTTTCGTACTTAAAAGTTGCGATTTTCGAGCCCCGGCTGCGAAAGTTGACCTTGCAAAAATGCTGCGCCTGCCACCAAATCTGTGCTTGACCTTGCTAAAGTGCTGCGCCTGCCACAAAATCTGTACTTGACCTTGCGAAAGTGCTGCGCGTGCCACGAATTTTGCACTTGACCTTGCGAAAGTGCTGCACCTGCCACAAATTCTGTACTTGACCTTGCGAAAGTGATGCGCCTGCCACGAATTTTGTACTTGACCTTGCGAAAGTGCTGCGCCTGCCACGAAATCGATACTTGACCTTGCGAAAGTGCTGCGCCTGCCACGAAATCTATACTTGACCTTGCGAAAGTGCTGCGCCTGCCACGCAATTCAAACCTTGCGAAACCTTCGCGCGGCCGTGCCAATGGGCCCGTCTCCGAGACCGTTCCGAGACCGCCTCCGTACAGGCGTCGCAGCCGAGGTGGTTTGCGCACAGTCCGGAAGCCCAATTCACGCACAGCGCCAACGTTTTCTGCATCTTGCCATCCCCCAGCTCGCAGAGAGTGGACGCAGCACCTTGCGAAAGTGCTGCGCCTGCCACGAAATCGATACTTGACCTTGCGAAAGTGCTGCGCCTGCCACGAAATCTATACTTGACCTTGCGAAAGTGCTGCGCCTGCCACGAAATCTATACTTGACCTTGCGAAAGTGCTGCGCCTGCCACGCAATTCAAACCTTGCGAAACCTTCGCGCGGCCGTGCCAATGGGCCCGTCTCCGAACCCGTTCCGAGACCGTTCCGAGACCGTTCCGAGACCGCCTCCGTACAGGCGTCGCAGCCGAGGTGGTTTGCGCACAGTCCGGAAGCCCAATTCACGCACAGCGCCAACGTTTTCTGCATCTTGCCATCCCCCAGCTCGCAGAGAGTGGACGCAGCACCTTGCGAAAGTGCTGCGCCTGCCACGAAATCGATACTTGACCTTGCGAAAGTGCTGCGCCTGCCACGAAATCTATACTTGACCTTGCGAAAGTGCTGCGCCTGCCACGAAATCTATACTTGACCTTGCGAAAGTGCTGCGCCTGCCACGCAATTCAAACCTTGCGAAACCTTCGCGCGGCCGTGCCAATGGGCCCGTCTCCGAGACCGTTCCGAACCGTTCCGAGACCGTTCCGAGACCGTTCCGAGACCGCCTCCGTACAGGCGTCGCAGCCGAGGTGGTTTGCGCACAGTCCGGAAGCCCAATTCACGCACAGCGCCAACGTTTTCTGCATCTTGCCATCCCCCAGCTCGCAGAGAGTGCTTGCGAAAGTGCTGCGCCTGCCACGAAATCTATACTTGAGAAAGCTATCTACGTGTTAAGCTGGCTATATGTCAAAGCTATCTATCTGTCATGCAAGCCTATTGGAAAGCTATCTATCTGTCAAGCTAGCTATATGTCAAAGCTATCTATCTGTCATGCAAGCCTATTGGAAAGCTATCTATCTGTCAAGCTAGCTATATGTCAAAGCTATCTATTTGTCATGCAAGCCTATTGGAAAGCTATCTATCTGTCAAGCTAGCTATATGTCAAAGCTATCTATTTGTCATGCTAGCTACCTGTCATAGCTATATGTCAAAGCAGCTAGCTCATTTAGTTCCAGTACTACGGAAGTTTCTTGTTAAACTTCCTTTGACTAAAATAGACTGCAGACAAAAGTCGGGTACCAACTTATTCTAACCTCTCTGGAGGACCTAGCTGAAAGAGCGGCAAAAAATGGCGCTCCATCTTTTAGCCTGGGGTCTCAGAAAAACTCCAAGCCTTTCCCCCCCTCCCCCCCACACCCCAGAAAACAAAAACCACCTGAGCTTTGCGTCAAATCAAAGGATCGTTTTTGTTGGTCTTTTTGGCCTAGGTGTTTTTTTCTTAAAAACTCTGGTGTCCGGTGGCTTCTCACCAAGCAGTCTTGCAGAGGTCACGTTTTGGTTGGCTCCTTTGGGCCAGGAGTTGTTTTTTTTTCATACAAAAATAAAATAAAAATAAAATAACAAAGTATTACGTAAGTTCAATTCAAGGAAATCGACAAACAACAAGTTTCTTTACATAGGGTTCAGCTGCATCTCTTGCTTTTGCGTTTTTGTTTTTGTACATCCATTTGGCCATGGGTCAAAAGCCCGTACCACCATTGAACATCCCAATCCCCACTAAAATAGGTTCTAAAACGGGTGGTGAATTCACCTACCAACCAAAATGGGATCCCAAAACGGTTTTGACAACTACGGCCAAATGTCCACTTCCTCAGCAGAGAAACGATCCCCGTGTCGAAAATAAATAAACAGACAAAACCACATAATAAACCACATTTCCGGGGGAAAAAAAACACAATTGCCTTATACAGGGTCAAACTGCATCTGTTTTTTGGTACATCCTTTTTGAGCGTCCGGAGGCCAAGAAGCTCTGGGGCAAGATCTTCCCCCTCTTCCGGGCTGCCCAGCTGCGCGCCAACTACGGGAAGGACTTCCAGGGCCGGGAGCGCCAGGCGGACGCGGTGCTGGTCTGCTTCGCCCCGCATTCCATGGTGGAGGCGCCGGGGCCACGGGGGGGGGGGAGGAAGGGAAGGGTGCCGAAATGTGCCGAAAGCTGGGAGATTTGAACCTCAGCTGTGAAAAGAGCTACAGGAATGATCTTATAGACTAGGTTTTATCAGCTAGGTGCCCTTTCTTTTACCCTTTTTTGGGGGAGGGTTCCCATACTAAAATAGACTACAGAAAAAAGGGTACCCTTACTCTAACCTCTCTACTGGAGGACCTAGCCGGGAAGGGGGGGGAGGTATACGGGAAAAAAAACACGTTGGATAAGGGGCAAATCACTTGTTGACCCCACATAGAGTTTTTCGACCAACCAGGCTATTCTGAGAGTGCTTTTGGCTTTTTGAAAAGTGGTCTGATTCCCCACATTTCGCCCAGAATCGGATGGTCGATTCCTCTGGGGTTAAATATGATACGGCGAAAACAAATAAACAAAACGGAGGGAAAACACGGGGGCCAGGGGATGTCATGAGGTGCTCCCCGGTGAAACCAAGGCGAAACACGGGGGGCCTCAACCCTGGGAGAAGAGCTACAGGAATGAGTTTATAGACTAGGTCCCGCAGCTAGGTGCCCGACCTCTCACCCCTTTTTTGGTTGGGAGGGGTCCCCTACTAAAATAGACAGAGAAAAAATCGGGCACCAACTTATTCTATCCTCTCTACTGGAGGACCTAGTAGATGTTACAAGGTTCCATCGAGATGTCTTCCTTGAACCTCAATCGTGATGTGGCCGGCTGAACATGGAGACAAAGAGACCCCTGAACGAATTGCGAACATGAGTTTTCCCCGTGGGAATGACTTCAGTTTGCCCCCAAACACTACCTACTGGGGTAGACTTTGGATACATTTCGCATTTTACCAGTGACTCAAAGGGAAGCAAACAATAGAATATACATTCTACAACTGACCCTAAGTCAAATCATGACTATTTAGGCCCTGTTGACCGATTGGTTCGGGATGGAGCCCACAAAACGCGGGCTGAACGAACTCATTGCTTCCCCAATCCCGGACCCCCCACAAACAACAAACAGAAAATAATCTTTATGGCCCTGTTTTGTTCTTGCGTTTCCAAAAGCACTCCTTACTTTAAACTTCCCCCTTCTTTTTGTCACTTGCTGAGTTCCGTAATTCGAACCTGATGCTCTTCGGGTTTGGACCATTTTTAGTGGCAACCACACAGTTTGTGGGGGACTTTGACAATTTGTTCGTCCTGTCCAGTCCAGGGTTCGGCCGCTCGCTCGCTCGAATCCTCCGCGAGAACGCAGGACTTGGACCTGATCGACCGCTCGGGCGCCAGCTTCATTTCTCTGGAGCGCTTCGAGACCTTCGACGCGGCTCGGCGAATCGACCGGAGCTGACCTCTGGGGTTGCCCATGTTACGGGCCCCTCTTTTTTAGGGAGGGTTGTAACCACAAAGAAAACACTTGGCCAAGACAGCGTGCAGCGTTGCATCAACTAGTTTCAGCAAAGACAAGCCCGACAAGAAGGCTTATAGAAAGGAACAAAAAGGCTTTAGAAAAGAAAAAGAAGGCTTGTAGGAAGGAGGAAGGAATGCTCATATTTTCCTTTCTTTAAGCCTTCTTATTTCTTTGTAATCCTTCTTATTCCTTTCTATAAGCCTTCTGATTCCTTTCTGTAGGCCTTCTTGTTCCTTTCTATTGGCTTTCTTATTGCTTCCTTTTTTCTTGCTTGTCTTGAGGCTTATCGCTGTAACTTGCTTTCTGCCGTGGCAATTTGTCTTGGTTGCACCCCCGCCCCTCTTTGGTCCATTTTTCGTCACCTCAGAAGGTTCACCTTTTCTTTCTGGGTTTTCTAAGGGGCAACCGGGAAACGAGACGCCTGAAGTGGCCTTCTTCGGTTGTGCGGTGGCTTCCGCTTCGAATGCTCATAGGGTCGAGGCAGTTTTTGGGATGAAAGCGCGGGGGTGTTCTTTTCCATGTCCCGTAGCTGCTTCAAGAATCACGTGAGCCAGGGATGTACGAGGACATCTAAGAACACGCTGAGATAGTTCAAAGAGGGTTAGGAGAAGCAACGAGGGTTTAGTTGTGGCAGACCTGATTTTTCCTCAGGTGACATCCAGGGCTGTGAATTTCAATAAGGGACCCTTTGGTATGCATCATTTACGTGGCGGTTTGTGTCGGCAAACCTTATATTTGAGGGTCACCCCTTCACGCAAGCGGTAGCATTCGGAATCCTTTTGCCAAGCTTCTTGCCGGATGAATCAACAGGGCTCCTTAAAAGATACATTTTGCCCATTAGAAACATGGCTTTTCTGCACCAAAATAAAGGGACACCGCCATTTACAAGGCAGTGTTCAGGTGTATAATGTAAGGATTGATGAGAAACCCATGGTTGATTTTGATCGGGGGGTGTCCAATTCCTTTTAGTGGGGGATTCAGACCACTTTTGGAGGGAACTCCCCCCCAACAACGGGACGGGTTTATTAATCCTGGGTCAACATAAAGTGGGAAACTGACCCAACTGACAACCACCAATCCAAGCCACCAGTTCGAGGGAAGCCGACAGCAAAGAAACAACAGTTGTTGGCCTTTCCCAATTTTCACTGCAGGAGTCTGACCGAAGAAAAAAAAGAAGGGTTTCCATTCGAGGGCCCTCGCCTCAGTGTTGCCTCGGCCTCCGCCGAGGCGGAGTACTTTGCCATCCGAAACATTCCGAGGGCTTACCGCCTGGCGCCGGCACCTTCCTGAGGGAGAAACCCACAGACCGGCCTTTCCGACCGGCCTTAGGTTGCGCCCGCCTTTAGCGGGCGAGAGTTCCGGCGAGCACCCGAAGCGCATCACGGAGGGGTGTTCCACGAATCTAGGGGTTGATTCCTTTTCCATCCTTTTCGACCATCGTTCTTTCCAAAATCCGGCCGTTTCCGCTGGGTTGCCGGAGGTTTCCTAGAAAGAAGGATCCCTGGCAAGAAACGGAAGGTCCCCCTAGAACTCAAGTTGAATCACCCGGTTCAACCATCGGTGGGGCGGGGGGAGTCCATTGCGGAGAGCATGCAGTTGAAGCGGGGGTGTTGGGATCCGACCTTTCACCGGGCCATAAAGGCGGAGTTCACCCCACAGAACCCCTCTAGAAGCAAGCGACTACCGTGGATGGACGAAATCCGTTCGCACCACCTTAGAAAGCATCCCATGTTTGTTGGTATTTTCAGGGGGATCGAATTTCGAATCATTCCAGGGTTTCTTGAATGGTGCTGGATTTCGCCCATCCACAGCAAGAAGCAACTATGTAGATAACCTGCTTTGCAGTGGAAGCACAAAGTGCCTCGCAACGAATCGGTTTTTCGCCCTTTTGCGAGAAAGAAAAAGGCCTCGGTTTGCAGCGAATCGGGACGCGGCGCTTGCCTGAATCTCATGACCAGAAAAGAGTCCGGAGAGAAGTCTTCCCATCTTCCTGGGCGTATCATAATTCATGAGCTCACCAATTCGGGGAGAACACAGCAGACTTTCTCCGTGAAGGTCCTCTACTTGGGCCATTCCTGTTTGGAAGAACCACACAAAGGGGTATTGTTCCCCACCAATTCACTTGGATTCATTCTGACCGAAAGTTTCTGGCAGACCATGAACTCCTTAAAAAACAAAAAAAACTGAATGAATCCATGTGTTTCTGGCAGACCATGAACTCCTCTTTAAAAACACCTGTCAGAATGAATCCATGTAGTCCAACAAAACTTGACGTCCGAGCCGCCCAGCTTCGCCGAGGCCGCCGCTCCGAAGCCTGCCAGCAGGCGGGCGATGGCCTGTGCTAGGTGCCCTCTTTAAGCCCGTTTTGGGACGGGAGGGTTCCGCTACTAAAATAGACTACAGAAAAAAAAGGGGAACAAAAAGAGGAAAACAAACGGGTACCAACTTATTCTAACCTCTACTGGAGGCACCTAGTGTGATACAACAGAAAGGGCTTCCCAAAGTCTAGCCCACCCTTAAAAAAGGGAGATTTGCTTGTATCAGAGTGGTGGTTGGAGAAACCGATTTCCCTGATCCCACAGCCCTGGTAGGGAATTAAACCCTAAACCTTAAACCCGAACCCCGAACCCCTAACCCCTGAACCTTCAAAACGTTAAACCCTAGACCCTAAAGCCTTAAACCTGCGACATGCTCGATTTCCTCGAGTGCCTTGGCTGGGGCATGGAGGCGCAGCGTTTGCTGGAGCTGCAGGGCATTCCGCCACCGTGGGCGGACCCTTTGGGTGTGTGGTTGGAGGAAATCAGTTATCCCGAGCCTGAAGATCAAGATGCCTGGCCGGAAAATGAGTGGACAGAAGGCGCGTGCTTTGTGGCAGGCTGTTTCCCGGCGCCTTCAGTCAGACAGACGCTCAGTAATGCGGATAGGAGCAAATCACGCGGCCTCTCTTTGCCGAGGTTGATGAAGCCTGACGGGACAGAGTCTGAATGAACCGGACTTGGGGATTCCCTCGAAGGAAGCCACAAGGGGACGGTTTTTCTTGGTCATTCCATTTTTCATTCCCCAAGAACCAGCCAGTTTTCTTGAGGCAGCTGAAAGCGATTTGGGGGTCGAAATCGGGACATCGTCCCAGTTTGGGTTGCAGCTTTCTGAGTTTCGCCCGAGGGCTCAAAGAAGTCCGAGGAGTTGCTTCAGTTGGGCATGGCTCGACCAACAACATTTTTGACCAAGCCCGGGGCACGCATCCCTTTTCCCATGGCCCTTTCGGGGGTTCGGCGCAGCCACAATCAAAGCACGGATAAAAATGAAGGTGGGCAAGGGAGAAAATCCCAGCCATACAGATGGGTGCGGATCTCGGCGGCTTATTTGTTGGTTCTTTGCATGGTTTTGGGATTGCGGCCATTTGAGTACCAGACTTTGTTTAAAAGGTTTTGGGTGGGCCATTTGGGTGGTTTTGGGTGGGGTAGGCCATGCTAAGATACCGAGCGGTTTTGACGCAGCTGGGGATTCCGTTCTCAGGTTTCCGGCGCACTCCCTTGAGCTCAGGTCAGAAAGACACCCGAGGTGCACGTGAGGCAGCCCCTGACACCCGCACGAAGGGGAAATCATATGCGTGTAGCGTCCTAGCTATTTGTTAGTTTTCCCTTCCATTTGATCAAACACATTCTCTCTCATTTTCCGTTGTTGGCTTTAGAAGATTAGACACTACTGCCGTTTTTTGTTTTTTTTCCCCAGGGGGCGACTCAAAGCGCAAATGGAAGGAACCCCTTTGGGTCACCCAATCAACCCGAGGCTCTTCCCGGCTCTCTCCGTCTTTGTCCGTCGCAGGCCCCGAGTCCTTCCGTGAGGATCCCAGGCGCGGGCGTCAGACTGAGATGTCCAACGGGCGCTTTCTCCGGTCGCCCTTGGTTTGGAGTCGAACGGGGATGTTGAAATCGAATAAACGGAAAGCTGGCCCCTCGCGTAAACCACCAATCAGGGGGAAGCTGAATTTTAGTAGCTTCTAGCTGGTTTGATGGCTTCTAGTAAAACTCACAAGCCTGTATCACCATGTGGGGGGCACCAAAGAGTCAATAAGTTGTGGGCACTGCCCGGGCGAGCCCAATCCGTGCTTCCCGTTGCGCGTCTGGAATGGGCATTTGTTTGCTGCGATGTTTGCTGGGGGTCTGCCACTGATTTCACCCGCCAAGGCTTCCTCTTTCTTGGGGGCCATCGAATCCTCGGGCTTCTGTCAGTATGATTTCACATTTCGAAGGTGCACAACATATTGACCGGCATCTGATGCCGGTCAGTATCGTGCACAATGTGCCATCAAAACATGAGGTGCCTTCAACTCGTAGGTTTGGTCGCTAACATGCGGAATGCGGGGAAAGGACCATCCAAAGATCCGATGAACACCTTCCAGCTTCAGAGAGAGTTCTTGGGGTTTTGGTCATTTGAAGGGGGAAGCACCTGATCCCAAAGCTCCAGCTGGAGATTTGCGCCTCTCAATTTCGGAGTGCCCTTTTACCCTTTTCTTGGGGAAGGTTCCCCTACTAAAATAGACTACAGAAAAAACAAAAACAAAACGGGTACCAACTTATTCTACCCTCTCTACTGGAGGACCTGGGTTTTGTTCGGAAAGCAAGGCCCACCCCTGCGTCTCCCTGGCTTTGGGGTGGCCCTCTCGTTTCGTGGGGATGCGCCGTGGGTTAGCTTCCTGCTCCGTCGCTCTTGATTCGATACGGGGCTCCTTTTGCTGACAGCACTAAAATGGAGCGGTGGCTCCCAAATTTCTTGGTGGCTCCCAGCCATCCTGGTGGCAGTTTCCATTTGACCCACCAGAAGTTCGTCGCTTTTGGCGATCAGAAGTTCGGGGCCGCCGTGGGTATCGGCGCCAGGGACGTGCGCCAGCTGCTGGTGGCCTTTGCCGTCTTCGCGCAGGACGTCTTCTCCAGGCGACGATTTGAGAGACGCGGGCCGCGTGGAGAGACCCGGGGTCTCCGAAGGCGGGTTTTTTGGTGCCCCAGGTGGCTGAAAGCCATGGGGGTTCTAACTTAGAGGGGAAAGTGATTTGCGAGATTGACGGCAGGGTGCTAGGGGGCATGCAGTTTGGGGTGCTGTTTTTCGCAAGCGACGGACGGGTGCTGTGGAAGAGCGGCTTTGCGAGAGTGACGGCCGGGTGCTAGAGCCCTATGCTTCCAAAGCCTATTTAAAAAAATAGGCGTTGCGACAACCCCGGTTTGTTTTGACAAAGACTATTTTTCGACGACGAGCGGCCGCCTCCGTTTTGGACTCGAACAAGGGCTAGGAAAGAGTTGACGCTAAGCCCGCTCCATAGGATCCCAAAGCCGAAGATGTTTACACATATGCGCGCAGTATGTTTTACTATTTGCCAGGCTAATGGTGGCTTCTGTGCCGCTTGTCTTCTTAACATGGCCATGTAGCGCGTGAAGGTGAACCCTCGTCTGACCATTTCTGTCCTTCTTCTGGCCCACCCCCTTGGCCAAACCAAAGAAACAAGAGACAGACAACATCTCTCCCAGCACAGCAACCATTACAGGATGAGGATGTTGATCTTCTGGTTCCCCGGCAAAATTTGCCCGTTCTATTCCACAAAATGGTGGTTCTACGCCCAAAAATAGTGGTTCTATGCCAAAAAAATAGTGGTTCTATGCCAAAAAATGTGTTTCTACGGTTTTTCTACGGTTTGTCTACGGTTTGTCTACGCTCACGTTGTTTTTGCCTTGTTTTTGGACCTGTGTGAAAATTGGAACGGAAAGCAAACACACAATTGCTTGTTGTTCGTGCCACCTGCGCAAATTGCAGAGGACAATTCTACAATTTGCTAGAATGAAGGCTCTGTCTACGCAAAACTTTCAGCAGGTGCGTTGCACAGACACAAAAGGGACCCGAGGACCCTATCAAGAAATAGTAATTGACTTAGCTGGCAGAGAAATATGTGGCTCCCAAGGCTACTTCAGAGGTTACAGTAGCAGGCGTAGTTGGAGGAAAACAAAGCAACAACCCAAATGAACCCTCCAGGCCAATGTCAAAAAATAGGTTGTCAATGCAAAAAATAGGGATTGAACAACCCCTACTTAAAAAAATAGTCGAGGAAGCATAGGGGGAGGGCATGCAGTTTGGGGTGCTGGTGGAGGTGCTGTTTTGCGAGATTGAAGGCTGGGTGCTAGGGGGAATGCAGTTTCAGGAGCTGGTGGAGGTGCTGTTTTGCGAGATTGACGGCCACGTGCTAGGGGGCATGCAGTTTGGGGTGCTTGTGGAGGTTCTGTCTTGATTGTTTTACGAGATCGTCCGTGGCTGGTGTATCAGCATGATGCTGTCAGCGTCATCATGGTGGTGTGAGCATCAGCATGGTGCCGCGGGAACCATTATGATGCTGCGTCATGGTTCGTAGCCATGGTATGCTATTTGGGGTCTATGCTGGTGTTTTGTTCGGTTTGCCTGAAAAGGGACGTCCACCCCAAAAGTGGGGGGGGGGGGAGCGAATTTTCTCACTTCCAGGGTGGATATGTCTATATATAAACAAATGAATACATATATGTATATATCTATATATATATATATATATATTTACTTACCGATATGTATATATATATATATGTACCGATGAAATGTCTTCCCCAGAAGCTTGCTTCCGAGTTCATTTGGTTCACTGCCAGGCCCGGCCTGACCGCCGACATCTGGCAAGGGTGCTGGGTGCAGGCGTCCGGGTCCGGAGTGTTACTTTGGACATTCGCGGAAAGAACCTTCCGTTTGTTTGAGAAGATGTTGTGTTTTCCCTTGTTAGTTTTAAAGGGAGTCTATCACTACTGGACATATGTTGATTTTTCCGGGGGCCTGAAGCAAATGGAAGGAACCCAAGATTTGGGTTCCGTGTTGATCTGCCTGGCTGCTGAACAGTCTGTGCCCTTTTCTTTCGCTGTGGCCTGTCTTACATCCATTCCATGCTAGTCCAGAAAGGAATAAAATCTTATTTGCGCCTACGGTACGCCGACTGTTGCCTTTGACTCAAGTCCCAAAGTGCATGCTACCGTGCTGGTTGCAATGAATCTCTAGACTGGGAGTTCCAAAAAACGGGGCAACACCGTTTTAGACACCTTTTCAGGGCCAAGCAGGGTCTTGCTGAACCAACTGTGACCAGTTGCAACTTGGCAGTCTTGGAGGTTGTCATCCAAGTCATCCTCTCGGGCAGTGAACAAAAGCGGGCATTATTTGTCCCACTTATGGTGAAATCACCAATCACTAAATGGCTCTCTCTCTCTCTCTCTCCTTTTCTCTGTCTCAAGATGGGAACCGGAGAGGTCGACGCCTCGTTTTGACGACATGTCCAAGCGGCTGGATAGGGTTCGTCCTCACACGGGAAAACGTGGTGGTATGCTTTTGTGAGGGTACCCTTTTGGGGTTGGTTTAAAGAGAGACCAGCTGGAGAACCCTCATTCTTGGTTTTCGACTTTTCTTTTGACAGACATGCCCATGGCATAAACAGAACAGTCAGGTTCCCCCCTGTCACAGAAGGCTCACCTTTTCGTTTCTGGGTCCTTAAGGGGTACAGAAATGATCCGCCTGCAGTGACCATGGCAAAATCCCAGAGGCTTTCCAGGGACCAAGGCAACACCACCCATGGCAAAAGACCAGCCATGAACCGCCAGTGGGTCCCACTCGGGCAGGTGGAGCCTTCGGAGGCTGGGCGGGTGACGGCCAAAGAGAAAATTCGGATGCTCTCCCCTCGGTTTTTTTTCCCCCCCCCGTTTTTGTTTTGGGGGTGAACTTGGAACCTGAAAGGAGCTGGCGGTTTTAGAGATGCATCTCCTTTTGGGCCAAACGGAAGGAGTTTCAGCTCCCTTCTGCGAGTTTGTTCATTCAAAATAGAGAAGTGGGGCCAGTTTTCAATTTTTTCCAGGCGGAACCACAGGTCAATCGTGCCTTGGCGCTGCTCCATTCGGGTTTTTGGCAGCCTCCAACCATCATGGAAGCTAAGACTACTTGCCACTCCCATTGTCGGAAAGAGGGCACTTCACCTGCAGCAGGGTTGCTCGGACCCTCAAAATTCCAAGCCCTAGCTACATCGCAAGGTTGGACAATTGGTAGGCCCCTTCTCCATTCCCATGTTCAATGGATATGTGCCGAAATAGGGGTGCTTAAACGCTTTCCTCTTGGTGTCCCTTTTAGCCTGCTGGTAAGGCAAAACGTCAGTTGGCCAGTACAGTTGCCAGTTGATATGCCAATATTGCTGCAGCCCAACAGAAAAAAGGGCTAGGTCCCCCAGTGCCCTTTCTCACCCCTTTTTTGGGCCCTGCTAAAATATACAGACAAAGAAGGAAAAACACATCGGGTACCAACTTATTCTAACCTCTCCACTGGAGGACCTAGAGGGCAACGGAAACTCATACTAACATTTTTGTGCCTCCTGTGTCGCCTGTAGGCCGGAAGAGCTGATGAGCGGGTGATGAAGGCCCGAGGACCTGCGATTTCTTCAGGGTACCCCGCTTTTTTGTCGGTTCTTCGGAAAAATCGAAAAGGGCAAAATCCCATCGTTTTTTCAGGGGACATATTTTTTGGGGGAAGCATAGGAAACAAAAAGGACACCAACCAATTTGGGGGTGGGGGCTTCCCTACATTGAGAAAAATATTATTTGTTGTTCTTTTCGCGGCATGTTCGTGCATGCCCTCAAGACGACATTGGCTTTGGAAGCGCCGGTTGAAAGTTCTACGAAGTAGGTCTGCTTTCTTCAGAGGGCAACTTCTTTGCCACAAGTTGGAAGGAGTGGTCAAGCAAGCGTTTCCCAGACCTCCAGACCTCACGTGCCCGAAGGTTCTCCATGGGCCGGAGGTCTCAGCCTTTGGACTGAGTGATTCATGCGCTCCAGCTCAGGATCTCCCTGACCAGTCGTCGAATTTGTTGCATGGCCATTTTCGTGGGTGGTCTTAACCCCCCCAAAAGCATTGTTGGTTGGCGGTGCATGTTCAGGCATGCCAATCGTTTTTCATCTGGTCCAACTTGAGATGGAACTTGGAGTTAGGGGCACGGTTTTCCTGTAGGCTCAATCACCTTTCGGGCCAATGTGAATTACCTTGCTCGTTTGCCCACCTTTCCGCAGAAAACAACAACACAAAAGCCTGTTTTAAAGGATCTGGCCTTTCGAGAACTTGATGCTGCATTTCAAGGTTCATTAAGCGTCGTTGCCGGAATCAACCATGTGATACTTTTGAAGTAGTTCTGGCGAGCCTCTTCCTGGGTTTGCCTGCAAACAACTTCATAGTTTTAAGATACATCCTCCTTTGTGGTTGGCTTGCTATTCCTCGTTGATTGCTACTAAGACTTCTTTTCAGTCTTTGCTTTGCCCCTCCGCATATTGGTCATTGGCTTCCATTTGCTCAATAATATGTTTTGTTTTGTTTTCCCCTGTTGGTTTTAAAGAGAATCTGTCACTTTCTAAAAAAAAAAAAAAACACAGAATGAGGGGGCGAAACCGCCCATTGGTCATTGGCATTGGTGGATTCGTGGGGTTCACCTTGCAGTGGCTCTATGACCCCAACCAATCTTTCGGCAGGCGCTGAGGCAGCTGCGGGAAGACGCCCTCACTCTGCCGCAGCGGGCTTAGGGCTGAAGGGGGAGGAGACCGTCTGCCACAAATTGCTGCGACTCCGACCACTAGTTCCCCAGTAGTTTTTTAACCCCTTTTTTGGGGGAGGGTTCCCCTACTAAAATAGACCTCCTGAAAAAGTTGGTACCAACTTATTCTAGCCTCTCTACTGGAGGACCTAGACCTTATGAAAAAGTCTTTGTATGTCATTGGGTAGGCCACTTTACCAGGCTTTGCTGACTCAACTCACCAAACCTAGGTCTTCTCTGTTTTTCTCGGTGTACTATGGGGGCGGGTCAGTTTACATGCCAAGCCTTTCACCGGGTTGTTGCTGGACCCGTAGGTTTTCGACAAAAACTTTGACTTTGGATTCCTAAGGGAATCGTGACCGTGACCAGGGTGTCTTAAAATTGGAGGAAACCGCCTATGGGGCGGTTTCCTCTTGCTTTCCCTGACCCGCGAAAAGAAACAAATAGAAAGGTAGAGCTCCTTCGGCGCTTGGCGTGGCCTGAGAAGCAGAGAGCCCGGGAGACCAAAACGATCCATCCGATCGGTTGCCTGGAGAATCCCCAGAACCGGTTCACTCCCCAAAACCCGGAAGCTCATTCCCTGAGTACCAGCAAGACTAGGTTCGTTAGTAGTGCCATTTGACCCTTTTTTTGGGGGGGTTCCCCTGCCAAAATAGACTACGGAAAAAAAGTTGGTACCAACTTGTTCTAGCCCTCTCTACTGGAGGACCTAGAAGATGATACGGCTCAACATTCAGCAACTCGGGTTTTTCGTCGCGGCTGGGGAAGCTGACTGCGGAAGCCAAGCATGTGCGCAGAAGCAGAAGCCCGCGGAAGCCAGCGGAAGCCAGCGGAAGCCTGCGGAAGATCTATGCGCTTGTGTGCGTGGGGCCTTTTTTGAGCGTGCCCCTTTGTTGTGGGGGATGGGTTTTCAAGGTTGCAAAGTCAAAGGAGATCAATCGTTTCCGGGCCCCACTATTGTGACACATTGTGGGCATACCCATGTCGTTTCCAGAAAAACACATTAGACAGCCCAACGGAACTCTTCGATCAGAACCCCCTTTCTAAGAAGGTGGTTAAGAACTCTAGGGGTACCTTCCCCATTCTTTCCAGGGATCCTTCTTTTCTGGACACCATACAAAAACAGCTGGTTTTTGAAAAGAAGGCTGGTTGAAAAGAATGGGGAATCAACCTCTAGAAGAACGCATTGTTCGGGGTTGGGGTTGGAGGCTGCGAGGCGGGTGGTTGCTATTCTTATTTCATGACTTACCTTGGTCTTCCAAGGACCCGCAAAACCAGGGTCCTTAAGATTTTGATCTTGGCTCCAAGTGGAAATTCGGCCGAAGGCCTGCTTTTCCAGGGTCTTGGAAGATCAAGGTTACTAATTTTCAGTTTGTGAGTTGTGGCAAGCGCAGAGAGAGAGAGAGAGAGAGCATGAAATCAGCCACAGCTAGCTTGAGGAGTTTAGGCAGTCACCCAAACCGGGGACGGCCTTTGGGTCTCTGCCCTATGGTTCCCGAACCGAAGTACCGAAGCAGCTCGAAGTGAGCACAAAGCTTTATCCAAGGTTCCAAGGCTGAGGGAAATAAATGCAAATCCCCGAAGTGGAGGATCTGTCAGCTTCGCCACGAAGCACCCGCATGCCACTTGAGGTTGGAGCAGATCGGATTTCCTGCAGGCAAGGAGAAACGGGAGGAAGGCAAAAAGAAGGAAGCTAACACCAACCTGTACAGACCGATTTAATCTGGCATGGCTTGGTTTTCTGGTTGGTGTTCGCCGCCTGATCTCCGTTTCCAGGGGCCCTCCTGATGCTTCATTTGCGTGAAGGAAACCAACAAGAGACAGGCCATTTTGAAGATTATTCACGTCGTTGAACACGAACCCATGGTTTTGTTTGGTACCGGCCTCGAGAAGTGTTTGTATTTTTGTTTTTCTGGGTGCGGGCTGGAGGAAACTGCGCTGGCACACCCAAGCCCCCAAGATGGTGAAATCACCTCAAACCACACGGGGGTTGATGTGAGATAGCCACCACCCTTTGTTCTCCTGGAATAAGTTGGGAGCAGTGGAAACCATAGGTAGCCCTAAAAGAGAAAGGCCTGAATCCACCTCCATCCCAAATCGGCACGCCAAGTCTTGAAACAACCCGACATCCACTCCAAACCCATACTGCATGCCGATTGTGAGAGAAGAACACGAGAGAACGTGTGAAAGAGCGCTTTGTGAGCATCAATACTTAGCAAGTCGGAAATAAGGCATCATGGAATGAAGCGAAGAGTGGATTTGTTATTTGTCAAGTTTGCCCTCCGCCTAAGCCAGGAACTATGGCGGGTCTTTGGTTCCCAATGTCTTTCCACTCTCGCTACGCCCTACGGAAGTAGTACAGGTCACCATGGGGACTCAATGAGTCCCCACATGGTTGTTGTTGGGACACATTTTACATTTTTGCTTGTTGTGGTTTAGTGGGAGGTCCCCACTGAACTGCTAAGATTATCTTTTTTGCTCCCCTTCCAAGGTCAACCAAGCCCAAAGCCCGAGGGTGGGGCTTAGTGGATTCAGAGGTCTGTTTTCTTTTGTTACATTGGGTGACAACACATGGCTGTGGCTCAAATAGATGGAGCCCAAAATAGCCCCCTTGGTACATGGAACCAAAGACTAAAACCTGCGTAACCACAGCTCTTGAATTTTGAGCCACACCCACATTGCATTTTGGCAAGTCATTTACCAGGCCCAAGTGTTCTGCAAGCTTTCTTCCAAGAGGACACCTGGGATTGGCCGAGTCTCCTTTCTTCAGGGTATTCGGAGAATCCCGGCTTTGACTGCCAAGGCACTTCGCGCAGAGGCAGCTCCTGCGGTGTCCGTTGTTTAAGCGTTCTGCCGATGGGTGTGCTTCAAGATGAAACCACAATGTGGCCGTGGGTCAAAAAGTTGGTACCCAAAATGGAACCTGGTAAGTGGCAACATGGACCAAAACCTTTGGTCCCCTGGTGGTTTAATTTTGACCCACACCCATGTTGCAAGGGTGTGCCCATGGGGAGAGGACCCCAACTGTCACCCCAGCGTGGCAGCTGTCCATGGAACAGTGGGTTAGGTTGGCACGGCTGGTCATTTGCGAATGGTGTCACAGAAAAGGGCTCCACTGAAGTGGCACCCCATGGCACCCCTATGTGTTTGGCGGGTTCCCCACTTATGGTCAACGGCGGGGTTCCATGTTGCTAACCCGGGGTCATTCGACTGGGATGCCCCGCTTTACATCGCCAGGCCACAGGGTTGCCTCTGAGCCTAGCTTCAAGTGAGTCGCTATCAAAACCCGGGTACCTGGGTCCTGGACAATCCCCCTTGCCACACATCGGTCCGGATATTTGCAATTTGTTCGTTCTAGGAATACCACCATGTTTCTACCAGGTTTTGATTCTTACTTAAGATAGCTGCGTTGTTTTCCCCTATACAAAGGGAGCGGATGGTTTTTTTTTTGGGGGGGTATCTCTCTTTTTTTCTTTGTTGTTTGATTAACATGTTGCTTTGCTAGATATGGAACATCAAATATTAATTTGGTTGGTAAGCCGAGGTCGGATATATAGTCTCCTTGGCAAAGTCGTCATTGTTTCACTAGATATCGAACATCAAATATTATTTTGGTTGAGTCGAGGTAGTTGTTATACGTAGTCTCCCGCAGGGTTCCACTTTTTGATTTCCCCAAGATAGACTTAAACCCCTTTTTGCGGGGTAATGGACCACCCCTTGGTTTAAGTCTACCCGGCGGGGGTAGTTTTGGTTTTATTGTCCCTTTAAAATAGAACCTGGAAATCCATTGAGTCTACAGCTGGAGCATCCGACGAAACTCGGGCCGTGACAAGGAATCTCGGGGTCGCGTTTCAAAAAAGACCATGGCTTCAGACAGATTGGACTCAAGCGCAACCCAAGCACAGGCAGAAAATAAGCACCTTTCACGAGTCAAAGGCCCGAAAAACACCCGTAGGAAACGTTCCGAAGGAGGCTTCTTAGAAGGCGTCTGGCTATCCCTCTTCGCCAGCAAGGCTTCATCGCTTTCTGGCCCAAATGTCGGGGTGTCAAAACGTTAACTTTAATTCTACAACAAAGTTTGTTTTTGTTTGTTTGGGACAAGTCAAATAGGGTTCCCTCGACTTTTCGACCGACATGTCACAGGGAGTCATCGGAGTGAGCATTCCGCGGAGAAAGTAAGTCCAACCGGCTTGCAGTTCCCATGTAATGGGGGCCCAGCCAAATTTCCCACAAATACCCCAGGAGCCAATTGTCCCATGCTATTTGTGACCATGAAATGGTTTTAAGCGATTTCTGTGTTTCTGCTTGCTTTTTCGTTCTGGGCTCAGACCGAAGCATTCAATCTTTCGGCTGGACGCCGCGTTGCAAACGACTCCAGCCTGGAGATTCATTCTCCATGAATTTCCTGGTAGTTCTCGGCTTTGACTTGCTTTTCGTAAATCTCGATGTCTTTTTCGTGAAGTCGCCTAAAACTACTAAAGCTTCTATATTTTTGTGAGATTTCAGAATTGGTACGGTTTCACGTTTTCCCCGCCCAGAATTACCCGCAAAACGCCCGCAAAAAGCCCGCAAACGCCCGCAAAACCCCGCAAACGCCCGCAAATCAGAAAAAGACGCTCCACTTTTTGACAAGTGCTTCAAGTTATTATAATTGGTTCTCCACATTGGATGTGGACCCCGCAAGGACAAAAACGGACCCCCACAGCCCCCCTCCCCTCATCCCTGATCCCTCCCACCACTCTGCAGGAAGTCCAGGCTTGGCATCGCCAGGCGCGGGTTTCCAAAGTGGGTGCGGCTCAAAATTAAGCAGGAGGGGTTACGCAATGTTTGGTCCATGTTTCCACTTACCAGGGTTCCATTTTGGTACCGGTTTTTTGAGCCACAGCCAAGTATTTCCAGTGGAAACATCTGCTCGGAAAGGGACGGCTGGGAATGGGTGTACCTCTTCGGGGACCATCAAAAGACGACCATCAATCAGACATGGGAACCCAGAAATGTGTTTCAAACTCTGGTTCAAGTCAGAAACTTCTTGTGCTAAATAGGAGGTACACATGGTTCACTTCCCACAATCAATCAATCAATCAGTCGGTCAGTCGGTCAAACAGTCAGTCAACCAACCCGTCAGCCCGCCAGCCAGCCCGCCAGTTAGCCAGCCCGCCAGTTAGCCAGCCCGCCAGTTAGCCAGCCCGCCAGCCAGCCAGCCCGCCAGCCAGCCAGGCAATCAACCGACAAACCAACTAGTCAATCCATCCATCCATCCATCCATCCATCCATCCAGCAAGCAAGCAAGCAAGCAGTCAGTCAGTCAGTCAGTCAGTCAGTCAGTTAGTCAAGCAAGCGAGCGAACGAGCGAGCACGCACGCACGCAAGCAAGCAACCAAGCAACCAAGAAAGCAACCAAGCAACCAAGCAACCAAGCAACCAACTAAGCAACCAAGCAACCAAGCAACCAAGCAAGCAAGCAAGCAACCAAGCAACCAAGCAACCAAGCATCCAGGCAACCAAGCAACCAAGCAACCAAGCAACCAAGCAACCAGGCATCCAAGCAACCAAGCAACCAAGCAACCAAGCAATCAAACAACCAAGCAACCAAGCAAGCAGGCAACCAAGCAACCAAACGAGCGAGCCAAGGATTGATTATGAATCAGCCAACCAGTCAAACAATCAGCAAGCAAGCAAGCAAGCAAGCGATTGAGCGAGCGATTAAGCAATCGATAATCATTATTTTTGACCATGCCATCTCTGCACTCCTTGTTCAGACCTCCAACAATTGGCCAAGATCCAATAGGTGAACAGGAAGAGGTATAGGGTTTATGCCTGAATAGGCTGATCACTGATTGACATCTCCTTTGTGCAAATGACAACATCACAACTCTTCCACCCTGCTTCTCGCAGTGAGGTGTTCCAAAGATGAGGGAGCCCCTTCTTGATCGCTGTTGAGCGAGAAAAGAAACAGGAAACGTAAGGCAAGCTTATGTGGGAAGCAACATAAATGAAAGCTTGTTGCTCCAAAGTGTGAACACAGGAATCTCGTTTGGGCAGACCAGCAGATCCGGAATGCCGCTGAATCAATATGATTTTTTCCAGAGTAATCTGGGGTAAGCTGTTCATACCTCATTCGGCCTTGAGTGTTCAATCATGTGCATGCTGGTATCTATTTTATGTGCGGCTGCCTTGCACCTCTGTGGGTTGAGCTTGCGCCGTTCAACTTGACAAAAGCAATTGTTGCTCTAGATTCGCTCTGCGTGGTAGCTTGCGGATTGCTCCGGCCAATGTCCAGAGATGGATGTTTTCCCCATTGAAGATGAGCCACAATGAAAACCCAAGGAAAGATGAAGGGTAGTAAGGGACAATCCCAATCGTAAATAGCTTCCGCCACCTTAATTCTTTGAAGCATGGTTCTGGGTAGACCCATTTAGATTCCGGGTTTGTATGACGCAAATGACCAAGTTTGTAGCAGGATTGATGGAATGACCCGGACAACTCACCCAGACACTCGACCCTTTGAGGATGGCCAGGTATGTTCCCAAAGTATTGCCCTCGAGCCACAAGGACCTACGGCAACAACGCCTTCCTTGAGGGCGCCGATGATTTTTGTGGGGGGATTTGCGCTTCAAACCAGAAGCTGAAGACCGCCGTTGGGAGTTCCCCTCTTTTGAGACAAGGCCAAGTATGGTAGGGTATGGTTTCACAGTCCTGATATTTCTTGGGGTGCTTCGAAGATCAGAATGATGTGTTTACATGTGCCGGACTGTAGCTGTTTAGATTGGATTTTTAGAGTAACCCTCCAATCCTGAACCCTTTGAACCCGTGGTTTTGGTGTGAATTTGTACGCCTCGAACTCAACCAATCCAAACGTCCAATTGGTTAAGCAATATGTTGCATGTTGCCTTGTTGGTTTCAAAGGGAATCTATCAGTGGATATCTTGTCTTAATTAATTTATTATTTTTCCTAGGGAATCTATCACTTTTTTTGTAAAATACAAATCAGGGGGCCGAAGCAAGTGGAAGCACCCGTCGGCCGATGCCCCGCCCAGACCGCGCTTTCTCCACGCCGCCGCGCGTGGTGCGGGCGCGGGCGCTGGCGCCAGGAGCTGAAGTTCGGGGAGATCCTTCGGGCTGCGAGTCCCGGAGGATTGGTCAAAAGAGTTTTTGTGGTTGATACCAAAGGTGGCTTCTGCCAAAAATGGTTTTGCCGAAAATGGTTTTGCCAAACATGGTTTTGACAAACATGGTTTTGCCAAAACTGGTTTTGCCAAACATGGTTTTGACAAACATGGTTTTGCCAACAATGGTTTTGCCAGAAATGGTTTTGCCAAAAATGGTTTTGCCAGAAATGAGTTTGCCAGAAATGGTTTTGCCAAAAATGGGTTTGCCAGAAATGGTTTTGCCAAAAATGGGTTTGCCAAAAATGGGTTTGCCAAAAATGCTTTTGCCAAAAATGGTTTTGCCAAAAATGGTTTTGCCAAAGATGGTGTTGCCAAAGCTGGTTTTGCCAAAAATGGTTTTGCCAAAAATGGTTTTGCCAAAGATGGTGTTGCCAAAGCTGGTTTTGCCAAAATGGTTTTGTCAAGAATGGTTTTGCCACAGCTGGTTTTGCCAAAAATGGGTTTGCCAAAAATGGTTTTGCCAAAGATGGTGTTGCCAAAGCTGGTTTTGCCAAAAATGGTTTTGCCAACAATGGTTTTGCCAAAAATGGTTTTGACAAAAATGGGTTTGCCAAAAATGGTTTTGCCAAAATGGTTTTGTCAAACATGGTTTTGCCAAAAATGGTTTGCCGAAAATGGTTTTGACAAACATGGTTTTGCCAACAATGGTTTTGCCAGAAATGGTTTTGCCAAAAATGATTTTGCCAGAAATGGTTTTGCCGAAAATGGTTTTGCCAGAAATGAGTTTGCCAGAAATGGTTTTGCCAAAAATTGGTTTGCCAAAAATGGGTTTGCCAAAAATGGTTTTGCCAAAAATGGGTTTGCCAAAAATGGGTTTGCCAAAACTGGGTTTGCCAAAAATGGTGTTTTGCCAAAAATGGTTTTGCCAAACATGGTTTTGTCAAACATGGTTTTGCCAAAAATGATTTTGCCACAAATGGTTTTGCCAAAATTGTTTTTGCCAGAATGGTTTTTGCCAAAAATAGTTTTGCCAAAGTGGTTTTGCCAAAAATGGTGTTGCCAAAGCTGGTTTTGCCAAACATGGTTTTGCCAAAAATGGGTTTGCCAAAAATGGTTTGCCAAAAATGGTTTTGCCAACATAGTTTTGCCAAAAATGGGTCTGCCAAAAATGGGTTTGCCAAAATTGGTGTTTTTGCCAAACATGGTTTTGCCAAAATGGTTTTGCCAAAAATGGGTTAGCCGAAAATGACGGTTTGCCAAAATGGTTTTGCCAACAATGGTTTTGCCAAAAATGGTTTGCCAAAAATGGTTTTGCCAAAAATGGGTTTGCCAAAAATGGTTTTGCCAAACATGGTTTTGCCAAGAATGGTTTTGCCAAAAATGGTTTTGCCAAGAGTGGTTTTGCTAAAATGGTTTTGCCAAAACTGGTTTTGCCAAAGCTGGTTTTGCCAGAAATGGTTTTGCCAAAATGGGTTTGCCAAAGCTGGTTTTGCCAAGAATGGTTGTGCCAAAAATGGTTTTGCCAAAAATGGTTTTGCCAAAAATGGTTTTGTCAAACATGGTTTTGCCAAAAATGGTTTTGCAAAAAAAGGGTTTTGCCAAAATTGGTTTTTCCAAAAATGGTTTTGGCAAAAAATGTTTTTTTTGCCAACCATGGGTTTGCCAAAAATTGTTTTGCCAAAATGGTTTTGCCAAAACTGGTTTTGCCACACATGGTTTTGACAAACATGGTTTTGCCAAAAATGGTTTTGCCAGAAATGGTTTTGCCAACATGGTTTTGCCAAAATGGTTTTGCCAAAAATGGGTTTGCCAAAAATGGTGTTTTGCCAGAAATGGTTTTGTCAAACATGGTTTTGCCAAACATGGTTTTGCCAAAAATGGTTTTGCCAAAATTGGTTTTGCCAAAAATGGTTTTGCCAAACATGGTTTTGCCAACATGGTTTTGCCAGGAATGGTTTTGCCAAACATGGTTTTGCCAAAAATGGTTTTGCCAACAATGGTTTTGCCAAAACTGGTTTTGTCACACATGGTTTTGACAAAATGGTTTTGCCAAAAATGGTTTTGCCAAAAATGGTTTTGCCAAAAATGGTTTGCCAAAAATGGTTTTGCCAACAATGGTTTTGCCAAAAATGGTTTTGACAAAAATGGGTTTGCCAAAAATGGTTTTGCCAAAATGGTTTTGTCAAACATGGTTTTGCCAAAAATGGTTTGCCGAAAATGGTTTTGCCAAACATGGTTTTGGCAAACATGGTTTTGCCAAAATGGTTTTGCCAAATTGGTTTTGCGAAAATGGGTTTGCCAAAAATGGTGTTGCCAAAAATGGTTTTGCCAAAAATGGTTTTGCCAAAATTGGTTTTGCCAAAAATGGTGTTTTGCCAACATGGGTTTGCCAAAATGGTTTTGCCAAAAATTTGTTTTGCCAAAAATGGTTTTGCCAAACATGGTTTTGCCAAAATGGTTTTGCCAAAAATGGGTTTTGCCAAAATGGTTTTGCCAAAAATAGTTTTGCCAAAAAATGGTTTTGCCAAAATGGTGTTGCCAACCATGGTTTTGCCAAAATGGTTTTGCCAAAACTGGTTTTGCCAGAAATAGTTTTGCCCAAAAATGGTTTTGCCAAACATGGTTTTGCCAACATGGTTTTGCCAGGAATGGTTTTGCCAAAAATGGTTTTGCCAAACATGGTTTTGCCAAAAATGGTTTTGCCAAAAATGGTTTTGCCAAAATGGTTTTGGCAAAAGTGTTTTTTTTGCGGTTACCAAAGGTGTTTTTTTTGCCAAACAAGTGTCGGTGTGTATTACTAAACAGTGTCTTTTTCCACATTGACTAGAAGATTTGAGCCACTTGCTCAAAACCTGGATAGATGAAGGTTAGTAAGGGGCAGTCCCAGCCAGAAATAGTTGCGGATATCCGCCTTCTTGATTCTTGAAGCATGGTTCTGGGTCGACCATTTCAATACCGGGCTTTGATTGTGACAAACGCGGTTTTACCAAGGTTTGTATTACTTTAACAAGCAACAACAACAAAAGACGTTTACTATTTTGACAAAACCAACGGTTTTTTGTTTTTGGGTTTTTGAGTTGGTTTGTATCACAAATGGTTTGAGTCTGTATACCGACATTTCATGTCCGGTTTTTGAGTTGGTACCCCTTGGGTGGTGAGAAAGCGGGTTCCTGAAGGAAAACCATACAACTATATATATTATATATATATATTTGGGGGGGGGGATCCGGGGTATTCTCGGATAGATTTTTGCCAACGGGTTGGGGAACGATACACCTGCCAGTGTTGGGCCATGAAATCTGTTTGACGCTGGACGTTTTTGTGAAATGCACCTCGGACAGAGGGTCGGTTTTTGAGTTGGTACCCTTCTTTTTGGGTGGTGATAAAGGGAAGCCTGAAGGAAAACCACATATGTTCTTCTCTTTGTTTTTTTTGGGGGGGTGTCCCTGTAAAGACACATCCATCCTCTTTTCTTTTCTTTTTTTTGGGGGGGGGGGTTGAAACAATGTTTTAGGTTGAGCAAATATGAAGCGGAATCTCCTTTTGTTTGGTGTGCCCTAGGTTGGGCCAAGATTTGTTTACCCATGTGGGAGGGAGATGGGTGGAAATTTCCAAGAAAATGCTGTCGTCCCACATCCAGCGGGGAAGCGGTGTTTTCTTACCTTGCCTCACATGGGGATGCCTCTTATTTTGGGTTTCCTGTTCGGTTGGAAGTCAAAGGAAACACGAAGCCCATTTTTGAGGGTCCCTGCTGTGAGGCAAAGCCACATGTTCTTTTCCTAGCGTTCGACAACAGGCTTCCATTTATAAGAATCGTGCTTGGAATGCCTTTGCATATGGTTGGTGAGTAATTGTGTACAGACACCTGTATGCATGTGCTATCCGCTACATTGGCCCAGCTGAGAAAAGTAATCTTGATGGTAGCGGTCCCAGGTGGCTGTGGCTTAAGGAAGATTAGCTACCGGTGCCGCCCTGGAAAGTTGAGGCGGCAGAGGGGGACTCTTCAGAATAGGAATAAGGCGGTTGGCTTGTTTTGCTCCGCAGGATCGAGCGTCTCCGAGGCGAATCCGCGTGCTGGGCAAATGAACATGATCCACCTAGCGGATTTCGTCCTAAACATGGTGTGTTCCCCTCCAAAGATAGGACGTTTTCTCTGCCAGGATACTTGCGCAGCTGGATGGTTCTCGCTTGCGCCGGACAAAAGGGGTTAGTTGTTGTCCACTCACAATACCGGGTGTTTAACGGTATAGGTTGAACACATGTTTTCCCTTAGTAGACCTTTTGGAAGAAAATTGTTTTCCAGGTGAGGGAGGGCTTAGAGCAACCCAGTTGTCCCGATTTGGAAGTATACCGACGTGGAAGGCACTCTCTCGCAATCGGCCCGTTTACTTCCATACCTTTGGAAGGTCTGTTCTTCTGAAAGCGACGTGGTGGTCCTGCGCACGAAGAATTCTTCGCAACTCTCCCTGTCCCTGCTCTGACTGCAAACTGAAACCCAGCTTCTCGGCTGACAGAGATGATTCGCCACATCCGTGAAGAGTCGCAGATGCTTCTGCCGGTTTGGGCGCAATCAATGGGGGTTTGGGAATGAAGCCGAAAAATATTCAGAGAACCAGGGCCTATTCCACAAATATTTTGAGGCGGTCACCCTTTGCACTTTCCAGTGGCGAAATTCATTTTTGTTGGCAGCTACCCGGATTCTTTGGATGCCCTGCATGTTCGGGAACTGGGGTCTTTCTGCACGCGTGCATGCAGTGGTTTTAGCCCGCCGATGCCGTTCTTGAGTATCTTTTTGGAATCAGACCTCCCTTCAGGATCTTTCGGGGTCTCCTCCAAAACTACTTTGCATTTCAGGATAGACTAAATATAGCACAGAGAGAAGATATGATGTTCCTTGTATCCCAGATATAAACCAATCCCGCAGGATATGCGTGCGTCTTAAACCGCAACATGTTTGGTTTCCCCTCTGGTTTCTCTTTAAGACCACCCAACAAAGGGCGCCGAGACTCAAAAAGACACAGCCATACGGGGGATCCGAGAAAATCCGCGGGGATTCGCTAGATCAGCTGCTCCGAGGGGATTCGCTACATCAGCTGGCAACAGTGCGTTTTTGCTGCCAATATGTATCCCACAAGGGATGCTGTCAAACCAACCTAGACAGGTTGTCCTTTTCCCCGGCCGCTGGGTAAAGCTTGCGTTCACGAATGCGATGCCAATTCTGCCGCGAAATGTGGAGCCAAGAGGCGGTGCTTCAGTTTTCGGGTTTCGGGAAGAAACCGGCGCCGGCCCTGTTTGGTGAACCCGGTTGGGAGGTGAGATGGCTAGTGGGTTGCTGATGTTGGTTTCTCTTGTTTAATGTGTCGGCTAAACGAGGTTTCTTTGGAAAAAAAACGTGCCCGACATTCGAAGGGGTGGCTTCCCTTTGGTCTCCCTTGAAAACAAGCCCAACATGTGGTTTTTCTTTGCCCCCTTGAAATTGCTACAAAACTAACTGCAAACCGGGGACTCTCTTTCCAACCATGCCCTCAAGGCCCTTGGGGCAGGTTTTTGGAAAGCAGTCTTGAAAGGCCCCTTCTTGGCTCCTAATCTTGCAGTTTCAATGGAAAACACCGGTGAGTTGATCAACTGAAGTGAGATCCGGTGGCTTTTGGTCCACTTAAGACAAAGCACCCAAACTTCAAACCCCACTAACCCTACATCCCGCTTGGTGAGCGCGGGTCCGCGAGACTGCCAGGCAAGGGCTTGCTCTGAGTCTGCGGAGAAAAGGACCGCCAGGCCGGGTCAGATGCGTGGCTCGTCTTCTAGAAATCGGACGCCCCAAAATGGCGCAACGGTGTTTTTCCCCCACCCGGCAGGAAGGGGTTGTTAGATTTTATGACGGAACCCGCGTTTGCGATGCTTCGCCAGTATTCGCCAGTGGATCCCGCCAGTATCCCGCCAGAGCAGCTCGCCAGTCTGGTTTGCTTAATGTCCAAAAGGGCCGATGGGAATTTGGAGTCAGAGTCTCTAGGATGCGGAGGAGTTTGTTGTAACGGTCGTAAGCTCGTGAGTGTGGAGGGTGGGGATTGCTCGAAGCGACGTATTTTTTCTTTTTTTGGTTTCCCTCTAAGAAATCACCAACGGGGACCCAAAAAACGACACACCCTATGGGTTTCCCTTGTGGCCCAAACGGGTAGTTTCCCCAAACATGGGCTGAACTTATCAACACCACTACAACTTCTGAAGAGAGCCAAGCCTTGGCTGTTCTCGCCCTCCGGTTCTGGGGTTTTCTGGTTCCGTCTTCCTTGGGTTTCCAATCCGAAGAACCCAGCCAGGGGTACAAACACAAGGGCTAAGGGCTTGAACAGAGATGTGGCGCTTTACCTTGTTTCGCCCTGTGACATCATTTTTGCATGTCCCAGAAATAGCCGGTTTACGTTTCCCGTTGCGTTACTCAACCGGACACACCTTCCGGATAATGGTCCCCGCCCTGCGCGCATGTCAAAGTCGACCCAGATTGCTCAAGTTGGTGGATCAAGGGGGTGCAACCCTCCATGCCTGGCTCATCTCGACCAAATCAGCGAATGTACAAAAACGTTTCCAAAGTGTGGATGTTCCAGGGCGGAACAAGAACATTGGTGGCTCCCAGCCATTCCTTTAGTTTTTTTGTGCTTAGTGGTAGTTTGCACTTAAACCCATTAAAAGTTAGTCACTTTTCAATAGGGATCAGAAAACGGGCAGCCCAGAAACCTTTGTTTTGCGCCAGGTGTTTGGTCAACTGGGTTCATCAGTTGATTTTTTTGGGCGCCAGGTGGCAGGTGGATGCCGATTGGGTGGCCCGCAAGTGGTCAAGCGGACGCTTGCTGCAGGAGGCAACGACTCAGCCGGCCGTGGTCAAGCTTTTCGGTTTTTCCCCTTGGTTCTTGCAGAGGGTAAATGGGCTAGTTTGGATTGGTTTGGGAATTTGAACCCCTGTTGACTGTAGAGGGCAAATGGGGGTGGTTTTGATTGGTTTGGTCCATGGCGTGCGTGTCGCTTTTTGGAGTTGGTCCCCCCTTTCTTGTGGTTTTAAAGAGCCAGCAGAGAGGTCCCCGAAAGGGACGCACCCTGTTCAAGCGTTCGGTTTCCCCTTCCGTATTTGGTCAAGGATCCAAAAGGTGAACCTCCTGCTTGCAGATGAAGCCAATAGGAGGCGATCCTCTTTGTGGATTCACGAAAAGGTACCTGACCTTCCATTTGCCTTATAAATTCCCTTTGAACACCAACAGGGGAAAACAACAATATTCTCAAGCAAATGGAAGTGACTGTTGCAAACTGTTTGGATAGTGTACGCCAAATCCACGCAAAAGGGGCTCCAAGCATTTGTCTAGGTTTTTTTTTTACTTTCCGCTTCCTGCACACATTTATGTTCAATCTATGGGTGGTTTCAGACGGCCAATGTTTTATGTCGACACATCTTGTACAGGACGAAGAAGGCGCTCTCCACTATAGCTACTGCTGCAGATTCTGCGCACAGATCTCCCCAAGAGGTCCTATCAAGAGACCCTTTCCACTGCTCCAACAGTCCTTCCACGGAGATCTTGTCCAGTCGGAGACATTGAGGCGCGGAGCTTCCTTCCACAAGAGATCTTCTACAGGATTCAACGGCTTCTGTTGGCTCACCGCGTGAAAGGCCTTCCTTCTATAGAGACCCTGTGTGCATCTGCTTCAGCTACTTTTGAGCTACTTGTGTGGGTTCCGGTCTCACTTGCTCAAAACTGTTTGGGTCTGTGGCCGGTTTGCCTGGCATAGTTAACATCATGAAATACGCGGGGGGGGGGGGGGGGGGGCAGAAAAACTATTTTTTTGCGCGGGGGGAAAGTTCCGGGCTTTCCGTTTGAGGTTCCAGGGTGCTTGTACAAACCCCTTTTACATACCCCTTGGACAAATGAACCCAAAGGGCCTGATACTCATACACCTCTCCCCAAAAGCCAAGGAACCGGTATGAACCAGGGGTATACCCTAAACCCTAAACCCTAAACCCTAAACCCGTATGTACTTCCAGCCTTAGGTTTCTGAATCACTTCCCCGTTTCTCGCCTCGATTTCAAGCGCCAGGTGCCCTTGAGCTCGGACACGGGTCTGACGCGTGAAGGCAGGCGTGCGACCACATGGGGAGGTTTGATCATGTGAAAGACTCGGCCCCCCCGGCAATTGGTGCCCTTTCTTTTACCAACTTTTTTGCTTGGGAGGGTTCCCCTACTAAAATAGACTGCAGAAAAAAGAGTGCCCTTATTCTAGCCTCTCTACTGGAGGACCTAGAAGAGTTCCGAGGGCTAGGAAATGATGTTGTTGATGAATCAGCGTGTGATTTATCAAATGTGCAGTTCATCAAATGCGGGTGCGGGGTCGTGCCCCAGGATTGTAAAGTCAAGGGTTTGTTTCATTTTTGTGAGCAAGACATGTAGGATGTTACTTCGGATTGATTGGGGCTTTTGGATTGATTCTGTGGGCATCCCCCTTTTGATAAACATCCAAGACGCTCGCGTTTGGCAGGAATCGATTTAATGGTATGTGTGTGGCACAGCGCTCTGAATGGAGGACCCAGGGTTCCAAACATAGTGTCGAGGCTCGGTCGATACTTCCAGAACCATTTGGGGGTGAGAGGAGGGGAACGAGCCCTTAAGCAAAAACAAATACCCTGACAGAGGGTCCCTTGAAGAGGGAACTGATCTTCCAGGTACCCTCAAATGCCTTCAGTTTGGGTGTGAAGGCGCCAGGGGCCCCAACGACACAACTTCCATATGTTGTTTCTTTTAGTTTTTTCTTTTCTCGGATTTGTTTCGCCTTGTTGGTTTTCAATCGAATCCATCACTACTGAACATATGTGCTCATTTTTGTCCAGGGCTAAGCACGCGGAGGACAATTTCCCCAAAGCCGTGCTTTGCCGTGGATCCCGTTGGGTTTTGCGCCCCAACAAACGTTTCCCCAACCACCAAGAGATAGAGAGTCAAGAACGGGAGGGGTCTTCTTCAAGACTGTTTGACATTTTAGGGGTAGACTAAATATCCATAGACGATGTTCAAAGGGGCATTCGACCGGGCACGTCAGTCTCCAAGGGCAAAGGCAAAGGCTCCAAGGGCAAAGACCCTGGGGTAAAAAAGGCAAAAGGCTGGGGTTTTGAAGAGAATGGTTGAAGCGACTGAGTTGTTTGACTGGACTGAACAGATTGAACCCCGAAGTTCTGGGGCGGAAGGCAGAGGTTTCATTGTTGGCCCAATCCCTTTGAATGCGAAAACCCGAAAGATGCCAGATGTTCCCCGTTGAACCAAGAGGACACGACTATTCCCCGTTGTGTTACTCGGGGACCTGGACCGGTAGAGCCCCTAGTCCCCAAGAAAGTGTTCGAACCTCGATATCGCCCCATGCCCAGAGTGCTTCACCATCAATCCCCGGAACTGGATGAAAAACCCATCATACGACGAGGTGAGAAGGGGCACTCAAATATTGAGTGAAGCCAGGGGGGTCTAGGGAGGGGCGGGTTCGATCCTAACCACGCTGCTGGAGGAACACTCGCACGCACTTCCTCAAGAAGTCGCAAAGTTTGAGTGACTTCTGAATGTCAGAGCTTGGTTTTGGTCTTACGTGTTGTTGATTTGGCACGGGTTCGGGCCATGGTTCTTAGTGCAGGTAGCTGAGTGTTTTTTTTGATGAAGTTGCTCACTTTGCCTGGGTGCATGGGCGGCTCTTTGCATCAGATTAAATGAGCGGTGCCTTGCTCGCTTCCGGGATGGTGGCGTTGCTGGAAGAATCAAGTCGCGACTTCGGAAGGATGGACCGACAAACACATGATTTCTTGCTGTCTAAGAAACCGGCCAAGCTGCAATCAGACAAATGCAAGCAGCAAATGCCACCTTCTTGCGGTTTGCGCGCCAACTTCTTGCGGCTCTTCTAAGAAACTCTCAGACATGGGTTCCGTTTTTTGACTAGCCCGTAGACTTAAACCCAGGGGTTTCCCTTCAGGGGAATTCAACTGGGTTCCTAAACCCAGGGGTTTCCCTTTTGGGTTCAAGTCCACTGTTGTCACAAAATGGAGCCCTGCTCTCAGATCGGCCAAAAGATGGGGAGAGCAACTCGGGCCGCGTCCACCGAATTGGCACTTTTTCGGAAACCGCGGCCCCATTCCCTTCGCCTGTTCGAAGCCTCCAAGCAACAGGGTTCGTTGGGCCCCTTGGCTCCCTGAAATTCTTCCAATTGCTGAAAGGAACCTGTTAGTCTTTTTGTTTTTTGCTCTCTGTTGTGGTTTTAAAGGGGATCGATTTCACTACTAGACGTATGTCCTTATTTTTTCTAGGGGACCTGGAGATGGAAGGATTCGTTGGCTCCACTTCTCGGATCAGCTTTCCTGCGCAGGTTGGGCGCAACGCTTCGAGCGCCGGGAGTACCAGATCCGCATCGGCAAGGCGGAAAACATGAGACGGCGTTGGATGAGTTGGTCATTTTAGAGTGACTAGGTCCAGCAATTGGTGCCCTTTCTCTCCCATTTTTTGGTTGGGAGGGTTCTCCTAAAATAGACAACAGAAGAAGATCGGGTACCCTTATTCTAACCTCTCTACCGGAGGACCTGGTTTATAGTGAGCTCGCAGATTCGGGGGGTAAAAACGAGCTAAAGCCATGGTACAGGTCCTGTACTTGGGGATCCGATTCCGATTCTTAGGTCAGCTTTTGGAGTTGTATTTTTCAAATTTGCGGATCGATGCTTCACTGTTGGGGGGAAACACTTTGTCCACCAGGTGGATCACGTCGACACAAGCTGCGCAAACGAAAGCAAGCCGAAGGTGTCCAACAGGACCAGAGCCTATTGCCAGCTGGACCAACAAGGTACAACTGGCGCACAAAGTAGTCTATTTTGGGTTCGGGAGGCCAAATGTGAGGTAGTTTAGTCTTCACAGGTCATACAATCCCCACTCGAATACAACCTCAAAAGAAGGAGTTGCAGGACGCCCCTGCTTCTTAAACATGTTTACTGCCATCTACGGCAAAGGGATAGCCCATTGCACATGGTCACTTGGTGAATATTCATTGTGCCCCTATGAATCCGCAGGCCTAATTTCTCCAGGGTCATTGTTCACCTTCATCTACCCTCAGTGAATTATCAAGGCAATGACATTGGGCACCCTCACCAGATTGCCACCAAGAAATGCCGGTCACTCGCCAAAATACCATGTCCCATGTGGCTGTGGCACAAAACATGTGGCCAACATGGCAGCTTCGTTTGTGGAAACCAACACTTAACTGTTTCATTTTGATGTGGCTGAAAGGGGACTCCCAAAAATGGCTTGGTTTCCCTCTTGGCTTCCCCTTCAGAACCAGCAAAATAGGGCACCAACTCCACAAAAAGACCAGCCACCCACGCCTCACTTCCCGAGTTCCGAAACGGGTTTCCGGGAGATGATTTTTTGGACCCACTGGATGGGAAGTGGAGCCAGGCCACCCGCGAGTACCAGCTCTGGTCTGAGCACTCCTTGCGAACGGGCCGGCAGGCGGGGTGGAGACTTCTGCGTCTGGCCTTTGTTTTGTTTTGGTTTGGGTCGGCTTGGCTGGGCTTGGATTGTTTTGGTCGGCTTCTCATACCATCGCCTCAAACTTTAGAGCCTCCGGCTCAGTCCGCCAACATTGTCCTCCCCCTTTTCTCCTGCCCCCCTCTCTCTCTCTCTTTTCTTTTCCCTCGTGTGTTCCCTCGTCCTCTGTCCCTCTCTGTCTCTCTCCTCCCCATCCTCCCCATCCTCCCCATCCTCCCCATCCTCCCCATCCTCCCAATCCTCCCAATCCTCCCCCTCCCCCTCTCTCTCTCTCTCTCTCTCTCTCTCTCTCTCTCTCTCTCCTTCTCTCTCTCTCTCTCTCGCTCTCTCTCTCTCTCTCTCTCTCTCTCTCTCCTTCACTCTCTCTCTCTCTCTCTGTCTCTCTCTCGCTTCTTCTCTCTCTTTCTCTCGCTCTCTCTCTCTCTCTCTCTGTCTATCTCTCTGTCTCCTTCTCTGCGTCTCTGTCTCTTTCTGTCTCACTCTCTCCGTCCTCTCCCTTTCTCTCGCTCTGTCTCTCTCTGTCTCTCTCTTCTTTTTTTTGTCTCTTGCTCTCTCTCTCCCTCCTCTCTATGTCTCGATCTTTCTCTACCTCCTCGCTATACCTCTTTCTCCCCACCTCATGTCTCTGACCCCCGCCCCCCCCCCCCCCCTGGTCGCTGCCTCTCTCTCTTTCTCTTTCCTCTCTGTCTCTCTGTCTCTCTCTTTCTCTCTCTCTCTCTCTCTTTCTCTTTTGCTCTCTCTCTCTCTCTCTCTCTCTCTGTTTCTCTCTGTCTCCTGCTCTGTCTCTTTCTCGATCTCGGTCTCTTTCTCTGAAGGGTTTCGGCTCGAGCCTTCGCGCGGTTGCCCTGTGGGGTTCCCTACGAGCGAGCCATGACATTGCAAGAGATGTCATCATGAAATCGCAGGGCTGCAACGTTTTGGATCAGGTTCGTGCGCGCGCCCACAACCACGGGCTTGCTACTTGCACTGGAATGATCTCTGCCTCCCTTCTGGTCTCTGAGCATGTGACTGTCTTTGATGTCGAATCAATTCTGAGCTTTGAGACTATGCCTCATGTTGCTGACTGGCTTGAATCACCAATCGGCACCGGTTGCATTCACAATCTCAGGAAACCTGAGGCTGCTGCAGGAACATGGACATCGCGCTGCTCCGCTTTTAAGACAAATTGGCAGCTCTTTGTGAGCCTTTTAGGCTTGCTGAGATTTTCTGTGGTGGCTTTGTTGGTTGGGCGCACGCTGTGCGTATCCCGGATCCCATACTCGCTCCAAAACATACTGTTGCTGCAAATGATCTTGGCCTCGGTGTGGCGTCAGCTTACTCACACACCCGTGGAGCAACTTTGTTCAATCAGTGTGCTGGCATTTGGCGCGGCCCGCAGTTTTACCACGGCAGTGGACGCGTCCACGTCCACGTGTTGGTTTGGCTTGAGAAGTTGAGCGGGCTGGATCTGGAGACCAAGATCAAGGTAGAGTTGCTGGCGAGGAGGAGGCGGAGCTGCGAGATTTGGTTCGGGGCTCGCAGCTTGACTGGGCGTCCAGCGGCTGGCCGTTGAGAGAAGAGCCGACGGCGGTGGAGCAGGCGGTCGGAGGCGCGGAGCTTCTGCGGCTGCCAAAACGCCTTCGAGGAGCACTGCCACGCCTACGTGGTGGACGTGCTGGAAGCTCTCCACTGCCACGTCGATGTCCAGGCCTCGGACGGCAAGGCTATGCTGCTCAAGTACTGCGCCAGCTACCTGCCGAAATTCAGCGATAGCTTTGCCGCGGAGCTGCTGAACAACCAGGCCAGTGATTTTGCGCTGGCACGGCGCATTCTGGCGGATAATCATCCGCTGCAACCGGAAATGCTCCTACAACTTGCGGCCCAGCAGCTGCCGCAGTTCTTGACAAAGGCAGTCATCCGGAAGATCAGCGTCCCGCTGCCATGGCGTGATCGAGGAGGGGCGGCTGGAGAACTAATAAAGTTGACCTGCTTCTAAGAAACCCTATGAACCTCCACTCTCGTTCCCGTCCCCATTCCCGCTCCCATTCCCGTTCCCGTCCCCATTCCCGTTCCCGTTCCCATTCCCATTCCCATTCGCGCGCACGTTCCCATTCCCATTCCCATTCGTTTGAGGCCGGCTTCAGGTTTATGAAGCTCCTTGAAAACTGCTGAAAAGGCCCTTGATCTCCCTTTAAAACTCCAAAAAAGCTACTCATTGGACTCCTTGTCAGTTCCCTTCAAGGCCTCGAAAAAGGGCTCAGACCAAATAGGATTCTAGTTGAAATTGATTAGGAAATAGGTCTGTTAGAATTTCTGAATTGGCTTGAAATTTTAAGGGGGATTTCTTTCCACATGATGGGAGTAGTAGAATGTGCATAGAGTTTCATAGGGAAAGAAATCCACTAGATTCTGTCTTTGGGTAGAATCGGTTAGAATTTGAATAAGGCGTCCTTCACATGAATAGAGCGCAGCAAGGGAATAATTCAAATATTGACTTGGCCTGTTAGGACTTAAATTCGAACCCCGTTGAATAAGATATAACTAAATCTTTAGTTAGAACTGTGATAGAGTTAAAGAACGACATAATTGCCGTTGAATGTCTGGTTCAATTGAGAATTAGACCAGGAATCCCTTCCAAATTAGGACGTTATTCTACGTGAATTTCTATGTAGTTGGAGCTTGAATGTCTATGCCGATTGAGAATTTCAGTAGGAAGTCCTTGGCAAGCAGGATTTAATCACAGATGCAGATGCCTACAAGTTGTTCTTCACATGTTGGTACTTGGTGGGTGCAGGCACCAATGAGCGAATGCAGATGAGCAGATCTGCAGATGACCCAAAGTTGGCTGAATCAGTGCCCCAAATGTAGTTCAGCGTGGGGTGGGTGGGTGGGCAAACATATATATATATAATATAATATATACGTGTTCGGTGTTGCTACCCCACCCCCTTCCCCCCAGATGGTATGGGTCCCCCAGAACCCTTCCCCAGGCCCGAGACACCCGAGCCCCCGGATCCTCCACCCTGAGCTTGCACCCCGACACCCCGGCACCCCCATTCCCAGGCAACCCACAACCAACCGTAAACCAACCCTCAACTAACCCTAAACCAACCCTAAATACACCCTAAGCCAAACCCTAAACCGTAAACCTCCAAACCTAAACCAACCCTAAACCAATCCTAAATCAACATAAACCAACCCTAAACCAACCCTAAAATAACCCTAAATACACCCTAAGCCAAACCCTAAACCATAAACCCTAAACCTAAACCAACCCTACACCAATCCTAAATCAACATAAACTAACCGTAAACTAACCCTAAACGAACCATAAATGCGCCCTAAAATTTACCCTAAACCAATTCTAAACCAACCCTAAGCCAACCCTAAACCACTAAACCACCACAACCCAACCACAGGACCACAACCACAGGGGGCGGGGGGGGTACTTGTCTGACCCATGACCATTGAGTGGGGGGTGGACTGGCAACGCTGTACCATGTATACATACGTGTATACATATGAGTATATAAACAAAAACAAATATGCTATCCTTTCCCCGGCAGGGCCCGGCGACCCCCAAAGCCGCGGAGCAGACGACGAAGTCCTCCTTCGAGGCTCAGTACGCAGAGTGGCGGCGCCAACTGCCGCGGCCTCAACTTGGTCCCAGCCATCCCCGGCTTTTAGTAGTTTCTCGTTGGTTTGGTGGTTGGGTTTCCGAAAAAAGCACCCACTAAAAGTCGACTTTCGGCTTAGGTTTTTAGATCTGTTTGGTGTTTAGTGGTTGGATTTCCGAATTCAACCCGCTAAAAGTGACAAACTTTTAGCGGTGGATCTGAAAATGGACAGCCCAGTCAAATGCCTCGACTCGGGCCATGGATGGGCTGCCTTTTTTTCGCTTTTTTTTTTTGTTATATTCTATTCTCGCATGACATTTTTCGGTTCCTCTTGGTTGCAGTGCCTTTTTGTCGGTGTCCTCGAACCTTGCAACTGGAAGCCGCGAAGGGTCCCCCTATTTTCAAACAGACCAAACATGGAGTATGAAGGTAGTTGTGGGTGCTACGACCACAAATCAGTGTTGACCCCAGCGTTGCATACTGGCAAGATGCACGAACCTTGGTGGCAACCTCCGTATACGAGTGGCTGGAAGCTGTGCGGAGTGTCAGAGAGGACCTTCTTTGTCCACCTCCATCCGTTGGAGAACAACCGCCCAGGGAGACCTGCACAACATGATCAGACGGGCGAACGGACATGTTGTGGACAGCACGGCTAGTGGCGGCAATGGTGAATCTCAGGTGGGCACGAAACCTACGTGAAGACATCGATTCAATGACAAGGCCACTGGACAAAGCTTTGGAACCAGATCGGCGCCTGCGCTGACCTTGGGCGAACGGTCATGTTGCCCTTTGTACTGTCGAGAGTCTTGCAAGCTTCTTAACTTGCCGGTGGAGTGAAGACATTTCATGTTTTATCGAGACTCTGGGGGTTTGATCACTTTCTAGAGGGGAATTTGACCGGCTTCAGGGGGAATTTGGCCGGTTTTGGCTGTAGCTTTGACCGGTTTCTGGGGGAATTCTGGTGTGATCGGTTTTGAAGGGGGGGGTGAAGGTTGTCCGCTTCCCGGCCGTGGGGGAAACTTTATGGATATGGTTGCTTGGGAGTGGCAGGTTTACGTACAAGGGACGTGTCAGAAACTTTCGCACTGAGGCATGAGAAGCCGCGTGCCTAATTCGAGGGAGTGCATTTGCATGACTCAGCTGCGTCTCTGGGGTGGGAATACCCCAGGGCAATATCGCTAGGCCGATCGTGTCCTGAGATACTAAGATTCGCTGGGCTGCCTTAAGATCCAGAGCTGGATCTCCAAATGGGATTTCAGGATTCCGATTGAAATTCAACAAACCTTCACTGTTCTTGGCAGGTTATTTTTTGTTAGTTCTGTTCATTGTTAGTAGGGGGCTGCAAAAAAACAATGCTTTTAGCCACCATTCCAAGGGTTGTGAAACAACAAATCATGGAACTGTACATGCCCCCTTCCAAAGGCAGTTTTAGTTTTTGCAAGTAGCGCGTTTGGGACGCGTTGTTGGTGGGGCATTCGGTTTTTACAGGAATAGAAACACAGGGCACGCCCTTTTTGCCCATGGGGAAACCTGGCAGCGAATCGAGCGCTGGACACTTTTGCTTAAGTTGGACCAGGTCACCGATGTGCATGAGAGGTTCCCCGTTTCAATAATATTCCCACAAAGCTGAACCTGGAGAAGTGTACAATGCCCCCTTGCTTACGGTTTTGTTGCTTCTTGGAATGGGGTTCTTGATGGCCATGTGTCTTTCAACAGCCTCACAGGCGCGCAAGACTGGCAGACTGGAAGACTCGGCTGTCGGCCATTGGTGAACTTCATTGGCCCTTTTGTGAACATCATTTGTTTGCAGATTCATGTTCACCAACCCGCGCATTCTTTTATTTTTTGCCATGGAAACAACCCAGCCATACATGCCCATTTGCTGCAACAACTTTGTGCCTTGCTGGTTTTAAAGGGAATCGCTTTCACTACTGGAAGCATATGCTCTCATTCTTTTTGGGGCGCTGAAGAAGCTGAATGGAAGCCAAACCGTGTGGCTGTAAGCAACTGGAGGGCAATTGCCGGGTCAAGAGTCAAAATCCCTCAAAAGCGCAACTTCGCTGGTCTTGGCAAGTTGTTGTTGTTGGTTTAGTCTTTTTGGGTTCTTTTTAGTTGGGGGGGAGGGGGCTACAAAAACAAGCTTTGTGCAACTACCAAGGGTTGTGAAGCCAAGAAAGACGAACAGTCCCACACTTCGGAACATGTTTTGGCATATGCAGCAACTGTTTGTTTGCTTGCTTGCTTGCTTGTTTGTTTGCTTGTTTGTTTGTTTGTTTGTTTTTGTTTTTTTGGTTCCAGTGAACCAAACCGTGTATAGCAAAATCCGGACACTTCTTTTCACACAGCCCATCAGACTTCGTGATTGTCCTTTCGTCATCAGGTTTTGCAAAGGCAGCCAGCCGAAGGGGGGCGATGCGATCTCCACCCAAACATGTATCGGGGGTCCTAATGTTCAAACGCAGCCCTTTTGATACATCCCATCATGGTTTCACTCGGAAAGTGGCGCATGTAGCTGATTTCCAGGGGAGATCCGAAGTTTCGAAGCGCGGGGCGGCGAAAGCGCATCCTGATGCGGGCTCTCATTGGATGCGCCAGCACCTTCCGTGGGGAAAAGGCCGAGCGCCGCAGTGAGTGGCCATAAGGCCATGCCGCATGATGGAACACCCGCCGTTAAACCACCAATCCAAACCACCAAATACCCTCCCACCAACTAACATGGAAGTGCAAAAAGGCCCTTTCCAAGAGCAAAGACTCGTCTTTCTACAGGGGTCTGACTTCCATGTTAGCTGGTGGGAGGGTAGAGGGAAGCTGAAATTGAACTCAGAGACTCTCAGTGCGTGACTGGGGTTGTCTGGTACTCAAACACATATGGTCGCACAGGAGATTACCGAAGGTCCCTTGAGACATCACCCTTTCGGCCAATTTACCTTGATTTTCCATTTGTGGGGTGCTTAGAGATGGAGCCCAAGGTGATGGCAGGTGAAAACGTGGGTCGAGCCCTATCACGCTGACCCGATGCCCATGTCGGCCTTCAGGGGATTTAGTGTAAGAAAAATGGCAGCATCAACGACAGCAGCAGCAACAGATGCACTTGGCCCGCCTACAATTGCGCATCTTCAGCATGTGGAAAGCAGCATTTCTGCACACAACAACGGCTTGCTGTCGCCAAAGAAAGACCTGCTTGCGCATGGCAAGCGCCGCATGATCCACTTTCCATCTTACAATCACTTCGTCACCCCACCAGTTTCTTTGCGTACCCCAAGCCTCACTGGAGTTCATTTGCTCGGGGCTTGGCATGGTTCAGCCTTAAGGCGAGGAACACGTGGCCGGCGCCATGAAGCTGGCTTCGCACAAGAATGCCCTGGGGCAGCCGGGAGCTTGGGAGGGTTCCGGTTACTGAGATGGACCCCCCGAAAAACCATAGTTGGTGGATGGACGGAATTCTGCACCACCTCAGAACCATGGTTGAAACAATTGTTGAAACCAGAAGGTTTGTCGGTATTTAAAAGGAAATCATCCTTCCATGCGTTTCTAAACGGTGGTGCGAAATGGATTTCGCAACCATCCAGTAGTTGGTGGACACCAGTTCCCCTTGCAATGATGTCCACCAGAGGGTCCCCTTTTGTGACTTCAGATCGATAGGTTCGCATTTAAATGGAAAAGACAAGCTCTAAATGTGCGCGAACGCCTGAACGCCTGGCTTGTCGCATGTCGAGCGGAAAGCTTGGTCCGATAGGCAAAGAATGAGCCATGGAAGGAGCCCGAGAGAAACGATCCAAGCTATGAGTTGGTTCCTGGGTCCCGTGGAAGGTGAGAGCCGCGCACGGCTTCAGAGCCGAAGGTTGACGGCTCGCTTTCTTCCCCCAGCCATTCAGAAGCGATACCCATGGTTGGCACTCACTGGCCCAGCTACCTCGACTTGGGAAGATCATTGCGGATAACCGCAAGTCATGAGCAATCCACTCAAGTGAGAACATGTTTGACTCGGCGGCGTCAGTTCAGAAAGCAAAGTCGAAGGGGGAATCCATCGACGGAATCGATCGACGGCACAGTGCTGACTTCCCATCGTCAATCAGGGCAATAGGCCCCCTACCAGGGGCCCCAAAAAATCCCAATGGCACCGAAGAGTGACTACTAGGGTCCATTTGGGGCTACTAGTGTTCTTAGGACCATTTCCAGGAATTGCCCCTTTGGGGCCTGACAACCAGCACTTGACCGGATGTTCAGGTGTTTCCAGGGTCGTTGAAATCCCTGAAAGGGAAAGCCTATGATCCTCTTTGTTTGGTCGTTTTACCAAAGACCAATGCCTTTTTTGTTTTGTTTCAAGCACCAAAACCCTTCGCCAAAAAAAACACACGTGTTGTTTCGGTGTTTCAACCGTCCTCCGCGCCTCTAAGAGCTGCGGATTGGTGAAGGTTTGCTTTGGCTTGACTCCAAAGCCCCATATTCTACCCCAGCAAGATCAAGCATTCGATCCGCATCTTTGGTTGGCAACCGAGTCAAATTCGGGAAATCCGCATCCGGATGAATGTTCACGGCCAGACATTCCCAAAAAATCCAGCGTCAACATAAATCGTTATATGGCTGTGGGGCTGTGGTCAAAAATAGATACCCAAAATGGAATCCTGGTACATGGAAACATGGACTAACACCTGCGGTCCCCGGTGGTTTCATTTTGACCCATACCCATATATGTCATTTACCCATCGAGGTGAAAGCACAACTTTTTCGGCGAGGGACACCGGGTTTGAATCTGAGGGCAATTCGAATGAGCGGCGGAAGAATGAGCCTGGAATCCGAACAAACTTCCACAGCTCCGGAAATCTAAGGAAGGCATCCTCCCAAGATGAAACCTGACTGACCAGCCCGGGACAAAGAAAAAACAGGCTGCGTCCAAAAACTGCTCGTTCTCATGGCGCATGTGAGAATGTGTCGGAACGGCGGAGCTCCTCTCTTGAAGATTTCCGAGCATTCCTTACGCGTATCACAGAGATCGATTCCTTGAGAGAGAGAGAGAGAGAGAGAGAGAGAGAGCGAGAGACCGACGTATCCTGCGACATTTGGCCCATTTGAGCAGTGACCAAATCCCCTGTCGGCCGTTTTAGGGGGCTTTACTGCATGGCTGAGTGGGGTCAAAGCAGAGAGTTCACATAAACCTTGCCGACCAGGTGGAATCAAAGGTCAATGGGTCTCGGGCGCAGACAGACGCATCTCCCACGGTTTTCTGGGTCATTCGAGTGAACATTTGAGTGCTTTGGTGGATTGTTTCCCCTTCAGCCACCATTTGGAGGGAATCTTGAGGACCGATGCCACTTGAATGGGAACCCAGGATTAGTAAGTGCTTGATTAATAGGGGGGCTCCACGTTAGCGGGATCCTTCAAGTTTGGTGTGACAAGCCCCTAATTCCCCATTCCCCAATCAATCGGCACCGTCAACTCTTCCAGGGTCGAAATGAACCTGGGCAACTCTTCTTTTTTCTTGGATGCCTCGTTTCATGGTTGAGAACTATAGTAAAATGCATCCAAATTCATCCCAGTTCTCCCCAGAAGGAAAGCAAAGCAAAAAGCAACCACTGCCTGATTCTTTTCATCACTCCATCTGAACCCCAGCTTCTTTTTCCCCTTTTTTTTTGAAAAAGAAAAAACACGTGTATATATTAAAAAAAAGCAAAAAACTGCCAGTGTTTGTTTCACTCCATGTTTCGGGGGTCGGGTCGGGTCGTGGTCGTTTTGGTCGGGTCGTCGGGTCTTGGGCCCAGGTACTCCTCCCTGGGCAGCGAGGTCTTCTTCACCGAGTTCGGGTCCGACTGGACTTCGTACAGGCGATCAAATTTCCATCGGAGAGAGATCAATCGAATCGGTCGTGAATTGTTCAGGGCTCCTTAAAAGAAATGCGCATTTTGTTTTGCCGCCATTTGAAACATGGCGCGTGTTTTTTTCGACTTAAAATAAATTCGAGTTTTGCCAGCATTTGAAACATGGCTCGGCTTTTTCAACTTAAAGTAAGTTCGATTTGTTTGCCACCATTTGAAACATGGTGCGGCTTTTTCAACTTAAAATAATTTCGAATGTTGCCACCATTTGAAACATGGTGCGGCTTTTTCAACTTAAAGTAAATTCGAATTTTGCTACCAATTGAAAGATGGTTCGGCTTTTTCAAGACCAAAATAAAGGGAAACCACCATCTACAAGGCAATGTTCAGGTGTGTAATGTAAGGATAATCAAGGAACCCATAGTTAGGTTGGATGGTTCATCTCGGGGTCATTCCATTTCTCATTCCCTGCCGAGAACCAATAAGTTGTTTTTAGATGTATTTTTTCCGTTACCCCCCTGTCAGAACTCGGAACCCGCCAGAGAAATGGTTCCTTTCAATGGAAACTCGTCTTCCAGAACCATCAGTCAGGTTTCATGTTGGTGGATGGGAGGGTAGCTTTTGTGGAAGAATGATTTTCGATCACGAAGCTCATGCAAGTGTTTACACCTTTCGAGTGGGGAAATCCGGAGAACCATGTGTCATTGCCAGACTTACGGCGTTTCGCCCTTGTTTACCATTGATTTCTGGTTTTTCATCCCTGACATTTTGTTTCCGGAATTCAAAGCCCTTTTCACAGCGTCATGAGTCTTTCCGGCTGGTTCATGAGTTCGCGCGCCGGCTCAGCTTTACCCCAAAGGGTTTGGGTCCGGCCAAGCGCGAAGCTGTTTCGGGTACAGCGCAGCATCGTCCGGCGACGATAAGACGCCCTTCTGATTGTTTGCCATGGGTTTGGCGGGTTTTTGGGTTATCGACTTCCAGTGCGGTCCAACTTTTGCCTAACTCAAAACACGTAAACTGGCCCCTGGGAGGTGTGTTTCACCGGAATCATGTGATCCATTTCCTCGGGTCCTGATTTTCCTGGCTTGGAGCTGTTTCGGCTTCCAATTTTTGGGGCAGGCATGGCTCCGATTTTGTTGAAGACGGGCCCCTCCACGGCGGCTTTCCTTTTGGTTTCCCTGTTAAATCCAGCCCCAAAGAAACTGGACCCACAAAAGCTTTGCATCCGAACTGCCAAGGGGTACAGCGAGCCAAAAGTTTTGGCGTGGACACTTTGCGAACCTTTAAACCGTGGGTTTCCCTTGACCAGTTGCACCAGCTTTCTAGCAGCGAAATCGCCCGTGTCAACTTCGGGGTGGAAAAAAGAGAGCCGCCTCAGTCGAGGCCAGTTTTTTCCGGATTCCTGAATCCAAATGAATCCAAAGGTCAATACCAATAGGCTTTCGCCGAGCCCGACGTTTCCCTTCGGCTCCCCTTCGGCTTGCGGGATCAGATCTCACTGCCAGGCTTGAATGGGAGCAAGCCCGTGAAGGAATACAAGGGCCTGGCAATAAGAAGAGGGCAACGTGTGCGAAAACCGCATCGCCCCATGACTCAACTTGTTGGTCTTCAGCAGGGAATGAGAAATGGAATGACCCCAAGAAAAACCATCCAACATGGTTTCTTTCCCCAAGAAACCCATCCAACCTATTGTTTCCTTCCCCAGGAGAAACCAGCCAACCTACTGTGGATGGACGAAATCCTGCACCTAAGAAGTCCCGGTATGATTCGATTCCCCTGTCAATACCAACAACCGTTCTGGTTTCAACCAGGGTTTCAAAGTGGTCCAATCGGATTTCGTCCATCCGCAGCATGGCTGAAGATTCCTTCTCGGAGGTCCTCACGGCAGCGGCGGCGGGTGGACTTCAGTGGTCCACAATGGCCGCTCAGCACGTGACTTCAGTGGATGGTTTTCCGAAATCCGCTTGGGCACCACTTCTAGGTGGCCTTTCTTTTACTCTTTTTTGGTTGGGAGGGTTCCCCTACTAAAATAGACCTCCTGACAACAAGAGCCTGTACCCTTATTCTAAGCTCTCTACTGGAGGACCTAGACTTGGAAACCATGATTGAAACCATATCGCTGGTATTTACAGGGAATCATCATTCAGGGTAGGTGCGTTGTTTCTATGTGTGGTTTGGATAGGGGCATTTCAATCATCATGAGTAGCTTGCCTTTGGGGCTTCCAATTCAGGCAGCCCCAGAAAGGGTACCAACACACAAATTTCATCCACATGGTGAAAACATGTCCTTTCCCAAAACGGGAAAGGAGTACGGGGAACTTGTTGATATTGGAGAAATGCGTGTCCCACCGAAAAGTGGGTTCTTGGTATCCTCCCGCTGTGCCGAATCCGTTTCAAGAGCATTTGCAGCGGGAGTCTTTGTGGGGCACCCGCTTCTTGGGTTCCATGTTAACTAGGTCCCCCAGTAGTGCCCTTTTACCCTTTTTTGGGCGAGGGTTCCCCTACTAAAATAGACCACAGAGAAAAAGGGTAGCCTTATTCTAAGCTCTCAACTGGAGGAGCTAGTCTTGGGATAGGGTGCGGGGCAAAAGTCGCGATCCTTTCAATGGAAACCACCAGTAAAATCGCAGCATGGGTACATGAAGGACCCCGTTGCAGTTGGCTTCTTTTTGGTTTGCCTCAATAATCCGCCAAGCAAATTCCAACCAATGGAAATGCTTAGTTACCTTGCAGGGTATTGGCTCTTGCTCATAGCTGCCCATCTCGTGCTGAGGAGTTTGGAGACGCTCGTTGGAGAGCCTGAACATGGCCTCATGCACAAGCAGTTCATTCGTGAACACATAGCGACTTGGCAGGGGTCGTTTAAGGACGGTGAAACACTACCCGAGGGCATACACCTAGCTTCTCTTCTTTTTTTCCCCCGCGAGTACCCCAAGGCATTGTGGGAAGATGGATTTACTTTTGGTTGGGCCTACACCTAGCTTCTTCTTCTTCTTCTTCTTCTTCTTCTTCTTCTTCTTTTTTTGCGACTTCTCTGAAGTTGTCCTTGGAAAACCAGCGGTTCAAGTGGCCTGGTATTGGCTCAATGGCTCGTGGTGGCGATTCCCCATGTGGGTGGGTCTTTTTTTTCAACGGGGTGGTCTTCCTTTGGTTTCCCTTCAACACCGACCAAAAAGGGGGTACCCGCAACAAAAACGACACACCCATGAAGACAAAGTCATCTTCTTCCTAACAGATTGGGCCATTGCTTCGTTGGCCCAATCTGTTGCCTGAGCATCGAGTCCCGGGGGGAAAAGATTCGGCTGCTCCCACCCCACCAACCCGCCCCCCCGCGCGCCAAAACCAGCGCACGAGTGTATGCAGCTCGGCAAAGGCAGCAAAGGGCCAAGCTCGTGAGTTTCTGCTTGCGTCAACATTGCGCTTCCTCGTGCAAGGGGCACATCAGTGGTTTCTGCCAGGCTGGTTGTGACTTTGTGCTTGTGTTACTTCATGACGCCCCGCTTTATCTCTCGTTTCCTTTGTCTCATGCTGTGCGACTTCAGATTTTGACCATGTCTTTTCCTGAGATGCTCTTAGACTGGCTTGCTCTGTGCTTGCACGAGAGTCGCCAGCCGTTGCCTGCATCCAGGAGGTTCTCAACTTGGCAAAGAACAAGTTGACGGACATCAGCTGTGTCAATGCGATGAAGGATGGTCTCCGCGTTCACAGAGTCTTTCTGGTTCTCAGTTCAGGGTTTTGGGAATGAACCTAGATCCCCTTGAAGCAACAAGGAATGATTTATCCGGGTCATTCCCAGTTACTGAGAGCCAGCGTGTACTTCGAAGGTGCTTTCTTTTGCTTAGCTCGTTGACACGAGCTCACAGAATGGGTTGAAACGAGCCTCACCCAATGGTCCGTTCTGAAAATTCGAGTGCTTTGTGCAAATGCGGTTGCTTCGACCGCCAGAATGCAACCTCTCGGTTTTGATCGAAATGGCAAACTGCCAGAAACTTTCCGAAGCAAAATCATCAAATTTGGGCTTGTCGGACCACCTCGGTTGAATCTATCCCGAGCAGATTCTGTTTCCGCCAACCTCCCATGGGGTGAAAGGGGTGTGCTCGACAGGGTACACAAAAGAATTCCCTTTTCTTGGGTACACATTTCCTTAAGGTGACTTGATCTACTTGCACCCAACAAGAGGTGGACACCTAAAGGCAAAAGCGGCTGTCATCACGGGGCTGGTTGTTTACTTAACTTTTTTTGAACAAGTTCAGAAGTGTCAGCATCCAAACCATGCAAGGTAAGATAGTTTAATGAATCGTATTCAGGATTCGACTCGAAACTATCTTTGACATATGCACACACAACTTGGTGGCTCCCAGCCATCCGGTCCCTGAGCCTGAGCTTTTTGGTGGTCGCTTCCATCTAACCCGCAAAAAGCGAGTCGCGTCTCGCGGATCTGAACACGGGCCGCTGAGATGAGTCGAAGATCTTTTTGGCTTCGGAGGACCCCCGGACCTTCGAGTTCCGACGGCTGCAGATCCTGAACGCTTCGAGGAGAGACGTGGAATTTTTGCAGAGTGGGGTGGGGGGGGGGGGCATGGGACCTAATCATGCCTTGGGGTGGGGTGGGGTGTGGGTGGGGTGGGGTGGGGAGTGGTGGTGTGGTGGGGTGGGGTGGGGGTGGTGGAGTGGTCCCAAGGTGGTGGGGGTGGTGGTGGGGTGGGGTGGGGTGGGGTGGGCTGGGGCTGGGGCTGGGGTGGGTGGGGTGGTCCCAACTACTCAGACTTCTGGCCGCCTGTAGCGGACATGTTTTTTGTTCCGCGATTTGGGTGGAATGGGGCGAAATTCCCCGAGGTAAAAGCGAAGGTGGGGCTTGGAAACAAAGCCTCCAGAGATATCCCAAATTTAGAAGCGTTCGATTTTGGAGATAGCGCACATGCATGAAATTAGGAATATGTAGATGGCACAACCTTCCAGTTTTGTCGTCGGGAATGGTGCCATGTAAGAACTCAGCCTGGCAATACTCAGCCTTTGGACAGCACTTGGACATCCTTTCTCATCAACTTCTCAGGCAACCCGGAAGACTACTTTACAGCCGGACCAAGCAAGTTTAGGCATCTATGTTCTCGCGACTTCAGGAGAAGCATGAGCTGATGTTTGGACAACGTGATTTGTTGGCTGTCCGCTCCGTGGGCAAAGCTCCTTATAAATTGGGGCCATGGCCAGTGTTTCATTCATATGCACGATGCCTGCTAATCAAGGAATCAAGGTGTTGACGACCCTCCTCCTGCCACCAGCTCACCACCAATAGTGAAGTTGCTCCACTCCCTAAGTTTCTGGATTCTGGACTTGCTTTTGGGTAAGACCAAGCTCGTTAGTGGCAACCACGCAGTGTGGACGTTTCTCTTTGGCCGATCAAATCCGGAGCTGAGTGTTGCTTTGACCATGGCAGACATGGGCTGTCTGAAAAGAGGGCATTTCCAAGTACAGGTCGGTTGCGAGCGGGGAATGGTCGTGCCCCATGTGCCATGTCGCAAGCCCCAGGCTGTGTTTTTGTTGGCTCCGAGCTCCGAGGCTTATCGGGCGAAACCATTTCTAGTGAGTCACTTCTGCAGGGCACCCGAAAACGGACCGCCCAGAATTTGGGTGAAGAAATTTGTCCGTTTCCGTTTGCGAGGTGTCCATATAAAATCCCCGAAGGCACCAAGCCACGGCCTGCCGACCACAGCTGCGTCGGCAGGAACATGCTCACCTTCGTGAAGCTGGTCAACCCCAGCGACCTGGAAAAAGAGGGGTTGCTGTTAACCCTTGTTTGTTTTGTTGCTTATTGTTTCCCGTGTGTTTTTGGCCGTTTTTGGTTTTGTATGTTGTTTCCGTTTTGTTTTTGTTGTGTGTTTTTTGTTCTCCTTTGTTCTTTGGCTGGGCGATGTTATTCTACTTCGTCTCGTTGTGTTTGCAGCATGTTATTTTTTATGTTTCACGATGTCGGTCTTGCTCGCCGTGTGTTTTTATGTCTGCCTGCAGTTGTCAATGTGATGTTCCCCTTGTTTTTCAGCTGTTTTTTTTTTGGTTTTGTCTAAATTGTTTTTTTTTTTCTTCTCATTTTGTTGTTTGCATATGTTTTCAAATTTATGTTCCAAATATTGTTGGTTGACAGTGTCTATTTTATTGTTCATGTTGTTCTTTGTTTTTGCTTTTTTTTGTTTATGTGTTCTCTTCTTCTGCTTCTTTTTTTTTGGGGGTGGGGGAGGGGGGGGGGGGGGGCGAACCCTTTGGTTTTGGTTTTGGAGTTGGAAACCACAAGAAAGCCGAGCATTCTGTTTGGTTTGGGACAGCCATGTTGAGACGCATGCGAGGTGCATAGTTTTGTGCGTGGTGGTGCCCTTGTTTCCTCAACATCAGCTCCCGAAAGCGGGTGCCGATCCCATGGAAACTGGGGGTTTGGGTTGGACCACACTAAATCCCTTTTGCTTTGGGTTCGGGACCCAATGTCAATGAAATCAGCTGGGCAGCGCGTCAAAACCCGCCCTCAAAAGGTTCCCAACCTGAAAAGGGATCCAATGGTTTGCGCAAAGACCTTACCAAGACTGTTTTGTTTGCGACTGAAATTCGATGAAGCTTGCTTCCTTGTATATGGATCCACGTTTTTGCGAGTTGAATCATACCAATTTTCCCAGAAAGGTCTTTCTCAACGATTCTTAGGGGCTATATCTCCTTCGATTCTGAGGGGCTATATCTCTTTTACCATGGAACACATTTTTGGTTGGTAGTTACAGGGGAATCATCAGAAACCAGGGTTTCTTAGGTGGTGTACGAAATCCCCACAGTAGAGGTGTCTTACCCATTCGTGCACGAAGATCTCACACTAGGGGAAGCCGTTGAAGACTTGGTACCAGGCTACCACCGGGAAAGCATTGGTCAGAGTTTCCTCCGTTTTCCTTTCAAGGAAGCCTCCAAAAGTGCCCATGGTTTCAACAAGAAACCACCAGTAACCAGGACCCAATGGCTGGCAAATGGTCTGTGGAATGGCGCCTCCCAATGGCGGTTTTGGAATGTTGTTTGCCAGCCATGGGGAGTCCTGGAAGCTGCTCAACGGAAATCCAACGACCCCTGGTTGTCGAGGACGCGCAAGGGACACCATGGAAGACTTAGAAGTACTTGACCAACTAAGCCCGAACATCGCATCCGGAAACGCAGTGGAAGCATGGCTTTGCGATTTTTGCTTGGTGCGATAGTTGGGGAAGGTGAAATGGAATGAACCCAGGCTTTGGTCTTCCCCTAACGGAAACCGCGTGACTTGATTTCTGGAGCCCAGGCTTCCGGACGCCGTGAGTGGATTTGTTGAGCCCAGGGGTCCCCGCTCGATTTTTGAGGAAGCCGCGTGACTTGATTTGTGGGGCGGTGAGGCATCATTGAAATCAACCTCAGCCACAACGAGCTGGTGAAGCTTCCAGACTTCTCCTCACTGCACCAACTCTCGAAGCTTCTCATCTCCCACAACTGCATCGACGACACGCCCCCCGTCATCGGCCGACGCCGGGGTTGGGTCTCTGTTTTGTGTTTTTTGTTTGCTCCCCCCTCTCCCTTTTTTTCTCCGCTTTTTGACCGGCGGCTGGCTGTTGTTTGCGGGAGGAAAAGACGGGGTTTTGCAAGGTGAAACCTGTTTCAACGGCTTGGCATCCCTGATTTCTCTTTGTCGCCCCCCCCCCCCCCGGGAGAGGCGCAAGGCTGGTTGAAGCAGGGGGGATGTTTTTGTTGATGGGACATGGGGAAAAAAAATGGGTTTCCTCTTTCTTTACGATCCATCCCCTTGCCTTCATGACCCCGCCTCCCCGTGTTTCTCTTTTAATGAGGCCTTGTTTTGTGCTGTTTTGGGGTCTGATTCTGGGAATCAAGGAAGGGGTTGGTGGGTGGGGGGTGGGGGGGGAGGGGTTGGACTTCTATTGAAGACCTGGGTTAATTGGTGACCAAACATACCAAGGCGATGTCTCTTTGGGCTTCATGTGCGGCTGCCTTCAAAGGGACAAGACGAGGCCGGCGCCCGCATGTGACAACTGTAAGAGGGCGAGTCTCAAGCATCCATAGCCGGCATTTTTTTTCAGAGTGTCCAGGAAACCTCACAGCAGGTTGTAATAGCCAAAATTGCGGGTACACAGGGTTAGGACAGGCGCCATGTTTGAAGCAGACGGCCCTCCGGGGTTGACTGGCTTCCTTTGGGGTGATGGAGCCGACGGAAGCAGGCGGCGAGGTTTGGCAAGACTACCACCCCCGGATCCACAACGTATAATATACATAATATGTATATATATATATGCTACCCCCCCCCCAGGGACCTACCTTTTGGCTGCCTCTCCAGTGCATCCCTCAACTAGGACCAGGACCAAATGAGACTAGAACCCAGGATCTCTGAACTGGGACTAGGACCAAACTAGGACTAGACGACCCACCTCAGATTCTTACAAAAAATGAACTTCAAGTATAACTTCCTCTGCAATGTCCTGTATATTTTCTAATTGTTGCAGCAAACTAGGGAGCAACCTAACACTGGAACCAAGGATCTCTCATCTAGGACCAAACTAGGACTAGACCATTTAATTCTACTTCTTATAGTATTTGGATGTCAAGTATTACATTCTGGTTGAAAAAAACGTCCTCCTAACATGTAAATTCTGACTGGATATTTTCCTTATTTCAAATTCAATTGTTCAGCTAGAAGTTGCATGGAACTTGACTAATATATTAACTACAATTCATAACGAACTTCCTTTGTAATGTCCTTTATACGTTCTATGTATTTCAGTAAGCTGGGACCATACTTGGCCTATAACCAAGGATCTCCCAACTAGGACTAGGACCAAACTAGGACTAGCTAGTTCTGAAAGTGATTGAATTTCAATGTACAAAGGTCTATTGGACAGAAAATAGTTTGTACCATTTAATTTGACACAAACAGTCAATATTTAAGTTCGAATCTAAATCGCAATTTTGGCTGGAGTATGTCCTTCTTAAGCTCCATTGAATTTCAATCAGAAATAAGGTTGAATTTGATAAAACATACTAAGTGGAATGCATAAGGAAAGAATCCAAAGGTCCCAAACTTGTGTTTTTCACTAGTCCTAACACTACCTTGGCCAGAAAACACCGTAAAACACAGTGTGGTGTAGCGTTTTGCATACTCAATTCACATCTCCACCAACGAATGCTCTCTAAATGCTCATTTGAACTTGAACAGGATTTAATTGGGACTCAATACGGAAATATTTGGTCATAATCCTAATGGTAATCAAATTTGAGATTGCGAGTTTAAATAGAGTTCCTTTCCCAATATATACTTGCAATTCAATATGAGCTTTAACAGGATTTGATAAGGAAAGAACCCATATTCTCTAGACAAGTCTTCTTTGCAAACGCGAGTCCAGGCCCGAGTGAAACCCATTGAGACCGACTGAAATTTCAGTTGAGCCTGGGTTCAAGATTCCCTAGAAAACGTTGACCTGCAATCTTGAATGTGGGCCTAGATTGAAACAGATTGAATGAATAATCAGGACTTGGATGCTTGCACAACACTGTGCTAAAGTACAGCCGCGCAAAGTGCAATGTTGAATTTGGGTCTCGATTTAAACCGATTTAAACCGATTTAAGTTTAAATCGGGCATGGATTCAAGATTCAAGATTCAAGAATCCAGGCCAAACTTTTCCAGGGATTGTTGAATCCAGGCGTCGATTTAAACCGATTTAAACCGATTTAACTTAAATCGGGCATGGATTCAAGATTCAAGATTCAAGAATCCAGGCCAAACTTTTCCAGGGAGTCTTGAATCTTGAATCTTGAATCCATGCCCGATTTAAGTTAAATCGGTTTAAATCGGTTTAAATCGACGCCTGGATTCAACAATCCCTGGAAAAGTTTGGCCTGGATTCTTGAATCTTGAATCTTGAATCCATGCCCGATTTAAACTTAAATCGGTTTAAATCGGTTTCAATCAAGCCTGAAGCTTCCAGAACGTCCTTGGAAATGCTTCTTTTTCATTGCTCTCCCCAAAGCCCAAAAAGGTAGGTCCCTGGGGGGGGGGGTACCATATATATACATATATATATATATGTATGCATATATGTATATATATATATATATACTTATATAACATACGTATATATATATATGTATATATATATATATCTATATGTTGTATATATATATATATGTTGTATATATATATATACACACATATATATATATATACATATATATATATATATATATATACATATATATATATATATACACATGCAAAGACAACACCCCCGCACCAAACATGGAAACCTGAAGCGAATCGCGCTCCGAGCGGACTCGCGACTCGCGACTATCCGAGGTTGGAGCAGTTCGGAGATCTGCAGAAGCTGCGGGTCTTGGACCTCTCCTTCAACAAGTTCTCCTGGCGGCCCACCACCTTCCGCAAGCAGCTGAGCCACCTGGAGCCGTTGCATCTGGAGGAGATGAGGCCATGGGGTTCGGTTTTGGAGAATTCGGCTTTGGTGAAATTTGCTCACTTCAGTTGTACTTGAGTCACTGGGCTTGGACCATTTTTAGTGGCAAAGAAACGGTTTGGCCACCTCTTTCTGGCCGATCCACTCGAGGGTGAGTAAGGGAGGTGTGCAGGGATCCGAAAGGTGGAACATCCCGTTTCAAGGCGGGTCCATGTAAGGAGAGATGCTCGGCTCACTCCGTTTTTTTTCTTTCTCACTTTTTTCTTTTCATTTCCTGCGCGGGTTTCCCCTACCACGACTTAGAGGCCATCATGTCTTCGGATGTTACTTTGGCGCAGGGGCCAAAAGGCCAAGCAGAAATCCCATCCAGCGTAGAGGACCATGGGGCTGGCGCCCCCATTGGCCATTTCCCAGACGCTCCAATTCGATCAATTTCGGGCCCTAAAAAAACAGCCAGGTTTTGAAACCCCAAACACCTCCGGGGTGCCTAATAGAGTCAGGTCTTCCATTGAACGCCCCAGGAGCCTCTGGGCTTGCAAGATGTTTCACGGGAGCATAGAAATCCCGATTCTCAGCCCAAAAGATGTTGGCCTTCCCATTTGCGCGGGACCCCTTTCCCCCGAAGCCCTTGAAGTCCAAGGGAAAACCGAAGCCACTCGTGGGTGTCCCTTAAGAAAGAAACAATCCCATGCAGGACCCCCCCAATGGCTGGCAAATAACATTCCAAAACCGCCATTGGGAGGCGCCATTCCAGGGACCAGTTGCCAGCCATCGGGTCCTGGATACCACTGGTGCAGCTATGAGTCTCACAAAACCTCCCAAGGGACTCGGAGGCGCCGTTTCTCTCCCGCATCCTCGCGCAGGCTCTGGCCCAATCCCTTTGCGGAGGGCTTCAAGGTGCGAAGCCGCCGTTGGTTCGACCCGAATTGATTCGGCTCCGGTCGGTTGCAGACCAAAGCCATCCGAAGAAACTGTTGAAGGGCCCTTGGGTCAGGGCTTCCCCATATTTCGAAATCTATGGAAACTAGGTCCCGGAAAGAAAGCTGTATGCGGATATGCGGATATTGCTGGGAGACCCCCGTGCCGAAATAGGAAGACTCCCCAGCCAAGCACTTGGAGTTGTTGCTGTGGGGGGTGTCTCTGGGGTCTTCTGGGTCGAACCCACTTTTTTGTTTTGTTTTTTCTTTTTCCAGGGGAGGCTCCCGGGCTCTTTGGGGGTCCTGGTTCAACCAGGTTCCGTTCCATTTCATGTTTGGGATCTTGGGGCTGGGAGATGTTCCCAACCCTTGCGAGCAGTGCTTGGGGCTCGGAAGCTCCGATCCGTGAGGAGTACCAGTTCATCACGGCCACGACGCTTTCCTCCATCACCAGTCTGGACGGCTTCAAGATCGACTCAGACCTCAGGCGCATGTAGAAAGAAAGAAACATAATTAAATACGGTGTTTTTGTTTTCAACCACCAGGTCTCCTTCCGACAAGTTTGAAGGGAGGGGGCCGGCTTGGTTTTGCTGTTCTGCCTTCTGCCCCTTGGACCTTCTTCCTTGAGTTTCCGACGCCGTGAAAATCTCAACGTGCAAGTCTGGCCAGGAACTCGGACGGTTTTCCTTGACAAGAGTTGAGCACAACTGAGCGCATCCTGCCGAGTTTCTAGGTCCCCCAGCAATTGGTGCCCGTCCTCTCACCCAACTTTTTGGGTTGGGAGGGTTCCGCTACTAAAATAGACAGCAAAAAGTTGGTAGCCTTATTCTAACCTCTCTGGAGGACCTAGGTTTGCTGGGGGCAAGGCCCACACCTTTGCCACGTGAAAGTCAAAGCAAATGGCAGGGCGCTGCTGGCGCTGCTCCATCGGCCCAGTCAGGAAGGATTTTTTGGGGCAACCCTCCGATCATTCGTTATTTTCAGGAGAATCTCGGCGCCGCTCCGGTCCGTTTGGATCCGTTTTTTGTTTTTTTTGGGTTCAATTCGGCTACCAAATGAAGGGCTCCTTTTCAGCGTCACCGCTGCGGTCTCGGGGCTCCGCTCGATCGCTTCACATGTCCATCCCGCGGAAGCAACAGTCCCCGAGCTCCGGCTCGGACTTTTGACTTTTTGAGTTTGGACCATTTCAGTGACAAACAACAAGTCGGGACTTTGTTTGGCCACTCGATCGGAAGAGAGTTGATCTACCAAAAAAATAGAGAAACCAGGGATGGGACGGTCGCATCGGTTATTTTTTGGATGGTCGGCTTTGAGGATGTTTTTTCCCCATGGCTTCCCTTGTGGAAACTCGTGTGGCACGGGGCCGTCAGGGACAAGAGGCCGGGTTTCGCCACGAACAATGAGACCCTTCACCTTTCCCATGGAAAACGAATATATTTTCCTTTTACCCCCTGCAAATCAACATGGAGCACCAAGAAACACCCCGGCAAGAGCAATGCATATCCATAATATGTGAGCCAAAGGGTCCCCAGCTCACATTGCCAAAGTCGATGCCAGGCTAGTAACTCGGCCGACACCGCAACCGAACCCGCTTCTTCAGTGTTGTTTTTTGAATGCAGGGTTCCCCAAATTCCAAAGACGTGGTCTCTCTCAACAACAGTGTCCCCTCCAAGCATTTGGAGGAATCCTCTCAACAAAATGTCAATCCAACATCCGTCATTCGGAGAGGGACTATGACCTATACGTCCCTAAAAAGATGTCCACCACGGTGGGTCCCTTCAGACAATGCACTCATCTACCCTGAAAATCCCCGTGCAGGGAATGGGACATGGAATGTATAAAGAATCCCACTGGTGGTTTCCTGAGGAATCCCACGGATCAATTTGGGCGGACCAGCCTTGAAGCGGCACCACCAAAAGCTGGGCAGGTCCTGAAAGCGTTTTCAAAGCGGCTCTTGATAGCAGGGTCATGGCTGGGATTGAGCTCGAGTTTCTACACGGCTCAAGTCGCCAGGTCTTTTTCAGGCTTCCTTCTTTTCTTCTTTTTTTGACGTGGGTCTTGATCACCTGTGTCTCAAACAAGAAAAAGACGACGACGGTGGCAAAACCACCTGCAGGTTTCAGCTCAGAGTACAAGCAGACCAGCTGCACATGAACAGCGCGGACTTCTCCATCTTCGATGTGCGGGTGGAGGCACGCAAGAGAGAGGGCAGAACATGTTCTTGGGGATTGGTTGTTGGTTGGTTGGTTGGTTGGTTGGTTGGTTGGTTGGTTGGTTGGTTGGTTGGTTGGTTGGTTGGTTGGTTGGTTGGTTGGTTGGTTGGTTGGTTGGTTGGTTGGTTGGTTGGTTGGTTGGTTTGTTGGTTTGTTGGTTTGTTGGTTTGTTGGTTTGTTGGTTTGTTTGTTTGTTTGTTTGTTTGTTTGTTTGTTTGTTTGTTTGCTCGCGTGTTCGCTTTTTCGCTTGCTGGCTTGCTTGCTGGCTTGCTTGCTTGCTTGTTTGCTTCCTTGCTTGTTTGCTGGCTGGCTGGCTGGCTGGCTTTGCTTGCTTGCTTGTATTTGTGTTGGTACTTGGTTTGTTTGTTTTGTTTTGTTTTGTTTCGTTTCGTTTTGTTTGTTTGCTTGTTTGTTTGTTTGCTTTGTTTGTGTGTTCTTTGTTTGCATTGTTCTTTTCCTGTTCATGTTTAGTCAAGATGGGCAAAGAGCCAATGCTTTTGCTGGGAAGATTTAGCAGTTGGGAAGGAGACAAAGAGCGACGTTCTTTCACCCACAAGGTGGGATGATCTTTGGTTGTAGCCACTTTTTGCTGGTAACTCTACTGTAAAGCGAGTTGTACTAAATGTCACTTGCCATACTGTAACGTGGGTATCTTCCCCAGAATTAGCCCCCGTTGCTTTGCTCTTTTCAAAACCAGGCAACCCATATTTCGTTTTTTGCTGGGTCCTAATTCCAGCTATGGAAGATCCTGACGCTTGAAATTGCCTGATTCAGCAGTGCCTGCATTGGAGAAGGGTGTCTGAGGCATTTCCCTAAGGGAACCTGCAGAGTGGTTCGATGGTTTCAATGGAAACCACTCGTTTGATCAACTTGAGGCCTTGAAAGGAAACCAGAGGGGCTGGAGAGCTAGGAAGCTGGGTGGCTGAAAACGGGACCAACCATACCAAAAGTGGGATGAGACAAATGTATGTTCTTTCGGCATGTTTGGGCCTTCCTTTTCGTGCCATGTTCAGAACCCAGTTTGACTTTGGGAGGGCTTCGTAGTTGGGGAAGCAAGCTGGCAATTTGACGCACACTGCAAGAGGTGGTCGATGTTTGTTTAAGCTTTTCCAGACTCTCTAGTTCGCGATTGACCCTGCAATCTTTAAACAGACTTGAGCTCAAGCCTCAATTTGGGGAATTGCCTCTTGTCTTACCCCTCCCGTCCCTAAATCAGACCCCCGATAAGGCATGAGGAAACAGGCAAGTTGGACGAAGGGCAATCCCTTACAAAAGCTTCTCAGCCATTGAAAGCCTCCGAAAGCGCTGAAGTTTATGGCAGCCGCGCTCGCGGTTGCCCTCGACGCAAGCGCGGGTAGCTCACTCGCTGATGGACCACCCGTGTTTGTCTCTGGAACCCAAGAAACAGGTTTCCCATTGATTCATTCCCCCAGCCATGGCCCAACTCTAAGCATGCAATGCTAACCCCGGATTAATACACCCCTGGTTGATGAATAGGGCGCTGTCCCCCTTTGGTGGGGATTCATCACTTTTGGAGGGAACACCCCCCTAATAATGGGACGGGTGTAGAAAAATCCTGGGTCAACATGTACCAAGAAAAGGCGCCCACTGGAAGGCCCCGGTTTCACAGAAATCCTCGGCCTGTGACCGAGACGCGTTTCGCGGGTTAGAGCCGAGGGTTGAGCCAGAACGGGGGCTTGACCAGTCGCCCTGCGGGGTTTGCTTCATGCCCTGTTTGAGCCTTGGCATCATTGTATTCAAAAGACGACAAGGTTCTTCCACCTATCTAGAAAACGGTTTGGAGGTGGATGTTGTGGATCCACCCCTGTCGGATATTAAAAGAGTGCCCAAAGAAACCTACAGAGAAGGACAGGTGAAATCCACAAGCGCAAATCCAACCCGTTTTCTAGACGATCTCGCTGCAAGATCTCCAGGTCCGTGCAGCTCCCAAGGCCTCGCTCGAGACCCTTGGTCTCGCCATGTGAGCCGCAATCAAAACCGATTCGGGTAGATGAAGGTTAAGGGACGATCCCCTTGCCGTAAATAGCTGCGGATATCCGCCTTCTTTCTTCTTGAAGCATGGTTCTGGGATTACGACCATTTTAGTACCGACTTTTGATTGCGACTCATGTCGACAACTCGACACTCGCCAGGAGCGCCGGAAACGCAACACGCCTACCGAAGTCGTAGGCGCGTTGCCGCGTCGCGGGCGGCAGGGAGTCGTGGATCACGTTGAGCGTTTCTGTGTGCCGAAACGTTTGCTTGTTCACGTCTTATTTGTTCCTGTTCTCCTCATGGCGTTTAAGGAAATGGCTTCCTGACTGCTGAACTAAGCATGTGCAATATATATATATACTTATACAGTCTATATATATATATATATGTATATATGTACCTGTTGTAGTCGTGCCCTTTTGCAACGGGCTACTGGGCAACTGCTCGGACGGGGTATCTGGGGGGGGATGGACTTCGCTCCAAGCATGGGGTTTCCTTACTAAAATAGACTACAGATATTCTAACCTCTCTATTGGAGGACCCAGTCTCCAAAACGCTGCCCAACTTACAAGTGGTTGACTTGTGGCATCCCCTTTGATAGGTTGTCGGAGGCTCAATCAGATTCTCCCAGTCGTTGGACGCATTGCCAATTCACGTGGCCAGCTGAGAGAGAAGCCCCTCTCACGGCTGGGTCTTAGACTTCTGGGGCCTTGCGCTAGGATTCCATGGCCTTCAACTTCCCTAGGCTTGGTCGACCGGAAGTGGGCACCTTTGGATCTAAGAGAGGAGGATCATCCCCTTTTCAGGAGAGCGGTATGAACCTCAGCACGCTTTCTGGGTTCATGTTGCCTGGGTATGTCACGGAAGCTCGCTCGCGGGCTACGTGTACCGCGACAAAGGGAGCGTCGAGCCCCCTTCACGGGGGCGTGGGTCCGCCAGGCGCAGAGCAGGACGTCACGGGCTCCGCCGCGGGGCACGAAATGGGGGACGCGGGGGATCTGACAGATCTGACTCACGCCCGGTTTCCGGGCAGCGCGGGCATTGGTCTGAGAGTCTTGCATGTGGCTTTGGCATGAAGTTGCGGACGCCTTGGCCCCTGGCCAAATTTAAGTATTTTGGCGCTTTCCCGGTGCAGCCCTTCAAACCCGCCCTTCAGGATGAAGCTTGAGGGACCCCCCCAAAGTGGGTTCCATGTCAATTGGCTGGGGATGCAGAGGAGCATGCGACGACTTCACTTGTTCGGGTGGCGTCCGCCTTCATCGCTGCAAGCCTTTTCCAGGGAGAAGCTGGTCATCTTTGTGTTTATCAATACCTTTCGGTGTTATCGATTTGCCTTTTTCAATTTTCAACAGCTTCGACGGGCTCTGGGCTTCACGGGGTGTAGAGGGTGTCCAAGCATAGAACCCATGCATGGTGGTGTCCTTTTGGATGCCCTTTTCAATCACAAAATTGGGGTACAACCCCACTTCTCGGCATGTCCCATAGGAGTGCCAAAGGTGGCTCCCACCCCCTCATTGGAGGATCATCTCGTGAATCAGGTCATTAGATGTATGAGAAGGGGAACTGCTTGAGTGTCTTGCTGGTGCTTAGCAGGGACTAGGGAGTGAACGTAGGTTGTATGGTTTCTCTCGGGATCATTTCATTTCTCATTCGCTGCCTATCGAACCACCGCTGAGGTACCTTGTGTGAATGAACTCATTGAGTGCATGCGGAGAGCCCTCGACGAGCCCGACAATCTCTTGAGACACATCTACAGCCTGGAACAGAAGGCAGACCAAAATAACAGACGGCTTCCATTTGCTCAAATTGTCGGTTTCCTTTTGGTTTTCCTGTTAAGAAACAACCAAGAAGCATTACCAACTCCAACATAGACGAGCCCATATGTTTGGTTAGGGAAAAGCTTTGAGAGGCGCCCTAAGCTTTTTCCATTTTGGGCTCGCAAAGAACTCAACCTGCTTGGGTCTTCGGCCAGGTCGGAATGTTGTTCACCTAAGTTATAACTTGCTGGTGATCTATAGGTAGGGAATGAATTTTCAAGTCTGGGTTTTGCCGGTTTGGGGATGGCTCTTCAAGGAAACCATAAGATGGATAGTTTATCTCGGGGTTGAGCCAGCAAGAAAAATCCACTTGCAAGTCCCCCGTTCAGTGGGATGAACCTTGGGGTAATAAGCCAAGTGCCTAAGCACTACTAGGTCCCCCAGTAGTGCCCTTTAGTGCCGTTTTCGGGGGAGGGTTCCCCTGTCTTGCTGGCTCTCAGCGGGGATAGAGAAATGGAATGACCCCAATACACCATCCATCTTATCGTTTCCTTTGAGGCTGCAGTAGAGGGGTTAGAATAAGTTGGTACCCTTTTTGCTGTATAGTCTATTTTAGTAGTCCACTTGTAGGTCCCCCGTTTAGTGGGATTAATCTTGCATGGGGGTTATAAGCCAAGTGGCTAAGCGCGAACAAAGGAGATGCCGGTATTTTTGGTCTGGGGGTGAGTTTCCGTCTCAAGGTTGACCAGCATGACCATGATGTTGGTTGCGGGGCAAGCAAGCGGAGGTAGATTCTGGGCCTGCGGTTGACCGCTTTGATTCGTCCCAAAGGGAACCGCCAATTTGTTCTGGGCACTTAAGATGGTTTGGTCACATTGGTCTGGCGTAGCCCAACTTGGGTATTAGTAAGGGACCCCCGCCCAAAGAAAAGGCGAGCGGGACGCCCGGCAGGCCCGGTTTTACAGTGACTTTAGCCGTGTTTTTTCTGACAGATGCACGGCACATGATGCCAGGACACCAACTATATTTCGACATTGAAATTATCAAGAAGCTCGAGATGCGACCAAGTATTTGCCCAACGATATGCACGCATCAAGCTGCTGCTTCTTCAGTATAGTGTGTTGGTAGCATCAGGACGCAGAAGCGCCGCCTCTTTTGGTTCCAGCAAAGGTACACACTCCTATTTGAGCCAGATAACCAATGTGTTAGTGCATAAGATCCTTCTGCAATAGTAGCGCGCACACAAAAGTGTTGTTCAACCCCAATCTTGCGGAAGCATCACGCCCCAAATGCGGACGCAGGCTCCGGGCGCGAGAAGGAATCAGCAGTTCATGTCTCATGTTGGGATCTTGCACTACGTTTCTATGTGTTCTGGTCAAGTCGCCCATGGCATTTTATCGTCTGCTAAAGCTTCCAGCTGAGCCACTTGCTCAAAACCCGGGTAGGGTAAGGTCAAGGACCAATCCCAACCCACAAATAGATGCCTTCGCCGTGTTTTTCATTCTTGAAGCATGGTTCTGGGTAGACCACTTTAATACCAGGGCTTTGATTGCGACTCAGCTGTTGGGGCAAAATGGCTGCTCAAAAAACAGTGCCCAAACTGGCACCCTGGCAAATGGAAACAAAGACCAAAACTTCTGCGTAAGCCTAAAGACTGCGAAACCCTGGCGGTTGACCCCCGAGCCACACCCAAATGAGTCACAATCAAAACCCGGGTAGATGAAGGTTAGTAAGGGACAATCCCAACCATAAAAATAGCTGCGGCCGCGCGTTTAATTCTTGAAGCATGGTTCTGGGTAGACCGTTTTTCTACCCGGGTTTTGATTGTGACTCAACAAAAATGGCCATGAAATTTAATAGGGAACCCAGAGTGATTGGTGGACAGGAATCCCCACCGAATTTTGATGTCCACCATTTCGGGTCCCTTCTTAAAATTCATAGCCAAATTTTGGGACTTCCCCTGGTCTGGCACGCCGCATCCGCAGATTTCTTACATCTGGGCCGCCAGCTTCTGGGACCGGCGCCGGCTGATGCTGGTGATCGAGGAGCGGGCGGAACGTGCCGTCTCCGAGCCGAAAACGAGTCGAACAGCCGATGGGTCCTTCACCTTGATCTTCCCAGGACCCTGGAAAAGCAGGGTCCTGGGGCCGAATTTCCATTCGGAGCCAAGATGAAAAAAAAAAAAACGGTTTTGGGGGGTCCTTGGAAGACCAAGGTTCAGGAAAAAAAACATCTCAGCCGCTGTGAGGTGGTCATTCGACCGATTTTTTTCTTCGGGGAGTTTCTTCGTTTTGTAGGCTTCACAATTTGTTGCTTGTTGGCTATGAGCCGAGGTTCGAGGGCTGACTCAACTGAGTTGGGACCCAAGCTCGGTGTTCCAACTGGTTCCGACCCCCCGCTTGGTTTTTGCGTTCCCTATTCTCCGCGTTGTTTTTTTGTTTGTTTTTCTTTTCCCCCTGGTTCTTCACAGTCCACTTCACTCAGCCTGAGGCCCCGAACATGGTCTCTCAGGGCTATGGGCGTGCTGACGTTAAGGAGAACCAATGTCTGGGTCCCTAGTCCCGGGCCCCAGTTCGACCCCGATGCACGGGAACAAATTCCGATGAAAAAGCGAATCGGCTTGAAATCGCCCAAGTGGTTCTCCAAAATTTTGCTTTTACCCAAAGGCTCCTGGGGCTTTCAATGGAAGACCCGAATTTTCCACAAGGCACCCCGGAGGTGTTTGGGACCCGGTCTCAAAACCTGGCGGTTTTTTTAAGGCGCGAAGTTGATCGAATTGGGGCTTTTTGGGTACTTCCGAAGCCCTTTCCTGAAGGTTCGCGGGCATTCACTTTTCTGAGGACCCCAAAGGAAGCTGCGGGTGTCCATTTCGGGGGTTTTCGGTGCACCACCCATTTTAGAACCTATTTTAGTGGTTGGATTGGGATGTTCACTGGGGGTACGATTTGGATTTTGATTTATGGCCAGTTCCATGTATATTGTGGGTGTGCAAAATGGCGCGCGCTTCCACACAGCGTTCGCCAGAAGGACTTGCTTGCATGGGACAGATCATTCGCTTCGCGGTTCTCCATTTTTAGTCTCAGCCTTGCGGGTAATCCTGGCCGTGATTTGCCAGCCCTCGCGACAAGCAAAACCTTCCAGCTTGCTGAATTGTTGTTCATCGCCAACGAACATGTTAAACCCTGTTGCATGGGATCCTTTAAATAAAGACCATTCCAGTATGGGGCACACTCATTTGGCTTGAGCCTTGAGCCTCGGGGATTCCTCTATTTGCTTCTCAGCCTTTTGGACGAAGTTTTTTGAGTCGCCTGGGGGAGCCGCTACGCTTTCCATGTTCAATCTCCCTTTGTGTTGGTTTAGTTGTTTCAACATTTCACCAAAAGTGCAGGGAAGGACCGAAGTCTTTAAGTTCCCTCCCAGGGGACTCCCGCTTCAGCTTTTGCCACGTTGCTTCAATCGTTTCCTCTTTCCGGGACACCGCAACTTGCAAAGACCCTAAGGGTATTGAGCCTTGGGAAACGTGGCCAACGAAGCCAAACATAAACCCACCTGGACATTCCTTTGCATACCTGAGGCACCCAACGTGCCCTTTTTTTTAGGTACGAGAAAAAAACGCTCGAATTACCGATTTCTGCTCGACCCCCAAAAAAACGCTCGCCCCCCAAAAAACGCTCGACCACATCCCCTTCTTCCATCCAGAGGAAGGCGGGATTGTTACGTTTTTTAAATTTGCACTCGTTTGCGGATATTTGCGCTCGTTTTGCGGATATTTGCGCTCGTTTTGCACTTTGATTTCTGCTCGCTCCTTTTGAATATTCAGTGACCGATCATCTTGGAGGACCGACCAGTCCGGTTTTGGGAAAAACGCTCGAAGCAGGAAAAAGTGTACGTTTACCATATTTTGGTGACGACCCCTGGTTTTGCAATACGTGTGGGCTAAGGGCAGAAATTTATGTAACGAAGGGTGCTCCAGGTACTTTTTTTCCTGGGAGTTTCACGTTTTAAGGCCTTTTCTTGCGATCTAGGTATTTTGCGAGGATGTGGGATGTTGTGACTTCGTTTTGCGGCTTTTGCAGGCATCGTGTGGCCATTTGCGGGGGCGTGTTCATTGCTTGAGGCTCTTGTTCCGCCATTTGCCGGCGTTTGCGTCATAGATGAAGCTAAAAAGCAGACGCTGCGAGAAAGTGCTCGTTGGAATGTGCAGGCAAACGAAAGTAAGGCCTTCGGGCCCAGCCAACTCCTACGTCCCAGTTCCAAGCTTGCGGGCTCGATGTTTGGAAAGGATATGGCCATGGGTCAAAACCTCGAACCCTCAGTGAACATCCCAATCCAACCACTAAAATAGGTCCTAAAATGGGTGGTGCACCGAAAACCCCCAAAATGGTACCATTGGTTTTGACCCATAGCCATACGGGCCCGTGAATTGTTCTAATCTTGGGACTTTTGTGGGGATTATGCCCGAAGGATCCCTTTTAAGTCCTCAAGGGGCCATGTCAACATAGTTGTCAACCAATTTGGATGCTTGGGAACTTAAAAGGGAACCCTCCATGGTTTTTCCACCAACTTGAACGTTTGGACGAAAAGGAACCCTCAAACATGGTTTTGGGCTGGACCTGACGGGAAACTGACAAAAAAATCCCGCCACAAACGTGGGTTTTGGCACTTGACCCAGCAAACAACCCGCCAGACACGTGCTTTTGGATCTTGACCCAAGGAGCTCGACCCAACCAAACAAACACCGCCAGAACCCATTTTGTTTGGGCTTTTTACTCGCTGGAAGGCGAGAGTTGTCGGCCCAGGAGGGCGGGCGTGCCAACTTCATGAAGGCCACGGAGGAGCGGCAGGCGGTGGCGGAGTTCGCGGACAAGATGCAGCAGGCGAGACGTCCCCATCCGATCGGTTTTTTTCGGATCGGATCGGAGCGGAGGGAGCGTTTTTTGGCTCTGTGGGTGGAAAATGTGGACCAACAAAAACCTGGAAGTTAAAGACATGGACCAAAAGGACCAAAACAAATATGGAACCCCAAAATGGGTTGCCCTGGGGAAAAAAATATGGACCAAGACCTGCGGTGCGCCGCTGGGTGAATTTTGAGCCATACCCAGGTCCGGAGTTGAGTTCTTCGGTCCGGAACGGAGTCTAGGTCCGCCGTGTCTCACCCCTTTTTGGGTTGGGAGGGTTCTCCTACTAAAATAGATGTCCTGAAAAAGGGTTTTTCTAACCTCTCTACTGGACTTGTCGGACCTAGTGTGTGCCAAGCAATTGCGTAAATGGGGGGGGTGGGCAAGACAGGGCGTTATTTGGGGGGCACTCTTTTGTCCTCCCAGCAAAACTTGGCGTGCGGCCAGGCACATCACTGACTCTGTTGGTTTTTCCCCGTTTCGGTCTTTCAAGGCTGTGTGGGGGCTCAAGGGCTTGTCAAGACGTCAATGGCGCCAGGTTGATGTTGAAAATGAGTCGCTCAGGTTCGCTCTGACGATGGCTTGGTGGTTGTTGGCGGTGGGAGCAGCTGTGATCGTGGAACATCCTCAGTTCCCGACTTGGGCCTTTCAGGTTCGGCAGCAAGTGACTCCCGTTCGCCCTGCGTCTCTCTGGGGGCTTCGGGTGGTTCGGGCGCTGACTCGCCTCCGCTGTGTGCGCGTTGTCTCGACCGACCAGTGTTTGTGGGGCAGCGAGTCGCGCAAACCAACCACCTTTGCTGGTTGGTAGACTGCCAGGCATGGTGGACACCATCTTGATGGCTGGCGATTCGGGTAGGTGTTGTCATAGACATGGTGCGCATAGGCCGCTGGTTGGCCTTGAGTCTGCAGGATCCTTTGTCACTGCGGTTGCGAGCCCCCACCCCCCTGGTCTGAGCGCGTTGTTTGGGTCTGCCCTTTTTGCGCATGCCAAGGAGGTGTTGAGCAGGAGACAAGAGCAGGATTCTGAGTTGTTGCTAGATCCCCCGGCTGAGATTCAGGCTCTTGCCGTGCCCATGGATTGCGACGCTGAGCCTGAGGTTCAGCCGCACTTCCATGGTTAATTTGGTTGCATTTTGCATGCTTTTGGTTGTCGCGACGCGCCCAGACGCTATGCATTCGAGAGAGAGAACCTCTCTACTGGAGGACCTAGGAGTTGAAGCAGCAAGTTGAGGACTGCTTGGACCGTCCGGCAAAACAAACAAATCAAGAATGTATATATATATATATATATATGAATATAACCCGGGAAAAGCAACAAACATAAATTTTCATGTATGATTATATGAGGCATGAAGCGGGTTTCTTCTCAGGTGATCGAGTGACATGTGGCCCTTATCCGTTTGAGATTCAGGTGCTGGGCCGCTTCGAGAGCGTGCAGGACGTGTTGATCATGTGCTTGGTCCGAATGCTTGCCTGCGGCAACAGGCGAGTCAATCTGGGGGAGCTGGAAAGAGACATTACCCAGTTGTCCAAAGCCGACCTTTTGACCTTTTGGTTTTCCCATGTTGGTCCATTTTTAGGAAAGGTCCCAAAAGGTTAACCTTTTATTTCCAGGTCTTTTGGGCAAGTCGAGTTTTTGTCCGTTTCAATTCATGACCTGTTTCCCCATGCCAAACACCGCTTCAAGCAGACAGACGTCAGCTTTGGTGTGGCCCCAGACTCAGTTGAGGTGTTTACCTTTGAGCACTTCAGGTCTCCCAGCCGTCGGCAGTCCGCGGGTCCCATTTTGTCCAATACGCCCAACCTGTCCTGAGTCCGGGGCAGGTGTTTGACTCGAAGCTGGCAGATTCAATCAAGAAAAGGAAAGCGGCAATTGCGCTCTTCTGTGATAATCTGTGATACTGGGTTGTGCTTGCAAACGACAATCACAAAAGGAGATACCTTGGTACGAAAGTAAGAAGCAGCCATGTGAACGACTCAGATCGACTCAGTGCGGCTTGCTTGCCCATGTTGTTCACCATGTCTCCTTCTCTAAGAAGGCATTCGAAAGCTCAAATTGACAATTGACTACGAGCAAATCTGCAAGGGACCTGAAACCAAGCAAGCAGACACGCAAGCAAAGACACGAACAAACAGAGAAACAAAGAACAAGCACGGAAGCAATCAATCCAACAAACACTGGAAGAAAGAAACAAAACAAGGAAATCAACGATAAACAAAAAGGCACACTCGCGAAAGACATGCCTAAATCGATCGAAATAAAGGAATAATGAAAGCATCAATGAAGCAAGCAAGAGAGAGAGAGAGAGAGAGGGAGCACTTTAAAAAAACAAAGAGAACAAAACACAGAAAACAGACAGACAGACAGAAAGAACCAATTAAAGGGAAGTAAGGAACGAAAGACATAAACAAGGTAGTTATAAATACGGATATCTCGAAAGAACGACAGACATGCAGACAGAACAACACAAAGAGGAACACAAAGACATGAGGTTGAACTCAAATGGTTTAACAAATAAACAATCAAAATAAAATAAGTAAATCAATATCTGCATGCCAGAACGATAAAATATGTGCACCAATTGCGCTTTCTTTGCGGTTTAAACATCACATTTGAGTCGCCAATGTTCATTGAGTTCTGTGTGGAATCATGTTGAAACGGGATACGCCATGTTTGAACGCGCACGCTTATATAAAGGGTTGATCACTCTTTCGCAGTGCGCTTCTATCCCCTCCCCCTCCCGCAAACAAAACACATCACAAAACACGACTTGTATGCGGGATTGATGAGATATGGCCATGGGGCAGAACCTATGGCTTCATTTTGGGGTGGATGAACATCCATTTGCCACCTATTTTGGTGTTCACCCGGGGTGCAGGGTTTTGACCCACAGCCGTATTTTTCCCCCTCAAGCCCTTGCCCCCCCCATCTCCCCATCTCCCCGGCCAGGCATTTGGCGGTGAGGTGCGGCAAGCTGCTGGCGGAGTGGGTGGACGCCACGGCCGAAGAGTTGCACGACCGCATCGCTCCTTGGGACCGCGAAGCGAGAGAGACTCAGTCCCTGAGTTCCCCGACACCAAACTGGTGGTGTTCCATGCGACTTTCCTTCAACCCAGCCCCAATTCGGGTTCCAGTTTCGTTGACGTTCGTCACTTTTTGGGTTTGGACCGAATTTGAGTGGCAAACAAAAAGACTGGCAACCTTTTTGGCCAGTCCGCTCGATCAGTTTTGTTTTTCAATGCCTATCAACTCAGGAGGAAGTGAGAAGAAGCCAAACATTGGCCGGAGAAGGGGCGTTGAATTTTTCTCTCGTAGGGGCTTTTGCTGGATTTGTGAGCTTTTAGGCAAAAAAACAGTGGCTAAGGAGCTCACTCTCTGAGTTCATGGGCTTGTCTTCTTTTGGGAAGACCCTTTTAGTTGTAAATACAAAGTTTGGACTTATGTTCTTTGTGGCCCATCAACTCGGGAAGTGAGGAAGAGAGAGAGAGAGAGAGAGCGAGAGAGCAGGATATCCTTTCTGTTGCTCTCAGGGCCTTCCTTGAGGAAAGCCGATGGAGGTCGGTTTTTTTGTTTCTTCTTTTTTTGGCTGGGGCAGAGAGCCAAAGGGGTGGGTGTCCCTTGAGTGAGTAACACGTGGGCATATGTTTTCCAGGGAGAAGAGTCTTTCTTGAGTTGGTAACAGGGTTGGACCGAGTTTGTTTCAACAACCAAGCCCGCGTCCCGCGGGACGCGGTGCAAGCAGGCTGTTTGATCAATGAGTCAAGCATGTTTGAACAAGATGGCCCAACCCTCGCCACCTTCCTGAAGGATGGTGAAGCTTGTTCAGAGAAGGGGGCCCCACCCTTACCTTCCATCTGAAGAATATGGCTTGGTTCCCCCTGTTGGGATCGGTCCTTGGGGACATCAGCGAAAATGGAGGGTGTTGGAGCCGAAGTTGTTCCAAGACCGATGAAACCTGGGACCAAATTGCCTGGAATGCAATTCTGAGACCGGACCTTCATAGAAGCGGACCATTTGTTTTTGCGTGCCTGTTTTGGGCCAGCGCTGTTTCTTGCAAATGGTGTATGCCGCAACCCCAAAAAGGCGCGCCTGGTTTTTTTCCTAAACGGATTTGCGCAATGGTTTTAACTGTGCGCTTTTAGCATTTTTTCGCGCTGCGCTATCTTTGCAGGCTGTGGTCTTTTCATCTGCTTGTGGCACCCCACTACTACGCAGCCACGGCGCAACGCGTGATGTGAAGGCAGAGCCAAGAAAGGTTGTCTACTGTTGGTTCAGGGAGGAGGAACCAGGCAGACAAGCCAGGCAGACAACCAACCCACAACAACCCGGGGTGCCCCGAATTCCCATACAAGGCCAAGACGAACCAACATACCCACGAAGTGTCCGAGAGTCAAGCCAAACTTCGCCGTCGTTTTTGCTTTGGCAGCCTTTTTTGGGAGCTGAGGATAGCATGTCCGAAGCGCTCTTCCGAGATTTGCGGCTTGGGTGAGCGAAGCAATGTGTGTTACACTGTTGTTGGGCGAGCAGGGTTGTGCGTATCTGGGGGTTCGGGTTCTGGGCTTGGAGGGGCTGGGGTTGCGAGATTTGCAGGGAGGGGAGTGGTTGGGTTGGGTTTTGGGAGTTGAGAGAGTGAGTTTTCCACACGTTATTTTTTTGTGATATTAATAAAGACTGCCGTTTCAAAGTGACGAGATGGTAAGGATGGGAAGAAGCCATTTCGGTATCCCAGAAAAGACCTATCTTTTACAACCATCGGGCGAATTCGATCGAGTAGTCTTGGTGAAACGCAAGTTTTCCGCGTTGACCTGTGTCGCTGTCTTTGGCCAAACTCTCACCCAAACAGAAATGCACAGACTTTTTCTTTGAAAGAAAGTCGTCTTTTCCTTGGGTGTGTCCACCAAGCCATCAAGTCATGTTTGCTGGTGCCCCAAGTCAACTTCTGAGATGCTAGCAAGGTAGGTAATGGGTTATGATGAGCGACGGAGTCCTGACTCTTTGCAGGGGGTCACCGTTGTGGGTTGAAGATGGTGTGCGCATGATATGCTTGAACAGCTTCTATTAATTGCGTGGGAATGCGGTTATCAGGCCCTTCTTGGCATCACAAAGATGCCTCATGAAGCGACTGCTGTGACCAAATGTGTTGCCAGCTCTGAGATCAGCTCCAAAAAGACATGATTCAAATTCTTCCGCTGGGAAAAGGGAAACTGCCATCCGCAAGCATGAGGCGTTCCCAGCTAGTCCTGGGGGTGCAGAGCGTCAACGAGCCCCCCATGGTGTGCTACGAGATCTCGCAGGGCACCCGCGGCAAGCGGCTCGCCGAGACCCTCTGACCTCCCTCAGTGCTTCCAGCGACCAGTCGAGTAGGCAACCAGGGGAAACCATCATGCAACACCTACCTGCTGTGGCAGCTCTGGGTTTGTAGAGTGGCTACAAAATAGCTCTACATTGCTACATCCCATGAAGCGCCAGGCAGTGTTGGTTTGGATTAGTGGACACCCTGGAACAGGCTCCAGACATTTGCCGCGCACTATGCACATCACCAGATCGCCCATAGCGGATAACATCATCCAAGGATCGGTTTTGGGTAGACGACTATATATTTGTGTAAACTGTTTTGGCGGCGGTAGCCGCAGTATTTGTTTTCAGGCACAGAGCACAAAGGGCTGACTACTTGGACACATCATCATGACGTGATCACTGGTTTTAAAGTTGCCCACCGCCCTTACCTTCCATTTGCTTAAGAATACATTTGTTATTTTCACCTGGGTCGAAAGGGATCTATGACTACTGAAAATGGGTGTGGCTCAAAATTAAGCAACTAGGGTTCCGCAGGTTTTAGTCTTTGGTTCCATTTACCAAGGTGCCATGTTGGTACATGTATTTGAGCCACACCCAAATATCTTGCTGTTGTATTTTTCCAGGGGACTTCCGCAAATGTTTTTCACGTGGAAGCCTCAGCTTCATCGCCGCAAGAAATCCTCCGGATCCAGCCCCAAGACACGGTCCCTAAAAGGTGTCCCTTCAGGTGACTAGGGTGGCTTTTTTGTTAACGACCCTTTTTGGGCTTGGTTTAAAGGGACATGAAAAGGACACCCCCCCCCCCCCACCATTGTTGGGGTACCTTGAAAGGCTCCCAGCCATCCCCTTAGCGTTTTAGCTTTTTAGTGTTTAGTGGGTTTTCCATTAATCCCGTGAAAAGTTAAACTTTTAGCGGGGGATCTGAGGACAGCTCAGAAAAAAAAAGACAAACCCAAAAAAGGATACCCTAAAAACCGGGGCCTTTTCTTTACACCGGAAAAGCAGCTCATGGATGGCTGTCCGGCAGATTCGGTTTGGATGAAGTGGTTCCCAGCTATCCCCCTACCTGGATCCCCAGTTGCCCTTATTTTCCAGCTACTTTTGCCAAATTATGGGCTAGTGGGGTAAAGTGGCGGAAAAAAGTGACTACTTGGGGATTCAGGTAGGTACTTAGCTTTTAGGGTTTAGTGTAGTGGTAGTTTCCACTGCGCCACTAAAAGTTAGACTTTTTGGGGGATCTGGAAACAGCTCAGAAACTTAGCTTCTGGTTGTTTTGAATGAGCCTCTGAGTTTTCAGCCAAGAACGGTTAAGTCTTCTGCCTTGAGCCGGGTAAGGACGTAAGTTGTCACTTTCGAGAGGGCGGGTCTTGCTTTTGAAATACCCAGAACAGACCGGCTTTCCGAGCCATGTCCCTTTCAAGGGCCGGCCCTCCTTTCAATGGAAACCACCAGCAGTTAAACTGATCAACCTTAAATCCCCTGCTTTCAATGGAAACCACCAGCAGTTAAACTGATCCACCTTTGGGGAAATCCAGTGACCCCTGAAAGATGGAAATCCACGGTTTGCAAACCAGGCAAGGGGATGACCCCGAGAACGATACGGAGCTGGAGCAGATCGAGTCCAGCTGGTACATCCTCACCGCGCTGAACTTTGGCCCCAGCCCCGTGGCCAAAGTCAAGGCATCACCCCCTCCCGTTTGGTCAGCAACCAGGGTCCTCCAGTCCACCAAAATGGTGAAGCAACACACTGCCAAAACCGTGTGGAAGGGAACATTTGCGACGTGGTTTTGGTGGTTTTGAGGACCATGAACCCAGCAACCAACTAGAGTCGGCGAAGCATATGTGTGTCTAATTACATATATGTATATACATATATACATAGTTTACATATATATATATATATACACATGCGTGTTTGTGTTTTGTGAGGGTACGGTTTTCACCTGGCTTAAAGGGAAGCCAAAAGGGCAACCGCCATTTGTTTCGATCCGGGTATGCGCCAAAATTGGCTTTGCTCAAATGGTGGTGTTCCTTTGATTTGAGTGTAGACTACAGCCTAAACTGGCGGTGATCCTTTCGATTTTCCTCAAATCACCTCCAGAACAGGTGCCCTAGAACAAGACAGACACCAAAAAGACAGACACACAAATCAACCCAGCTCCAAAAGGCGGTCATACTCACTGAGTTCCGTTTCGGACTTTAGACTTTTCAGGTGTTACCGAATGTGACTCTTTTTGGCCAGTCCACTTGATCGGAAGTGAGGGCCCCAACAGGAAAAAGACACCAAACTTGTGTTTTTAGGATGATAAGGCATCAACATCGAAAAATGGCGGTGTTTCCTTTGTTTCCTTCACCCAGCCCCAAAAGGGGCTTCGAACAAGACCAACCAGCCCAAAACAAATCCGTTCACGTCTGCCAGGCACCTTGTACGACCGGGTGGTCTCCCCATGGCGCGCCCGGGTGCTGCGCCCCTTTCTGCCGGTGCTCTGCCGGGAGAGCAGGGCTCTGCTGGGCCCGGGACCCGGACAAGTCAAAATGCCTTGCTTGATCTTCCACCCAGAAAAAGGGGCCATTTGGGCCGAATTTTGGTTTGGAGCCAAGGTCAAAATCAAGAAGGATGCTGGTTTTGCTGGTCCTTGGAAGACCAAGGATGGGTGTGGCTGGAAAGTAAACAGCTGGGGCAAACCGCAGGTTTTAGGCTTTGTATCCATATTACCCAGGTGCCGGTTTGGTACATGTTTTTGAGCCACAGCCAAATGAAACGAGGAATTGGACCGCGGGTTGCATCGTCCAACCCGTGTTGGGGTGACCCCCTTGTTTGACCCGCAAGTTTTGCTTACTTGCGATCGGTGCGAGAGATGCAGGGAATGAGAAATGGAATGACCCCAAGAGAAACTATCCAACCTACGGCTTCCTTTCAGGGAATCTCCAAAACCGCCCAAACCCAGACTGGGTCATTCCCTATCGCACCAGCAAGGAAATATCCAAATCCAAGCATCACACTCACACCATGTTAAGATAAGCTGAAATTTCTAGCTTCAGAGGGTTTGGGGCGGATGCCTCCACAAGTTTCATTGCGGTATTCTTAGTGGCTCTTGTTTGCTTGGTGCGAAGCCCAAATTCTAGAAGAAAACCAAAAGGGATGGGCGCTTTATTTTTAAACGAACATGAATAAATCAGACCTGCTAGTAACACCCGGTAGTGGGTCCTCTAGGTTTTGCGGCTGAAATTTTGTGAACTCCATGAAAGGACATGGACCATAGACTAGCGGAAAAAATTGACCAACCCGACCGGTGGATCTTCCAATCCTTTTCGCTTTTAAGGTTCAGGACCCACAAATAGGAAAATCTCTTTTAAACATGTACTTTACATCGTAGGGTTCACGAAATACAGGCCAAGCTTTTTGTGTGGCCGGACTTGTTTGTGTATGTTTGGCTTTGAAATTGCAGACCCTTGACCGGAGTTCCCAAAATGGGTCGCCATTTTGTCAACCAGTGTTCCAGGAGTGGCTCATCCTTTCTGCAAATTGCGCGAGTTGATACTTGTTGATCCGATCAAATGTCGGGTGCCTGTTGGAGTGATCTGGACGACACTTGCCTCACTGCGAGAAGTGCGCCTCACCGGCACGAAGCAAATAGCCATTCTCCATCTTAGAGCCCGGGGGGGAGGACGCTGTCCTCTATTCGCACCCTCTGGAGGGGGCCATGCAAAGGCATAGACTTGGGCTTGGATCATGGACCGCTCGATTTTTTGGGTGAGGGAACCACGACCATGAAGCATATATGCCAAAGCGCCCATCACGAGCCACGAGCGGAAGACCATGTTCCATGGAGCTTCGAGGCGCCGGTTTCGGATTTGAGGTGAGGACCAGCCCTTGGACCGCTGGGCCGAGTATCAGGGCTTCGACTCCTTCCCCGATGACGTGGCTGAGGCACAGCGACACATCGGTTGAGCATGGGACGCCCCCCGTCGGCTGCGCGTGCGGCATCATCCTAAACCCTTTCCCCCCGCGGCTAAAAAAAGACAGCCCCTTTAGCCGTGGCACACTTTAGATTCAGCATATATGCAAACAAAAAGCGACAGGCGATGTTGCTTACGGGTGGTATTGCAATTGCCTGAGATGTTTCTGCGGTTTTCGGGGTGTGAGCATTGTTAGTCAGTGCAGCAAACCCGTTGTGTTTGTTGGTAAATTACTGTGGCTTTCTGGGTTCTGTTCGTTTTGGTGGTGGGCTCAGAAATGTCTGGTTGATTATCACCGGGGGTTGTCCCATTTTCAGGGGGAATTGTGTAAAGGGAAGCACCCCAGGCCGATAAATCCGGAGTCGAGACTTGGGTGTGGCTCAAAATTAAACACGAGGGGTTACGCAGGTTTTGGTCCATGTTTCCACTTGCCAAGGTTCCATGTTGGTACCGGTTTTTGAGCCACAGCCATTTCTGTCCTACAAAATTTGCAGAGACCCAAAGACATAAAGCAGCACAGCGATGGCTTGGTTTTCAGCTTTCTTGGGGCGCTGGCTCGGCCAAATGTCCCCGAGCAACCGAACCCCTCTTTGAACTTCAAGTTGGCCCCATCTGGACTCTGTATAGCTTACTGACTTACTGCTCCAGTTGGACAGTCTCGTTGGGGCGATTCTGGATGTAAACTGTCTGGACTTTGACTTGGGATGAGTTGTGGCAACTGAAAAGTCCGGGCTGACAAATCCGCTTAAAAACGCTTAGTTCTGGCAATCCATGTCCCCCTTTTTGGTTGGAAGACTTAGAGCGACTTTTGAACGGAACTCCGGGACGCCCCCCATCCCCCCCTTCCCTTCCCTTTATGTATTTTTTGTGTTTTGGGGGGAGGTTGTCCAAGTTCGTGTAGAAACTATTCGACCAAAAGAGCAATATTTAGGCCCTTGTATAGTCGGCAGGGGTCGAAACTGCCATTGCTTTTCCGATCCTCTCCCATACAGGTGCCATCCTCAAGATCTAAAGGTACTTGGTTATACCCCCTCAAAATGCAACAACTGTGAGAGACCCGGAAGGCAAGCGATCCTTTTGGACCCCTGAAACAGCACTTGTACTACTGCGTACCAGTTGCCCAGAGAAGGAAGCGAACTGTTGGGACTGGCCTTTTTCAGCTCCTTTTTTCGATTGCTGAGTGAGTTGTGGGCCGGCTCTCCCATAATTTGTCCGACTCTCCCAAACATGTACCTGGTTTGGCAAACAAAACACTTGGCAAGTGTGGGGATTCGTGTGGGCCCTTTCTGGTGCTCAAGGGAAGGAGACATGGAATATCCTCGAGAAAAAGCCATCCAACCTACGTCCTTCAACACCCGGACTCGTTGAGTCATTCCCTGCTATCGCACCAGCAAGTTTTTCCAAATCCCAGCATCACACTCACGCCATGTTCAGCTGGTTTTGTTTTGGGGAGCCCTCCACAAGTTTCATTGCGGTATTTTTAGTGGCTCTCTTGTTTGCTTGGTTCGAAGCCCAAAATTCTGAATTCTTCCAAAAACAAACCCGTAAGGGGATGAGTGTTTTGTTTTTGAAAGAATATGAAGAAACAATCAGATCCGCCAGTATCACCCGGCAGTGGGTCCTCTAGGTTTTTGTGGTTGAAATTTTGTGAATTCCATGAGAAGACATCTTGGCCTTATGCGGTTGCAGTGGGCTCCATTGTCATGCAAAGTGCAACTCTGGTTGTCCGAGGGCGTTGCTTGGTACAGAAAACAGTCCCAAAATAGAAACGAGCAACAAATCCCAAAATAAATCCCCACCCATTCTCTATTCTTCCAAAGGAAACCAACAAGGGACAGGTGTTGCATTTTTAAACGAACATGAATAAATCAGCCCTGCTAGTAGCACCCGGTAGTGGGTTCCATAAGAAGACATGGACAATGGACTAGCGGAAAAATTGCCCGACCCGACCGGTGGATCTCGTTCTTCGTGGTTCTTTTGGTGGCTTGCGAAGCCCGAAACGGGCGAATAGCGTGCCAGGTCGTCGAGGCGGAGATGAACTTGCTGAGCTTCCAAGAGCGATGTGTCCGCCAGGCGCGCGGCCGACGGTGCTGTTGGGGTGGGGGTTGGGGCGGGATGTGGGGTGGGGGTGGGGGGTGGGGTGGGGGGTGGGGTGGGGGTCGGGTGGGGGTGGGGGTGGGCCCATCCACCGCCAGTAGCATCACCATCACTAGGGAAACCAAGAGGGGATATGTATATATCTTGTTTTCCCTTCCCTTGTTTGGCAAGCTGCTTGTGTGCTATGGTGTTGGTTGTGTTTGTGCCGTTTTGTTGTTTTGTGTTTTGTTCTGAGTTCGTTGCTTTTTTGGGCGGAGAGGGTTGGTTTAAGGGGTGTTGACGGTGGGAGGGTACAAGGGGGGGTAAAGCAGGTAAATGGGGTGTAAGGGGGGGAGACACATCCCGACACCTTAAGGGCGATTTCCTGAAATTCTAGCGGTACCTTCCCCATTCTTTCCAGGCATCCTTCATTCTACAAAACCACCCAGAAACCCTGGGGAAACAGCGATCGGTTCTTGAAAAGAGCAATGGTTGAAAATAATGGAAAAGTTTAATTCACCCCCAGAGAAATGCGGGGGTTCTCGTTTCAGTCGAGGTCCCAACAATTCCAAGGCGCTGTTGCCATTGCGGAGTTTTCTCGTTCGGAGGGCAGCCTTGGGGAAGCCAGCGGGAGTCTCCTTCGGAGAAGATGTGTGTATGTAAGGCCAAATGTCTGGTAGTGACATGGATTCTGAGACGCAGATGTTCCAACTTGCGTTTCCTGGAACACTTTGGACTTGCAGAATGCCCTCACACTAGGATCAGTCCCCTAGACGTGGACTTCCGAAATTCTAAGCTTTGAAGCTGCCGCTGAAAAAAAAACACCAGAGAAATAGTCCCTTTTGAAGGAAACTAGTCCAAACTAGGACCGATTGATTCCTCGGTCAGCTTCCATGTTAGTGGACGGGAGGGTAAATAGCGAATGTTGACCCCGGATTGATAAACCCGTCATTCGGGGCTATTCCTTTAAAACCCTCGCTCTTTGAGGAAAATCGTCTTGGACTGATTCCTCAGTCAGGTTCCAGGTTAGTTTCAGTTGTCCAAAGCCGACCGTTTGATCTTTTGGTTTTCTCGTGTTGGTCCACTTTTGGTCATGGCCCCAAAATTGGTTAGCCTTCCTCCAACTAACATGGCACCTGGAAAAGGTACCTCGAAGATGAATTTCCTTTTGAAGGGACCGGGTCTCTGTCAGTTCCCATGTTAGTGGGAGGGAGGGTAGCCTTTTATTTCCACCTGGATCCCAAGTAGCCACATGTTTCCAGCCACTTTACCAGTAGCCCATAATTGGGCATAAGTAGCTGGAAAGTAAGTTGGCTACTTGGGGTTTTGGGGATCCAGGCAGGTCCCAAAGGGTCAGCTGACCCTTCAAGCGCCGGGGAGAACTCAAAAAACACTCCGGAGGCCTTCGGAGGTTTCGTCATCGAGCCCGGGGACGAGGGCATGGTGAAGGCTGCGGGGGGAGGATCGATCTTTGGGTTGCGGGAACCCCCAATCTATTTCCTTCCCTCTTGTTTTGAATGGACCGGGATAGCTGGTAGGTCTTTGGGTCTAAAAGAAAAAAACGACCTAAACAATTAAGTGCCCGCGGTGTTGGAAGGGAAAGAAGGGCAGGAGATCCCCTTTTGTTTTGGGGTTAAGTATTGAGCCAGGTTCGTGACCCCTTAAGATTCAAAAGCACCCAGTTCTGTCCTTTGGGCAGGCAGGAATTTCCCGTGCGACCAGGGGGCAAGCTCAGGACAAGAACCAGTCACATGGCGGGCACCCTTTGCTGCCGCATTTTCTCACTCTTTGGCAATTCAAAGGCCAACGGGCACAAAAGTGGGTCAGCTCAGAAAGGTTCACTCAATTTCTACATGCGAGTCAGACCCAGGACTTTTTGGCCTGGCCCCTAGTCTCTTTTTGCTTCAATTTCGGGACCCGCAAAAAAGCCGTGGACTGCCAAAACGGCCTTGGACCCAAAAATCCGGATCGGAGCCACCCGGAAGTTGCTGCATGAAATGACACGGGACAGGGGTCACTCCGGGCGCTTCAGGAAAACTGCGAGACTTAAACGCAACGTGAGGTAGGGCAATGTCTAGGTCCCCCAGTGCCCCTTGACCAACTTTTTTGGGGGAGGGTTCCCCTACTAAAATCGACTACAGAAGAAAGGGTACCCTTATTCTAACCTCTCCACTGGAGGACCTATGTAAATATGTGTTTCAAGCTTTGAGCAGCGAACCCAAACCGGGTCTCTACAAACATACTAGAGCGAAACTAATGTTTCACAACAGGGTCAAAAGCCAAGCCCTGCCTTCGATTGAACCACACCCAAAACGTCTGCCGACAAAGGTGAAGGGGGCGGTCCCACCCAGAGCCAGGTGCGGCTTTCCGCCGCAAGCGCTTCGGGTTTTGAATCTGACTGAGTTGACCAACCTGGAATCTCTTTTATTTGCATTTCAAATTGCAATATGGGTATGGGTCAAAATTAAACAACCAGGGGACTGCAGGTCTTAGTCCTTGCTTCTATTTGTCAGGGCAACCCATTTTGGGATTCCCATTTTTGGACCCACAGCCATATGGAACTGTTCAGGGGAATCTTTTTGCCACCTTTTCGGGAAAATTGTTCGACCTCGCAGTGAAGGATTCCTTTTCAGGGGGTCGCCAATTTTCGCACAGGTGGCAAAAAGACCCCCCTGGAAACGTTGGGTTTGACGGGGGAAACCCAGCGCCAAGCGCCAGGTCTACTTCAAGCATGCGGCGGCGCAAAACCTGGTGTCCATGCGCCGGGTCTCTGAGAGCCGCACGCTGCATACCCGGCCCATCGGCCGGGTGAAGAGGCCCCAGGCACGTTTCCGACCGGGCGGGACCCGTGCCCATTGGCTTTTCTCACTTCCTGAGTTCATGAACTTGACACTTTTGGGGTTTGGACCATTTTCGCGGTACATATAAAGTTTGGACTTCTTTTGGGCCATCCACTCAGCTAGTGAGAGTCTTAGCCCAAACCTGTTTGTCATCCATTGGTGGAAAGTCAATCCTTCATCCTTAGATGGTGCCCCCACCCCCATTTTGAAGAACCCAGTGTTCGTGTTTTGGTTTAGTGGCCCAAGTGAACAGAAAAGGCCGCCCGCTGAAGCAGTCGCGGGGGAAAGGGGTGATGTGATGGTTACGTCTAGGGATCTTCCCGGGAGTGATGAACATCCGGGCGGTTCTTGTCGCAAGCGCTGCAGTAGTCTTGACATGTCCTAGAGGGCGGGGCCCGTGGGGGGGGTGGGAGGATGATGCGTGGCAAAACCATGCAGGTACTGACCCTTCCAGTTTTTGAACGATGGCCAGAAGGAAATGGTGTTGTTTCTGTTGGCCCAACCATGTCCGACCCGGATTGGGACATGATTGCCGCTTCCTTACTGACAAAAGGAGTTCAGTCGAGCAGACACTAGTGCCACAACAAACCGATCGGACCGCCAATATCCAATACCTCTGAACTGGCCAAAACGTATGGGGCTTACCCAAAACCATGTGATACCCTGCCAACCATAAAGTAACCTCCTAAGCCCTAGCTCGCGGGACCCAACATGGAACAAATCCTAAAGCCACCCCCAATCACCGGTGCAGAACCCAATCCTAAATGAAACCAGGAACCAGCCTAGACACACTAAACTAAACCAACCCTTGACCAGCCTTAACCACCCCCAACCACTGCACACAAAAGAGGGGCATTCCAAAGCAATTTTCCATCACGTGTGTTTGCGCGCGCGCGCGGGTGTGTGTGTGTGTGTGTGCGGAGTGACAGAATGCCCTGTCACCACCCTTTCGGTTTCTCAGCAGGGGGGTCACCCGCAGTCACGACCGGTGACCCAACGAAGAGGGTCGTGACCTGCGCTGATATCTGACCTGATCAGTCAGACGTACCTGCCGAGATGGTTGTGTTGTTCTGAATGTCCTTTTGGTCCCCCCCTGAACTGCCGTTGCTTCTGTGTGTCCCTGTTAAAGTAACTACAGGGAAGCCAAGCGTTATGCGAGTCGAACCTCATCATACTCGAGACTTATCAGTTGTACTCGAGACTCATCAGTTGTACTCGAAAGATTAGCACTCTCCATTTGGAGTTTAAGTGTGTACACCCCATTCGTGGGGAATCCTCGGGTGTACCCATTGTGTGACCCCGGGCCGGCTCTGTCGGAAAATTTGACCTCAACGTGCTTATCATAGAACAGCGGAATTTCACATTTAACCAGGAACGAGGTTTCACTAAAGGGAAGACAGCGGTCGGATCATAGAGACGTCTCACCACTGATGTTTGCGTTTGCTTGCCATTTGTTGGATTCGTTGATACCTTGCCGTTGCATGGATTTGCTTGTTGTCTGATACGTGTCTCTCAAGATGGAAGCGTGAAGATTGAGAGTCGATTGTGTAACCATGTCTCGACGTGATGATCGTGATAGATCCAGGACTCGGCGCAGACGTGATCGGAGTACTTCTCCTCAGGCTCGTAAAGCACACCGACGTGAACACAATGACCACCACGTCTCGGAAGGCATGGATTGGAACAACCTGGTATCTTGGCAACACAATTCCGGCTACAACTCTGCCAACAATTTCCCGATGATGCCCACCAATTTTCAATCGACTCATAGTCCCACACAGCAATTCCAACATCCAGCAATCAACTACATGATGCCGATCCCTCCAGACCCCACGCCAACGAAGTTCATGCCACCCGTGATGCCACCACCGGTCACTACCCCGCAACCTACACCGCCACCTGGACCTCCTGCGGCTCTACCGGTTCGTCCTCAGAAAGCCTGGCTTACACCATCGCCTGACTGGACACCTGGAGAGGGCATGTTTGATGTCAATCAGCTCTACAACTTCAGCCTGCCCATGACCGTTGCCAACACTCCGCATGGCAACCTGCGCGACATGTCAGGCATGGATATTCGTGACGTTCGCCTGGTTCAGGTTATTCATGGGGGCCTCACCAACTGGCTGCTCCGACCGTTCGCTCACGGCAGATTCGTGACATGGGAAGGCTTTCGCACTCGCACCGAGGCCTTACTTTGGAGTACCTGTTCCAAACTACTACGACGATCACAGTCGATCAACCTGCTCACCCTGGAAAAGGACCTTGCCAACTCGCTGGGTCTCAACATCGATGACTTCAATCAGCGGATCAAGGTTCATGACCATTTGGCCAGCTTGGTACTTCAATTTCTTCAGCAACACCACGCTTCTCTCACACCTTCCACCCAGACAGATGACATGGTCAAGAAGTACAATGATCTAAATCGTGCGCATGAGCTGCTCCAGGCTCAGTATTCCTGGAGAACCCCAACGCTTACTTTGAACGACTGGGTGTATGGTGGTTACGACTAGTTGTATTGTGGGTCACACGCAAGGACTGGTTGTACAAAGAAACGACTGGGTGTACCTCTGTGGCGCACGAAACGACTAGTTGTATTTCCATGGCCGCGCACAGTGGTGCGTGGTGTGTGTGGACACACATGGCTTTAACAAAAAATAACATGCTGTCTGAAACTGTAGTGTTTGTGTTTTGTCGTTACTTTAAAGGCACGGCGCCATGCCGTATAATACATTGTGTAGCTAGCCAGGGTTGACAGGCGTTTTGGGTGTTAATCGATGCGGGCATCGATCAAGCAGTCCGGCATATGCGCGTTGAGAAGTGTAGATATGTGTTTTTGTTCGCGCCCACGCTAGCCTAACGTTTGGGATAGTTTTCATCCATTTGCTGAAAAGTCGCCTGGAACAAATAAAAGCATGTCCAGTAGTGATAGGTTCCCTGCGCCAGGGACAAACCAAACATATCCTTAAGCAAATGGACGTTTGGGAGGAGACCCCAGCTTTTGGGGAACAAATCACAAATCTTCGACTCAAATGTGTTCGAGAATCTTGGCATATATTTTCACAGACTCCTCGATCATTTTGCATTATCCCAGGAATCAGAAATGTTTGGATCCGTTGAGCGTTGTTGCATGTGGATAGCTAAGGGTCGATTTCTGGACATCACTCGGGGTGCCTTTTTTAGACTTCGCTTGAGTTGTACGCTGCTTTGCATTGACTGATGTTGGCCGCTCGCCCGCCGTCCGACACAGGCAGTGCAAAACAAAAGCAGGGACCCCGAATCTTCCTTCAAGAAAAGGGGGGCCCTATGTTTAGAAACCGCTCTCTCAAGCAAGGTGTCCAACTTGAATTTCCTGGGGGGTGCCTTTTTTTGTTTTGCACCAATGGCCAACACCACCAGCACCACCAACAACAACACGTTTCAGGAAATGTTGGAACAAGGAGCCTGTTTTTGAGTTTCTACCAACGCAACAGCAACATTGCGATGACAATAACAGCATCGCGTGCAACAACAACAAGTTTGAGGAGATGTTGGCAGACAAAGGCAGCATCATCAAGCGACACCTGGCATTGCCTCTTCGATGTCGGCTCTTCCTATCATTGAGACGCAGATCATTTTGGACGTGCCGCGGGCTTGGTGTGTGCCAGGGCTCCTTGTGATCAATCGTTGCAGTTTCGTGGCCATGCGCTCTACTTTGTTGGGGGCAGGATCCTGAAAGCAGGTTGCTGAGTCTTGTCAATCATGAGCCATTTCTGGCTCAATTTTCCTTGTTTTTTTTTGCAATTTTTCGGCCATCGGTTGCGATCATGGCAGCCAAGCCGGTCGAGTCGCCGACTGTCTTTGAGTCACCGACAGTCGCTCCGACATCGCCAACGTACACGCCAACAGAGGTGGTCTCGGAGTTCGATGGCGATGAGGGCCTCGATGAGGGGTATGAGGGCCTGCCGGCCTTAAGCGAAGCAGATCACCTGTCATCGCTTCGTCAGGACCCCTACATGCTCAAGGAGATGCAGGCTCTTGGGGTCATGGAGAAGGAGGTGGTCGATGCGCAGGCCATAGATGAGGATTTGTGGCGGATGTACATCGACCGCGTGGTGAGCCGGGCGGAGGAGTGTTTCTTGGCGGCCGTGAAACATTTTTTTTTGGGCGTCTGGTTACTGTTTGTTGAGTGAGTTGTTTGGGCTCAACGTGTGTGCTATAGGGGGCTTCGACGTGTCCAATGATGAGTTCAGCGAGTCCTCCAGCAGCGAGTATGAGTGGGTGGTGTGCGAGGAACCCTCGCCTAAGCAGGTCGCAGAACCGGAGGAGTCGTATGAGTGGGTGGTGTGCGAGGAACCCTTGCTGAAGCAGGTCGCAGAACCGGAGCTGTATGAGTGGGTGGCGTGTGAGGAACCCTCGCCTAAGCGGGTCGCAGAGCCGGAGCCGAAAAGGCGACGGATTTAGGGCCATTTGCAGCCTACGCTTTGGGGTCCAGAGCCCAGAACCTTCCGATGGAAATCCAGGCCCCTACCATAATGGAAGGTCCAATTGATGCTTAGGGCAGCATCGAAGATGCAAGATGGTGCAAAACGTTGAACCCTTCGCGAAAGAAATCCCTACATCCTTTGACTTCGGATTTTGATTCTGGATCTGGCACCCTTGGCATGTTAATTTTCCGGCAGCCAACCAAAATATGGTTGGCCCACGCACGCGCTCGCCCAAAGTGCTGTGTTTTGCAGTTGTGCTGAACCACATTGAGGCGCTCGCTCGCGCAGCTGAAGAAAAGCTGCTAATAGAAAGTTTTGATGCCGGAGAAAAATAGTTGCTCGCAGCTAGACGTTTTTCATTGCTTGACTCCTTGACCACACGTCGCGCCCAACTTGTAACTTGAGCGGGCAGTTGACATCTCGCGCGCCCAGGTCAGACGCTTGGTCAATGTCGGTGGGGCTCTCAGAGGAGTGACTCAGCAAGTTGTACGCCTTTGATTGTCATTGTCTGTTTGCTGTT